GATGTTACTAAAGAACCCATTCTCGCTCATTTGCCATCATTATCACATAAGGATACAGAACCAATATATCATCAAAAACTCTATGTAATAGATCGACATCCCCTTACACACAAAACACAAAAGAATTAAGATATAGTTTATTAGATTCGGTAATGAAGAGTTCAATGTTTTGATGTTACTCATTCTATCAAAGTAAGTTATATATATATATATATATATATATAAATAAGATTTCTAAATTTATATTCGTTACCTGATACTAACAATGATGTTAAAACAAACTGGTAATATTTTATGGGATTGGAGTATACTGATGCTGCAAGCAAATGCTTTCGTATGGTTGACTGTGGGTTCTCCGCTGATGGTTGCAGATCAACCTGTGTTGAACCGTTGTGTGTTGGTAAAGCAACGCACTGCACGGAAAACAGGAAGTGCTGTTGTAATAGTTGTATATTTGGATAGGGAAATATAGAAGAAGAAGGATATATACCAACTTATTAACCAAGATAAATCATACAATTTCAAAAGTGTTAATAAATATAGAGGAATAATAAATGCGTTAATGATGATACCTACAGAACAATTTCACGGATGCTTGAATTTAAGTTGAATGTTGATTGTGCTGTGAAATAAAGGATATCACATACAATCAGGTCTGCTTTAGTAATTGACCCAAATCTAAACATTTACAGTGAGGGTCGGTTTGAAAAAAGACAAAATAGAGATATGACACCAAGGGGCAATCAGAAACAACTCGTACACAAAGAAAAGTATTATTGTTTTATTTTGTATGTATCTTAAAATTAAATATAAAGAAGGATAATTTTTTTTGTTTGTAATTTAAATGAATATTGAGTTTGACGAAAATTTAAATCGGATTTCATTAAAGCACTGTTGAAAGAGTTTAAACCTGAAATCGGTTTCGTTAATTTCGTAATGTATTGAGAGTATCTTCCATGTACTGTGTATATATGAAAATAAGATGAATCCCAATTAGACAACTCTCAACTAGAGACCAAATGACGTAAAAGGTATCATTTATAGATCACATGTTTACCAATTTGTTATTTAATGAATTATGGCCATGCAACTCGGCCAATATCGTGACAATAACCCTTGAGAATTTGTTTTATTTAAAAAGCCATTTGTCAACTTTTTTTATGAAAAGGGAATAATTTCACCTGGGCCAAATGACAGACAGATATACATCTCAAAACACAAACCAACTAAAGGTGTAATACCACCATTGTTTTCCCCTGTTAGTCGTTGTTAAATTTGCGCTTTTCAAAACATTGTGCAGAATTAATCTTTGTTTCAAATAAAGAAATACTTGGCATGAGTAAAGTTTTATCATGTCCAATACAGACAAAATTTGACATAACATTAAATTGCATATAAGATTAAAACCATCACTGGAAGTTAACCAATTAAATTTCCACCCTTTTCTTTTCTGTGTACAAACTTTAGTATTAAACCATGTAACCTCAAGTTTCCAAAATATTTTTACAGAAACACCAAATAAAAAAGAATGATGCTTTGAAACACCCAAGACATATGTTTATGACTCAGATATTTTTTACTGCAATGAAATGCAGGGTTAATTTCCTGCAGCTGTCAAATTCAAGGGAATACTTTTTTTCGATCCTTTTTTGTATGCAACCGGATGTGACGTACTATGATTCGGTGGTATTACACCTAAAAGGCCTGGTCAATATTGATAGAATATCCAATCATTGAATTCATGTGTGGATAATAAGCGAGTGTATTAACAAAACAAAAGATAACAAGGGGCCATTGAAACTCATAAGTCGAAGACAAACTGAAAACACCATTGCAAAAAACCGAAAAACGACGACAAGACGAAGCCTTCTAATACCTGGGAATAACCAAGATGCTCCGAAAGGGTAAGCAGTTCCTGCTTTACGTGTGATATCCGTCGTTTTTCTCTTGCAAGAAAAATCCGTTGACGAGTCTAATTCAATAATGTTAAAATCGAGAACTTTTATGCAACTTCGTTGACCACATCTTGTAAAAACCAGTTCATATATAAAAATTTAAAATACATATAAAATGTCGGTTTTTAATTGACTGGGAAATCTTGATAACATTGCTATAAAAGTGATGATTTAAGCGACAGAAGTACGTTACTGGTGTTTTCAATGATAAATGACTTTAAACTTCAGAAATCATTATCGCAATAAAATGACAACTGGATAACAGGTTCATAAACTTGGAAGTCTTTGAACGTTTTAGATGCTAAGAATGTGTATTTGATCGAACATCACAATCAAAGCAAGATGATTTCAACCGAAAGTACTTCCAAATTATATCCTACTATATGCTTATAGTCGTAAAAAATCAACCCGAGTATTATTATACAATTATCATGATTTCCTTGCGAAATTATAGTGCAAAAACATCGTAAAAAACAAACTTGTTCTGGACCAAATATCCAACCAGTGACAAAAACTTTGATAATAAAGTATGTTTTCGTCTTATTTCACGCCTCATGACTCATCAGCAGCCAAATTGCATTAGACTAAATCCCATTATACTAATATAGTGTTCAAGTAGACGTGTTAGGGAGGGGATTTGAATAATGCACTGATGTTATATAACAATACCGATACAAGAATTAAGTGGGGACTCTCTCAATATACAAATGCATTGAAAAGTGTCCAGACGTAGCATAGTTTACGTTTGAGGTGTGTTTGATACAGTTATCATCGACTCCAAATTTGGATAAGCATTTCATAAATATGGTGGGTTTGCATAAATCTTATCTTACAGTTTGGAGGAAACTCCATTTCAAATTGTCCCAATTACTGGAAGATAGTAATATTGCTCGCACATCGTTTTGGTGTCCACGAAACCATCTTTTCACGAGCCGTGCATAACTTATATTGTCTACCTCTTTCTTGGTATGAATACAGTGGTGTTCTGATTTTATTTAGGTCGAGAAACTGTGATAACAAGAAAAATAATCATTTCTTCATCGAAACGTAAATCTTACACTTTATAATGCCCGAATGGGTAGTATTAAAAACTTAAGTCGATTACCTCCTCTGTCCGATGATCTTACAGCAGAAAGTCGACAGAAAGATAATGCCAAGCAAAATATGAAAACAGATTAAGTGAATCACTCATTTCAACGAGATTTTGCAAGTATTTCCCCATTCAGAACTACATTAAACTTCCAGAGCTAAATTAAACAAGAGGCTCTCAAGAGCCTGAATCGCTCACCTGTATTTCAGAGGAGAGGATTTTTAAATGTTAGCAAACTTGATGAACAAATTGTGTAAAATTGTCTTTAAAGGATAATTTCAGGGCCGATAGATCTTGGCCAATTAAACAATTTTTACCCCATGTCACATTTGCTCTAAAAGATTCAGTTTTTGAGATATAAGCCAAAAACTGCATTTGACCTTTATGTTCTATTTTTAGTCATGGCGGCCATGTTTGTCGATGGATACAAACTTCGGATACAATTTATAAACAAGATACCCTAAGGAACATTTAGTTAAAGTTTGAAGGTAATTGGCCCAGTAGTTTCAGAGGAGAAGATTTTTAAATGTTAGCAAACTTAATGAACAAATTGTGTAAAATTGTCTTTAAAGGGCAATAACTCCTTAAGGGGTCAATTGACAATTATGGTCATATAAACTTTTTTGTAGATCTTACTTTGCTGAACATTATTGCTTATTACAGTTTATATATATCTATAATAATATTCAAAATAATAACAAAAAACTGCAAAATTTTGTTAAAACTACCAGTTCGGTGGCAGCAACCCAACAATGGGTTGTTCGATTCGTCTGAAAATTTCAGAGCTGATAGATCTTGACCAATTGAACAAATTTACCCCATATCAGATTTGCTCTAAAAGCTTTAGTTTTTGAGATATAAGCCAAAAACTGCATTTGACCCCTATGTTCTATTTTTAGCCATGGCGGCCATGTTTGTCAATGGATCAAAACTTCGGATACAATTTATAAACTAGATACCCTATGAAACATTTAGTTAAAGTTTGAAGGTATTTGGCCTAGTAGTTTCAGAGGAGAAGATTTTTCAAATAGTTTACGACGACAGACGACGACAGACGACGACGACAGACGACGGACGACGACGGACGCCAAGTGATGACATAAGCTCACATAGGGCCCTTCGGGCCCCGGTGAGCTAAAAAAGATGAAAATAAAGATAAAAGAATTCAACAGAACAAACCACTCAATATATTTCCCCTCGAAGTTGAAAAATCTAACAACTTGAATATTGGAACCAGATGATGGAGACCTGGTACTTCTGTAATACGACTCCATGGATAATCCGAATTGACCGATGAATAAGTTGCTGAACTTAGAGCATAAAAAATATTCTAAAAATGTATATTTAAAGATCACTTATGATGGAATGCGTCATCAAGATGAGGAGAGAAATGTATACAAACATTGCTTTTATAACTGTTTAACTGCATAATATTCGTTTAAAAGGTGTAAAACTTCCGTCTTTTAGACGTTGTATAATTCCAAAAACAGTTGTTTTTGGTTTAACATTGTTTTCAGTTTTATGGAAACAAACCATTGAGGCTCATGAAACGCACACTTTCAATAGATATCAAATAATTGAACATTTTCAACAAAACATTATTAAAAACCTTCAGGTAAAAAATCGGATGCGAATGAGATTTGATCGCAGTTTGTTTTATTCATTTATTTTGACCTTTTTGTGGATTTTTATTATGGCCGTTTACAAAGGGGGAACAATGATCTTAATCTGAATAGATCACTACTATGAAAGAAGGAAATTTTATGATCATGATAATAACTATATAAAAAACGATTATGTTGTTTTTGATTTATCCTGTTCGTCGTATTGTCGAATATATTGTAATTATTCTATTTTTATTATACATCTCAGGAGTATCAAACACATTCATACAGGTAAGTATAACAAATAATTATCTGTGATTTTTGAGATGGTCCCCACATTAACCTGTTGTATCATTCGTATTTAACATCAGCGCCAGAAGTCGCAATGACTTTTCTATCACGTCTAATACGACAAGTAGGTTTTATTCCCTAACTGCTAAAGGTAAGAAATTTTTAAGTAGCATTCCAGTGATTGTAATAAGAGGTTTTATTTAAACTTAACACGTAATTGCATGATAAATATTAATATTAATTTACTTTCACTATCATTATTACTATCATCATCATCATAACTTGTATATTACGCCATACGAACATTTCATCTGTATAAGACTCGTCAGTTGTGTAGAATTAAAACAAAAGGAAAGGCCAAGTCAACTACGAAGTTGACGATACAAAAAAAAACGAAATTCCGACAAGTTGTCCCAAATATGTTGTTAACGTCCGTCCGAGTCAGTTTTATGCATAAGAATATAATTTGAGTAGCTATGAGTTTAAGAAAAAAATCATCAGACTGTTAAAGAGAGGCGAAAGATACCAAAAGGACATTCAAACTCATAGATCGAAAATAAACTGACAACGCCATGGCTAAACAAGAAAAAGACAAACAGACAAACAATAGTACGCTAAAAACAACATAGAAAACTAAAGACTGTGCAAAACGAACCCCACCATTACCTTGAGGTGATCCGGAATGGTACGCAGATCCTGCTTCACATGTGGCATCCGTCGTGTTGCTCATGTAAGTACAAACCCGGGTATAAGTATACTTCCGTAAGTCACATTCGGGAAAAAAGGGGACGGGATTGTAGTTACGAAATTTGGAATATATTCGCTATCATCTGTGAAACGGATATTCCATAACGGTCAACCAATTCGTGATGGCGTCCGTAAAATTTACGAATGGACGATTTCAACTTCAACACTTGGAACTCTTGGTTTATAAGCTTCCTTTGAGCAGTAACCCTCTATCAAGGAAATCGTGATAGGAAATACAAGCCCTGGAATATCGTATCAACTGGGAGATATAAACTCCGTATGCAGACGCTGCTGGAATTTTGCTACATAGAAATGGGAAGTTCACAATTTGGAAGCTGAAATCATCTCTTTTGTCATATATTAAAATATCATATACAATTTTTGTTTTGCACTTGATAACTGTCCCGCACAAAAGCTTCTATAAAGATTTAAGAAATTAGAAGGTTACACTTTATCTTATATTTATTATTGCAAATAATTGGATTTATCTTCCAGGACAACTGCACAATGAGAGCCTTCTTTGCTTTTTGCATCGTAATGATATGTTTGTCGGGTAAGTTAATATTATTCTCACGAGGAAAACACATAGAATAATTCAAAAGGGACAACTACTAAACCTCATAACGCAATGATAAAAGTAAGGTAGACGGCGATCAACCACGATATCTGTACTACGAACTGTTGGTTTAGTTCAAGCATAATCAACATGATGAGGGAATATTATTTTCGTGAGCGCTCATCCCTCTTTACGTAGGACAGTTGTGTAGCAGCACAGCAGAAGAACATTCCGTAAAAATGGACTTAAGACTTAAATGGCCGGGTTGGAAATACTGTTTCATAACACTGGAGCATTGTCACCAATTAACATTTAAGTGTATAGAAATATAAAATTCAAATTCGGTAATACCTTACAACAACTCAATGGTCAAAGAGGCATACTTAGGTATATAAACCTTGTGAAATGTTCCAAAGATGTGTCTGAAAAACAATTGGTACAATCAAGTTTTCCTGAAACTTTGATAAGTGTGGAAGGTTTGGCATCGTTGACACAGGTTGCTAGAGTTTTATCTTTAATAATCCCTGCCCAGCCCTGACCGTCTATGAAGGGGTGTACTTAGTCAACGTTGGTTTGATTTGGTTTTGTATAATTTGAATTGTGTACTCATTGCAATAACAATATTCGTGAATATTTGTATAATAAAATATGGCGTCCATCGAGCATGACGGGTTGTCGGCATACTTAGATTATGTTTGCGTTTGTTTGTATTATGTTACTTCATACACTCAATGTAATGCAAATATCAGTGAGACAGCAACCTAACGATACAACCAAAACCACTACACGATAAGGTAACATTCTGTCAATATCGTATCGCGCGATTTACTAATTTTATCTTTATTTTTTATAAAAGCTATATTTTATCATTTTCACACCAAATAGTTTGACAGCAGTGACTTATATGGCCTTTAAAAATCATAACCTGATTATAAGACAGACTTTATAATGAAAAATAACAATATATTTTAGGTTTGGAACATCCTGTTGCTGCTGTTAAATGCTTCCAAAGTTATTGTAGAAATAGATCTGACTGCAGAGAGGGGTGTAACGACATTGGTTGTTTCACAAAACTTTCCTGCAATGTCGAAAGAGGGCGATGCTGCTGTGATGGTTGTATCTCCAATTAATAAACTGGAAAATTCAGAACTTAAAATTTTGAACAGTGTCGAGACTGCGTTTATGCATGCATATTAAATTATTACATTAGTCTACGCTCTGAATTACAAAATGTTTCTGGCACTTTGATTGGTAGTTTTATTAATTGTTACCCATCATCATTGATTACAATATTTGAACATTTCACTAGCATGTTTTTTATCATTATATTGTAATATAATTACAATTAAATACTATGTATAAGGAGTCAATTGATAAAGAATCAAAATGAAAATTAAGAATTGAAAAACTGATTGGGTATACATACACATGCTTCCTCGATCTTTAAAGACTCAAAAGTTGCTAAGGACCTGTCCTACCACCATGACAAATATGTTGCTGTCCCCGAAGATAAAGCCCAAAAACAAAATCATGTGTGTGTGTGTGTGTAACTTACATCACATAAAGTGCTTGATAAAGGGATAAGGTATTTACAATGCACTTTGAAACTCAACTCTTTGAAGAATGAAAAGAAGATAGTTTTATCCCTTCAGCTATATAGATGATGTCCTCTCAATAAATATTTCAAAGTTTGATGACTATGTTAAACGCATCTATCCCATGAAACTTGAAATTGAGGTTACAACCGATACAGTCTGTACCATGTCTAGACTTCCATCTAGAAATTGGCCAAGAGTTGATTTAAGCTTCTCAAAAGTGAATTTTCCATTTCTATATAGCAATATTCCAAAAGCGCCTGCATATAGTGTTTATATCTCCCATATGATACAATATTCCAGAGCATCCATTTCCTATCATTATTTCCTTGATAGGGGGTTACGCTTACAAGGAAACTATTAAACCAACAGTTACAAGTTACGAAGTCGTATTCATTCCTTTGAAAATGTTACGGACACCTTAACGAGGTGATTGATCCTTATGAGAAAACAAGTGAAATAACAAATATACCGAACTCCAAGAAAAATTCAAAACGGAAAATCCCTTATCAAATGGCAAAATCAAATGCTTAAACACATGGAAAACAACTGTCATATTCCTGACTTGGTACAGATATTTCCTTATGTAGAAAATGGTGGATTAAATCTGGTTTTATAGCTAGCTTCATGTACACCTCTCATTTGTATGACAGTCGCATAAAATTCCATTATATTGACAAAAATATGTGAATAAAAAAACCTAGACATGATAGGTAATCAACGCATCATGGATGTTGTGATTTAGACAATTTTGTACCTAGTCTGACATTTTTTCTGGCCATTCTTTCAATAATTATGTTGTTCATTTCCATAATCTCACCGTAAAATTTCTATTCTATTGCCAAAAGATGGAGTTTTGCAAGATGGATGCAAATTATTTTGATATTTCAATTGAAGACACTGTCAGATTTATTTACATCTTTTTTTAGAAACATTTGAAATTCAAGGATTTTGACAGGAATGTTAATGAAAATCTTCAAATGTTTAGCAAATTTTTTATAGGCCATTAATAATAATTGGCTTAATAATTTCCAGAAACAGGCATTAACAATGCACTTTCTCAACAACAAAAATAAATAACTTTCATCTAAATTGGTGTTCATTCTTTTAAGGAAAGCATACATTTCCTGTATTTACATATACATGACTGTACAAATACCTAATGCTGAGATGATTCCAATTACTGTTAAATAGCAATATAATGGGGAATATGCAGATAAATTTATTGCAGAAAATGCTCAGGTAAGCGTTATGCAATTGTGTTTATTGATTCAACCAAATTACTGGTAATTGTAATTTAAATAGGCCTTAATTATTAACTTATGTCAGATGATTATGACACTGATTTTACAACTATTGAGGTCAAGATTGTGTGTATTCAGTTAGATATGCAATAAATTGAATACACAAATTATTGACCTCAATACCAGTATGATTATCAACTGTCACGATGTATTAATATAACTGTGGTCAATTAAGACTGCATTCGAGTGGAGTTTAATTCAATTAATACTTACACCTTTGAGTGTAATTGTTTGAAAATCGTGGCAGCTGTCAATCATACTGGTATTGTATCAATAATCCCATTTGCCTTATGCAATAATGGGAATAAAAGCATTTAAAAAAAGTGTAGAAATCAACTCTGATATCAATACACATCTTGAACCAAATTTAATTGAATGGCATAAAGGAACAAAAGATACTGATATAACACTTTCATTATTCTTATCAACTGCTTAAATTTGATCAGTCACATTTTTTCACATTAATTAATAAATGGTAATTTAATATAAAGTTCGATTTACAAAGGAACTATTTGCAAGCATGGCAAGTGTATATCTAAAAACAAAGAAGTTGTTCTCCCAACCTTTTCTCAATTCAAAGACAAATAACATATTAAAAGTTGGCAGTTGATGATAAAAAATGGTGTATAAAGTTTCTGCAAGTCATAGAAACACATCATCATTTTCATGACATGTCTTCAACTAAGAATTTTGCACCATCTCCAAATCCGGAGTGATGACATAGATCCAGCATGGCTGAATAAAAAATGTCAAACATAGGGGTACAGCAATCAACATCGTGTTATAATCTTAATCACTATAAAAACAAACAAATATGTCAACAAATAAAAACAAAATGGAATATAGACAAAGCACATAAGCAAAAATGAAAGACAGGAATACAAAAAAATGACTATAGCACAATAACACAATGGCGGGTTGTATAAGTACCGAGCCACGTCGAAATGATATTACCAAAAAATGGACTTAACAGAAAAGGTTAATAATATACAAAGACAAGTAGAAGAACACTTTAACGTTATCAAGAGAAAACACAACGCCAGTACATAGAATCTATACTTCAAGACCGTCATGTATTATTTATGAATTTGATACGGAATATTTATTCAAAAGATCTTGGTATCTTACGTTGAACTTTTTTTTGAAAAAGGACAAGACGTTCTATGACATAACCTTGGTTCATCAACTTTCTGCTCAGACACTGGTGACGTTTTATATAGTCTGAGTCGCAGTTGCAAGGTATTGAATACCGAATGAGTAGGGGAAATGTATATCCAATATGTAGGTGAAGTTGGTATATTGCTGCTAAGGCGGTGGAAATTTATAATTTCAAAATTAAAATCGTCGCGCTTGTCATAGATTCTGGTATTGAGATGAGCACTTATGTTAAATTCGGGGTATAAGTCTAAAAATGAGGCGGAGGAAGCTCGTATCTGTTGTTTCTTTAATTTCTAGTTCTGGAGGATATATTGATAGAAACCAATCAGAAAAATTTGGATTCTTAATGGAATGAACATCATCAATATATCTGAATGTGAAATTAAATGATCGGCTTCTGTGATTTTCTTGTTTTTGACGAATGTCTGAAGGAATTCCGACTCATGTGAAAATAAGAAGAGGTCGACAAGGAGAGGCGCACAGTTCGTTCCCATAGGAATGCTTGTTTCACAGATGACGATGGATATGTTCCAATTGTCGTTAACGAAATTAAGCCCTCTTTTCCTCGAATGTGACCTACTTATGCGTCTAGCAAGTCTAGCGTACAAAATTATAAGCCCGGTTAATTAAGTTTTTGTTGTCGTTATCAAGGTAGACGAAATTATATTAGAACTTTTGTCAGTCATGTTAAATTTTTATTCTAAAAAATGCATAATTAAAATTTAATTATCTTTTATTTATTTTCTATAACTATTAGCATTTACTTTTCCTTAGTGCTGGTTCAGTTAATCCGCTTGCACGATTAGAGTGATACATTTTATTCTCATTGGTTCAGTGAATTTTACATTTTACCTGGCTGTTCCATTTCAATTGGTCCTGCTTGTAATTTCTACTCAGTAAAGTTTTCCTTTCAAATCACTATAATCGTATGGTCATTCTTCTAATCAGTTTTCTCTTAACAGGTCATAATTTTTATTAAGTTGACGCGTCGATCGACTTTAATTTATATGTTTTGAAATTATAATAAAGATAGGAAATTCAAGCAGTTGAATTTTAAACAATTTGTAGCGGGGGAATTGGAGATGATATCTAATTTTTGATAAATCTGAAAAGAGTTTTAAATTTCTTAAGGGAATTTTCAAATAATGATCAAGTGTTAGACGTTTCGAATAAGTTGAGAGGGGATATGCTCTGTTGGTCAAACTTATTACTGACTTATAATGGGATTTCCATCATTAGTCTGGAAGTGGTATGTCGGGTTCTGAGTTTTTTCATTGCGAGTTCCCTGAATTCATAAGTGAACACAATTTCCATATCAATGCTTTAGAGCTCTGAACAGTGATTATTTGTTTGAAAGTCTGGGCTATTAAAGGGAAGAAAATTTGTATTTATTGTGACAATAATATTTCAGCGCAGGTTATAAATAAGGGACGAACTAGGAGTAGAATTTTGCAAAGTTGTTTAAGAGAACTTGTCTTTGTCAGTGCATTGCAACAATGGGAAATTAAGGCGATCCATTTAAGTTCACCGGGCCGCAGATTTGCTTTATAGATGGAATTTATCTCCGTCCTTTCAAGAGGAATTTAAAAACTGTTTAGAATACTGTTCTCGTGTTGAAGTTAGTGCTGATCCTTCACTTTTTAGGTTTCAGCATGACTGGTGATTAAGATCATTTAAGAGTCTTTTTTATTATTTTGTAATTTTTACAAATAGGTGGCTTTGCCTTGTTCTTTGGAGACAATTTCTTTATATTGTCAATTTTTAAGTTGTTCTTTTGCTAGCACCGAATCCATTAGGAATTATGTTTATGGTGTTAAAAGTTTGCATTTATTTTTAGATGTTTCGTTTCCGCATTTTAAAACGTTTTATTTTAAATGATTTTTTAAAGGTTTAAAAAGAGTGAATCCGTATGAGATCAAACAGCATTACCTATTACTCCGGAAATTCTTCTAAAAATACGGTCCGTGATGAATTTTTCAGACATTAATAATATAACTTTTTGGTGTTTGTTTTTATTCTCCTTTTTTCGTGTGTGCCGAAAATCTAATTTAGTCGGCCCAGATGGAGAACCACATAAAAGTTTAAAAAGGGAAGACATAGTGGTAAAATAGAACATGTTGATAGTAACTTTCAAGTGGACTAAAACTATACGGGTCGGGGAAAGAAAATTAGAGATCCCATTGATTAAAAATCCGGAATCTAAATTATGTCCATATTCTGCCTACATGGCTACATTGTATGTGCTAAAATTTTTCAAGCACTTTAAGTTCTTCGGCCTTTTTAATACGAGGAACCCGTAAAGGCGAATTTAAGCCTGTACAATATAGAGTATTTAATAATTTCTTGAAAACAAGCATAAATAGTATTGATTAAAATTCGAAATACTACTCCACACATAGTTTTAGGAGCGACGTGGGCTTTTAAATGTGGTGTTCCCTCATATTTAATACAGCTACAAGGGGATTGGAAAATCTCAGCTTATAAACGTTATTTAAAATATGGGTTATCAGATAAACTTATTGTTGCTAACAGTTTGTCTACTCACTGCTGGTCTGTTTTATGTCATTTTAGGAAAAGCGTGGAACAGGTCGACATTGATTATAGGGGATTCTACAGTCAAATATTTTCCAGAGTTAAAGAATACTACAATTCAAGCTTTTGGAGCACTTACCTCAGAGCGACTTGTTCGTAAGCTGAGCAGATCTAATTTAAATGTACAGGACTTTTGCAATGTAATCATTCATGTTGGTACAAATGATATTTTTCATTTAACTAGTGATCAATTTAGATCTAATGTTATTTCTATTATTAATCTCATTGATTCTGTTAACAGTAATTGTTGCATTTTGCCTAGACCAGTTGATTACAGATTTTCAGAGGTTATTTTAGGCAGTTTTAATGTAGAATTAAGAGATTTGGCGTTAAATCACAGTGATCTTAGTATTCAAAGATGAAGAATTCAATCCATGTCTCATAATAGAACTTTTTATGATAGTTTTGGAAGACCAACATTTCCTTTATTCGATCAAATTGACCGACTTCATTTGAATCATGCAGGCATTATCAAAATGATTCATTGTATTGCTAATACTTTAGCTCATTTATAGACAGTAAGTGAGAAGTTTAAGGTTCAGCAGGGAGGCATATTTTCTCTGACCCCTATATATATTGGGGAGATAGTTTAGTGTTTATCCTTGACCATTTTATGTTGGGTTTTAACAGACGGGAGGGTTACCTTAAGCTTATCTCCTTTGTACACTGGAGAGGTTTAAGGCAGCTGAAAGATTGGTTTTTGTACCTTCTGTTTGAGTAAGTTACATGTACTTGTTTTGTGAATGTCATTTGTTTTTTTTTTGTGTTGTGTGTATAGTTTATGTTGTGTAGACCTTTAAGTTTATTGAGATGCTGATCTAAGCCTAATAAATGTTTTAACATACTTTTCTTATATTTGAAATTTGCCAGAGAGGTTTAAAAGATTGAAGAGTAATTGTAAAATTTTTATTCTAAAAATGCATTATAAAAATTCATTTATCTCTTATTTGTTTTCTATAACTATTAGCATTTACTTTTCCTTAGTGCTGGTTCAGTTAATCCGCATGAACGATTAGAGTGATACATTTTTTTCTCATTGGTTCAGTGAATTTTACATTTTACCTGGCTGGTCCATTTCAATTGGTCCTGCTTGTAATTTCTACTCAGTAAAGTTTGCCTTGCAAATCACTATATTCGTATGGTCATTCTTCTAATCAGTTTTCTCTGAACAGGTCAAAATTTTTATGAAGTTGACGCGTCGATAGACTTAAATTTATAATTTTTGAAATACCCGCCCATCCAGCCCCATTTTAATTATATTTTTATTCAGAATTTTCTCTCCCGTGTGTATAGCGGGTTTTTTGAAAGATTGGTTTTTGTACCTTCTGTTTGAGTAAGTTACATGTACTTGTTTTGTGACTGTCATTTGTTTTTTTTTGTGTTGTGTGTATAGTTTATGTTGTGTAGACCTTTAAGTTTATTGAGATGCTGATCTAAGCCTAATAAATGTTTTAACATACTTTTCTTATGTTTGAAATTTGCCAGAGAGGTTTAAAAGATTGAAGAGTAATTGTAAAATTTTTATTCTAAAAATGCATTATAAAAATTCATTTATCTCTTATTTGTTTTCTATAACTATTAGCATTTACTTTTCCTTAGTGCTGGTTCAGTTAATCCGCATGCACGATTAGAGTGATACATTTTTTTCTCATTGGTTCAGTGAATTTTACATTTTACCTGGCTGGTCCATTTCAATTGGTCCTGCTTGTAATTTCTACTCAGTAAAGTTTGCCTTGCAAATCACTATATTCGTATGGTCATTCTTCTAATCAGTTTTCTCTGAACAGGTCAAAATTTTTATGAAGTTGACGCGTCGATAGACTTAAATTTATAATTTTTGAAATACCCGCCCATCCAGCCCCATTTTAATTATATTTTTATTCAGAATTTTCTCTCCCGTGTGTATAGCGGGTTTTTTGAAAGATAGGTTTTTGTACCTTATGTTTGAGTAAGTTACATGTACTTGTATTGTGACTGTAATTAGTTTTTTTGTGTTGTGTGTATAGTTTATGTTGTGTAGACCTTTAAGTTTTTTGAGATGCTGATCTAAGCCTAATAAATGTTTTTACATACTTTTCTTTTGTTTGAAATTTGCCAGAGAGATTTAAAAGATTGAAGAGTAATTATACATATTTAGTTAATATTGATATTTTTTAATGTCAAGGTCCCTGAACTATAATAATGAAATTTATTATTCTATCTACCAAATGTTCTTTTAAGGTAGATAGGGTGTCTTCCTCCATCTTAGATTTTGAAATACCAGAAAACAATGGGTTTAGATCTTTCATAAAATGTGCAAATTTTGAGAGTAGTAGGTAATTCATGTGTAAGAATTTTCATTTCAAGATAGAAAATGACATGTTTTATCATATTTATGGTTGTATTTTACAAAAATAGAATACTTTTGTTTGATTCAATTTTTTTCAACTTTGCCACATAAGGGGAGGCAACTCAAATGTAAGGGCAGATAATTCAGATAAAGTTACTTTTACAATAGAATGTGTTAGGAATTTACCTATTTTTTATGAAGCAAGAAAACGGGTCCCGTGACCCATTTTTTTCTTTTTCTTTTTCTTATCCGAAAGCATAATACTAGAGCTATCTTCTCATATTTTATCTCAAAATTCTATGGTGTAGTTTTCGTTTTATGGCAGAAAATTGGTTTTTCCATGCATAATCTATACAAAATCTGTCAATTTTGCACAACCTGTAGCGTGAAAATAAGCCCTGTGACCTATTCTTTTTATTATTCTTTTTTAAAAAGCATGATATAAACTACGTTTTGGCAAATTATTAAAAACTTCTATGGATTATAATTTAGACACCCCATCTACCTTAAGTAACAAAAGTTTATAAAACAGTAATCTCCGTAGAGGAATAGTAATCATGGTTGTTACAACTATCACAAGAACAAAGACCAAGTTTGTTTTTATCAAAATAGGTTCATTCATCAATTTCATCGTTATGTATAGTAAATAAAGTGATGTTGTTTATAATACACATTTTATTATAAAATTATCAGCTGTTCTGTTACAATGAAAGTCTTCTCTTGAATGTGTTTAATTGTTCAACACTATCAATCACCTTAAGATACTTTTAGCAAGCTTGGAAACCAGTTTTCGTATGTTGAGGATGTTGGGATATCTGGAGAGAAACTCAACCTCTGGCAGCATAAATTTTATGGCCTTGTTAGTCTAACCTACAAGGCTTTGATCATCATTGAAGAGACATTTATTGGAAAAATGTGCATCTGGAACCGTTTATGTTATTGCAGGTGAGACAAAAAACAAAACTTAACAAAATATTATGATAATGGCCTTGTTCAAATTGGCCTATTTTATTTTACAACTGTGAATAAACATTTAAATTTCAAATACATAGAAATTAAAAATAATTTTGGCATCAAATGCCTTCCAGTTTTAAAATTAACCAGTACATAATAGAACAACTTGTCAACAGAGACTGAAGTATAAGACTCAAATAATGTGACTGATCTACCAATATTACAAAGCAATCTAATAATGATCACATTTTATTCATTTAATACAGTGAGAGCTGTTTAACCTGAAACCCTCATAGATTTTTTTGGATAAAACAGGTATTCCATTTAGAAAAATAAAATAACTTTAACATGTGTCGCTGCTGTCTTCAAATAATATAAGCAGAAATAGCTATGTCCATGTTCTGGTATGAGAAACTCTAATAATCACTTATTTAAAATCAAAATAGAAGATGCACAACTTCCTGTTTATTAGAAAAATCTGTGCAAAGTGTGCCTGATTGTATACAGCCATTTTTAATGAGTTGTGGATTAACAAACTGATAGCAAATATTTTTATCAAGTCAAATTTTAGTATGAGAAACCCTGAAACCATTGGCCAAAAACTCAGGAGCCTAACTTCAAGTGGTGAAGAAGCATCGTTGTAAAATTGGTTGATTCTGTTTTCGAAGAGATTCTAATTAACATAAAACATGACACCGACAACAACAACAACAAAGAGGGACAACAGGAGGGGTCGATCTCATATGGCACAATACTAGTCGGTGTATGTGAAAAAGTCCCATTATTTGTATAAGTTGCATGGGGTTTGTTTATTGCAGGTTTCATTGTGATATAAATCATCAATGAGTAAAATAAAATGTTAAAAAAAAATCCAAAGGCAGGAATAAAGGTGATGTTTTTTTAAATGCAAATAAGAGGCATTTCAATTGTTGCTGGTAACATTCCATAACCACATGTGCAGGAATCCCATTAATTAATCTGTCATGTTATGGTCTATTGCTAAAGATGAACACTAGTTAATGCCCACAATAAGGTCTGAAATTATATAGGAATAAAAGAGGATGTGGGGAAAGCATCAATAGAACAGCAACGCAAAACACACATATTTATTAAACATTTTAAAAAGTATTTAATACTAATTAAAGAACATATTTTCACTCAACATTTGGTTAAAACTGACATTTTTCTCCAATGACTTTTCCTGACTTATTATTCAATATGTCCCCTTTTGTTTTGAATTTTATAATTGGTTATTTAAGAAGGGAACACAAGTGAGGATTACATAGCAGGAAAGTGTTACCCTCGTACACCTATACATTGTTTCAGAATGACAGCATTTATTGACAAGGTTTTCCAGTTCGCATGAACTCCAGCTTCCTCAGCCAATTAAAATTGGCCATAACAATATAGCCAAGGTATCTGAAATGACATTAAAAAAACAAAAAACAAAAAACAACAAGGAATTGATGAATTTTACTAATTTTGCAATTTCAAGGTCTAAGTTATTACTCTTATCATAACTCCTCCTTTGACAGAGTTTGAAAATGTATGAAATAAACTACTGCAGAAAATTGTCAACATAGGAAGAGAAATGAACATTTGGTTCATTTGATTTAAACCAATACGATTTATACAAGAGGGTCAGGATTTGGGGGGATGGGCTGTTATTTTATGAATTCTTTAATGTTTGGGCCATTTTTCTATATTTTAAGCTTTTTATTCACATTATCAGATTAATCTGTATTATTTATATTTTCACCCCATAGTATTCTCTAATTTTTATTTCTTATGCCTATTTTTTTGCGCATTATTCTCTATTCTGTAAACCTACACCAGGCCTTCATATATCATAAAACTACTTTAAAATGATTTACATCAGTACATTTGTCAATTTTCTTTGAACTTTCCAGTGTGACACTGAGACATAGTCCCCTGACTAATTAAACACAAACACAGTTTGATATTAATAAATGTATACCCTGATAAACAAAAATGTGACATTCCATGCACTATATGACTAAATGGAGGAATTTACAAGGCTATATCAAAATAAATTAAAAGAGAAATAATCCTTAACATGAAATTTACAAGCCCTTCAGTTCATATATTAGAATTGGTTATTGAAAAAAAATACAATAACAAATCAAAACCAACCAAAACCAACCCCCCAAAAAGTCTTCACGGTAATTATTTGAAATTTTTAACCTATTACTAAGTTGCTAAAACACATGTTGAAAAGAATACAGAAAAGTTAAAATGTCAAAGACTGCTGTATACATTTATGGAAACACTGATCAAGTGGAAAATAACTTTTGTAAAATCGTTATGAGATTTACAGCTCACACAAACTTTTTACAAAAATAGTATACAGGCACCTTTAATGAAAATTGCAAGCAATCATAACAAAATTTGTAAAGGGTTCTGGAACCCTGATTCTGGCCTGCTATTGCTGTTGTCAGTGTAATGTTGACTGTAAAAAGTAAGTCCCTTAATCAGCAAAATGCGAACATTTTATTAAAAATTCAAACTTTTTTCTTCAGATGCTATATCTTGATCCCTAAGATAAGCGCCTGTCCAAGTTTCACAACAATCCATTAAGGTTAACAAATTCATCATGTCCAATAAAGTAATTGAAGACTGTCTTTAAATGTTAATTGCTAAAAACAAAGCCAATCTATCAGTGACATTCTGAGAAAGGAAAAAAAATATTTTCAAAATTTTGCTTAAGAAGTCATCTCTTAATCATAAAAAAAGCTTATATAAATACAAAGTTTCATAAAATTTCATGAAGTATGATTGTACAGACCTGCCATCTTTCCTGGTTTATATTATGAGTGATTTCCTCCATGAGAGAGAGGTCTTGGTCTAGTAATCCTTATGAATAAGTTATTCAATTTTTGAATGTGTAGTTAGTTTGTCTGACCTTAAAATTTACTATATAATATTTTTGAATGATACATTTTGAAGACAAATTTCAAATTCATAAATTATGCAATAAACCTAAATCTCAGGTTGCAACAATAAAAACAGAGACAATAACAGTTCATTAATTGATTCACAATTCATGCACAGCATAAATTTTCACCATAACTTTCTTTGGAATAATCCAATATATAAAACACTTTATAAAAATATAATTTCACCAGCATCATATGCTGCATATGTACATAATTCTAGTGCAAATGGTTTTTTTTCTAGATTATTAACAAAAAGAAAATTTATAATGAATTTGCTTTGGTTAATAAATACACCACATCTGTTTTTCTATTATTAGGGCTATTCCATTAAAAGTATGTGGGAGGTTAGGAAGGGAAGTTTAATTATTGAATGTGGGTCATGGGTCTTTTTTCAGTATGCGTTAATAACCATTATGCAAAATTATCTAAAAAATGGTTCTTGGTTGTACGGATATTTTGAAAGTCCCTTCCTACCCTCCCACATACATTTTAATGGAATAGCCCTTAACAAGTTATTACAAAAGATGACTTAACTGCAGCAAGTTATGACTGTAAAAGTTAACAAGAGTATTTTTTTAAATCTGTTTAATTCAAAATCGGTTAAAATTCACAGTTATAATATGACAGTCAGGGGCATTACTTAAACAAGTAACTTTTAAAATTACCTATACAAGTAATGTTGAAAACGAGGCTATATTAAATATTACTTATATAAGTACTTTTCTAAATATTATTTTTAAAGGTGTCCATTATTACAGATTTTACTAGCTTTAACAAATTTTCACAGTCATCTGATTATTTTTCCCATGAAATATAAAAATGAATCCTCCTGAAACACTAATTGCCTTTCCGACGCACTTATCTTTCATATCGACGCTTCTTGGTCAAAGATTGGTCTCTTGGGACTATTAAAATATCATTTTCCTTGAAAATCTTGAAGGTAGACAGATATAAATAGATAGACACTTGTGATTTAATTAAGACTTAAAGTTATTTATAATTTGTAACCCAAAACAATTACATATGTTCCTTAAATAATTGTAATTACTAATTCTTTTAAAGATGTATAAAATAACTTATTCAAGTAATATTTTTGTCATTATCTTTAAAGTAACCTTTTATCTCTAAACTTCTCTCAAATTTAATAGATTCTTAATTTTATGTAATAAAATGATGTAAAAACCCATGAAAACTGCATTTAGTCCATGCTTCTATTGAAATATAAAATAACTCTATTGAGTAATTAAATAATTTTCAAAAACAAATATTACCTTATATAAGTAACTAAAAAAAATTACTTGTTTAAGTAATGCCCCTGACTGAATGAAGGCCTTCCAAATACATTGCAAAAAACTCAATTTCAAATTAATATATAAGAATAAGACTATCTGTACTTCATGGACACTGAAAAGGATTTTTGTACAAAGGTTCAGCCCAACACTTTTGTTATAATATAGCAATTGTCCTATAACAATGAGCATAAGCCTATACTATAAGAAAAATTCTAAAAGGCCCCAAAAATGTTTTTAACAGTTTGTTTATACTGTATATACATCTCAATGTTCACTATTACAGCTGGTCTTGATGTCTTCTACTGGGTGGTTTCTTAAAAATAAAACATACAGTAGGTTATCTATAATTACAAAGTCTACTTTCTTCTGCAAAATATACTAAAATCATTCTATGTCAGAAAAGCAGAAAACAAAATAGTGGATTTACCTGACATAAAGGTAATGTTATTGAATACAGTCAAACATGCATTAAGCAGTCACTCAAGGAAAGTATTAAAAGTGACCGCTCAAAGGAGTTGACCCCTTGCAAGAGGTTTTAAAAATTCTGATTCCTACAATGCCTGTTCCAGTATGGTGGAAAATTGTTTAAGAGTTTTCAATCGGCAGAGTTATTGTTCTTGGAGCAGTGAAACTTTAGAAAATGGCAAATCTGGCTTTGTAAATTGGAAGAAAACTTTCGAAATGTCTTTAAATTCATGGAGAAATAAGTCAATGTTACTGTTTTCAGTGGAAACTGAAAGGAGTAGAAAACAAGGAATTCATGAATTTCCACTCATATTGTGCGAACTCAGTTACAAACGTGTTCCGTTTCTCATTTTGACTACGAAACTGAACACATACTTTTTGTCATGATCATATTGGAAGTTAAAAACATTGATATGACAGTATAAAAGTTGAAATGACAATATAAATAAAATTCTCACATTGTTTCTGTTAATACCATTATCAAAAACTGCTGTACGATTTCTCCTACTGTTTCCTGAAGAATCCAGTGCTGATGTACGAGGTTGAGTAGTGCTAGGTTGATATCTAGTCCTACTTGATGTAACTGGTGTGATATCTGCTGTAGGCCTAAAATTAAAAAAAAAAATTAAATGGCATTAAAAATTTTCTTTTACTCATAAACAGACATTTATAGGCCATCCTCATGTGATATTTGCAATACTGTTCCCCTTTTGTAAAGAAATAACCAAATCTAGAGGCAGAATACAAGGAGGAGATATGATAAGAATCATTATTTAGCCAATGATATTTAATTCTTTGTAGAAAAAAAAAAAGTATTCAATCCTTAAAAATTAATGTCATTCTGTTGGTTACTAAGTAAGATGATTTAATCTAGACACTTTGGTTAAACACATCACTTGTGATGACACTATAGCTATAATATTATAATGTTATAAGGTAAGGTCTTACCTAAAAAACATACCTTACGTACATTAACTTTGCATAGGACATCTCTCGAGGCAAAATGACTTGGTTCATATCTGAATATTAATGACAACTGACAAGATCTCTAGTTGAGGCTCTTTTGGCAGTTATTACAGTATCGCATTAAATGCAAGAAGTTTCAATTCAAGGGACAACAGTAGCCTAATCATATCTTCTTCCATTATAATTGAAGACAGATTCACAAGCTTAAGCACAACACAATGACAAAACCACTAAATATGTGCACATCAACTAAAAATTGTGTCAACTAAAGCTTGGGCTAAAAGGAAAACTATATACAAAGACACCTAGGAGGCAATAAAAATGTATACACTAAAAAGAATAGACAAAACTTTGACCAGAAGAGAAGACTTTTGTATAAATGCACATGATATCAGTTGCTCAGGAAGGATAACAATATGAGCAGGGTTCTCACTAAGGCAAGTCCATGAGTCCTGGACTCATGAAAATCTATCTGGACTCATCATCTTCAAAACTGTTGAGTCCAAAGATGCAACAAGATTGAAAAATTTTGTATCAACAGAGCACATATATCATCATTTTATAACAAAACTTTAAAAATAATCTAAATTTGATGTCATTTCCTTGCTCTATTTTGTCATAGGGACTGAAATATTGAATAATATAGTGCTCAATAAAATTTCATCTTCTCACTGTTAGACTCACAATGGCCATAAAATGACAAGTCTGTGGACTCGCCTTCAAAAATCCTTAGTGAAAACCCTGATGAGTACCTTGTACTAGTTCTGTTAGTTCTAGTATCTACACCAAAACCAAAGCCATCTTGATCTCTTCTTACATTCCTACTGGTACCTGTTGGTTTACTGGTCTTTGTGTCTCCTTCAATTGAATATCAAAAATGTTTACAATCATAACATATTTTTTTTTAAAACTGAATGAAAAATCAAACATGTTAAATAACGAAGTGAATTAAGAGAATAAAATACAAATGTTAAATATTATGCAAATATAGGGTAGTTAGCTCTGCTGGTGGGAGCTTATATTTTGTCTTTCAAAAATAAAAAAAAAATTGTATAGGTTTTGCTGAACCCTGGGATTTTCCGGTGATGGTTGTTGTTAGTGTAAATTGCTAAGATGATTGCCCAAAATGTTCATTTATCAGTGAGATATCCCAAAAAGATTTTTTTTAAAAATTGGTTCTTGATTATGAATAAGCTTATTCATTCACCTTAAAACCTAACCAAACCTTTTAACAGACTTATTTATAAAGGATATAGTTACGATACTGTTGTCAGATCATTGAAGATGGCATATTTTGGTATTAATATTGATTCACTCATAGGGTCTTTGCATCAGAAATAAACACATTTATTCTAAAACCAGTTGTTAGCATGATACGGGTTATGTTCTTCTCATATATTTTATGATGGTATGATACTAAACCCCTAACGGGAGGGATTGTGTTTGATTTTCATATGATGAAGACATAATCTTTCAATCAGTTTAATTGAGGTCTGGAGCTGGCATGTCAGTAACTGCTAGTAGTCCGTTGTTAATTTATGTATCATTGTCATTTTGCTTAGTTTCTTTTGTTACCTATTCTGACATCGGACTCAGACTTCTTTTAAACTGAGTTTTACTGTGCGTCTTGCTGTGTGTTTATTTATTCTACATTGGCTAGAGGTATAGGGGGAGGGTTGAGATCTCACAAAACATGTTTAACCCCGCCGCATTTTTGCGCCTGTCCCAAGTCAGGAGCCTCTGGCCTTTGTTAGTCTTGTATGTTTTTTAATTTTAGTTCATTTATATGTTTTGGAGTTTAGTGTGATGTCCATTTTCATTGAACTAGTACACATTTTGTTTAGGGGCCAGCTGAAGCCTGCCTCCGGGTGCGGGATTTTCTCGCTGTGTTGAAGACCCATTGGTGGCCTTCAGCTGTTTTCTGCTCTTTGGTCGGGTTGTTGTCTCTTTCACACATTCCCCATTTCCATTCTCAATTTTATTATATATATGCAAGATATGTCAAAATCCCATGAAGTTTTTAAAAAAGTTATTTATGTCTTAACGAAATTTTAACCAAAAATTGTAGCCAAAAATTAATTGCATGAACAAAACTAAGTTCATTTACCAGTAAAATATAAAAAAAATGAAAAAAATATTTTTCAAAATTGTTCTATATGTTGTCTCTTGATCATCTGTCCAAGCTTCTTGATGAAGGAAGAAGGCTTGATGAAGGCTAGAGAAATATTTGAAATTATCAGTTACTGTGAATTCAGAAATTATTGTGAGGTTTTTAATAATGTAACTTGGTGGTTAGTACATTAATAACTTGTATTCTGATATCTGTATGCAGATTTTTTTCAGGAATTGCAATAAATAATCTTGAATTTCTGTCTATTTGTCAAAAATGGCAATGATAAATGCACAAAAAAACCTCTAAATTGACAGTTAGCAGAAACACCCCTTTAAACGAATATAATCAAAAGAAATAATTCTCTTGGAAAAGATTTCTCAGAGTTATTTCAATCACTACTCCTCTGAAACTACATGTGAGGTGATTTGCTAGAATTTGATATGACTTTTTAGTACAATAACTCCATTTGCACTACAATGTATATAAAATAATAATTAAAGATAAATTCAATTCATCATATTTTCTTGACATCTGTATCTATACTTCTGTGCAAGTATTTAAACTTCAAATATTTTATGATGATGGGAGTTTTTAACAACCTTGACTGACTATACAGCCCTCGCACGGTCAGCTATTTTATGTAACCTTAGACATTTGACCTACCTCTTGCTCCGGAGAGAGATGACGGTGTATATCCAGTGGCATGATTCTGTCGAGAAACGTTTATATTATCTTAACTTAGACATTTGACCTACCTCTTGCTCCAGAGAGAGATGACGGTGTATATCCAGTGGTATGATTCTGTCGGGAAACGTTTATATTATCTTTACTTATAGACAGTTGACCTACCTCTTGCTCCCGAGAGAGATGACGGTGTATATCCAGTGCTACGATTCTGCTGAGAAACGTTTATATTATCTTTACTTAGACAGTTGACCTACCTCTTGCTCCGGAGAGAGATGACGGTGTATATCCAGTGGTATGATTCTGCCGAGAAACGTTTATATTATCTTTACTTAGACAGTTGACCTACCTCTTGCTCCGGAGAGAGATGATGGTGTATATCCAGTGGTATGATTCTGCCGAGAAACGTTTATATTATCTTTACTTAGACAGTTGACCTACCTCTTGCTCCGGAAAGAGATGATGGTGTATATCCAGTGGTATGATTCTGCCGAGAAACGTTTATATTATCTTTACTTTGTTTACGTTTCCCACCATTTATATGTCCAAGAAAATCGAAAGCTGGACTAGGCTGGTCAGGCGAAAGTAAATTTTCTAATGTATTTCTTGTCCGTACAGCACTATCAGTTCGCTTTGGTTGACCTAATCTTCTAGGTGTAGAGTGATTTTCCTCGTCACTATCATTGGTAGATGAATACCTACGCCCTGGAATTTTAGGTTCTTTCATATCAACCCCATATTTATGTAATGTTTCCCTCAAATGTTTGGATGGTGGTTCATCTTTACTGGCACTACTTCCTGTTCTTGAATTCGATGTTCTACTACTATTCCGTAAAATCTCACTTAAGTTTGAAGGGGGTTGATATCTATCAGAGTGTAAAGTAGGTTCATTATTCTGTTTCTTTGGAGGGCGTTGTACAGCTGGGGAGGCAACTCTTGGCGTCATGGAACTGTTTGGTTCACATACAGCCTAAAAATACATTGTATACTTCAGTATGCTGTTCAAGTGGTGACTAATATGTTAATGTATTATACCTTAAGTTTGATAGACAAGTTCTGCGTTACTGATGCATATTGTAAAACATTCACAGATTTGACAAAACTTGGTATTAATCCTTTCAAATTAAAGAACTGAAAAAAATCTTCCAAAATAAATCATGAATATAAAAATAAGAAGATGTGATATGACTGCCAATGGAATGAGACAACTCCCCATAAGAGACCAAAAGACACAGAAATTAACAACTTGAGGTCATCATACGGCCTTTAACAATGGTTAAAACCAGGGCTTTCAAAACGGTCATATTTTCCGGACAAGTCCAATAAATTATATAAATGACTTGCTGTGCCAAGGCTGAAACGGACATTTTAATATAGTTCAGAAAAAAAAATTGAAGTTTATGCAATCTTTTTGACCTGACCTTTTGCCTTAAACAGCCACACATTTCCGGTCATTTAAGTGACATGATTATTAATTACTATCAAAACAAACCCTACTATTATACCCTCTCATTACAATCAAGGTTAATTAGTTCTCTGACAGCTGATTTTACCTGTTCAGGTGACAGGTAAACTATTTTGTACCGGACATTGATCGGTCTAGTATTAAAAAGTTATTTTCATAAATTTCAGCGGTTATTAATTAAGTCAACAAGATTCAGATTACCAGAAAACGTATATATAAATATGATTTGATGAAAATTTAAAAAGGTAGTAATAAAGGTTTTAAGTGAAAAATCATAACCACGTTGTTTGAACTAGTACACTGGTGCCCATGTGCGCAGGTGTGAGATTAAATTATGCATCCGAATTTTCAAAAATGCTTAAAATATCATTGATACCTATATCTAACGTTCATTTCGAGTCTTTTCCTGTAGAAATTACGTGGAAAGAGCTACTTAAACTCAATTGTGCTTTGTAAACGTACACGGATTTTACGTATCCGTCTCTGGTACGTGTTTTACCATTGTCCAGTCAACATCCAGTAATAGGAAAAGTACTTTTTAAAAATGAAAGTGAAGTTATTGACAGCGTAATTTTGCACAAATAAAGAGTCTTAAACAGATAATAATACGTTGATGTTGCACACTTCTAATGGTGCACTGTCAATTTAACAGTTAGCGCCAGAACATCGAATTTATATTAAAAATCAAGTCAAATACCGTTTCTGTGTCAATCATAATTCATATGATGCCCAACTGATAACTATGGGTGCCTTTTGTTACCATGGTTACTAAGTCTTAAGGTATTAAAATCGGGATAAGACCACAAAAAATGTTCGGCTAGCTCAAATATTTTTTGGAAGCCCTGGTTAAAACCCATACTGCAGTCAGCTATAAAATGCCCGAAATGACAAATGGAAACTAATTCAAACGAGTAAACTAATGGCCTGATTTATGAACAAAACAATGAACAAATAACAAATATGATCTACAGCAACAAATGACAAATGCTGAATTACAAGCTCCTGACTTGGGACAGGCACATACAGAATGAAGCCTTTAATCAAGTGATTGTCCTTGGTTGGTGTCTATCGTAAATTTTTGTACTTTTTATTGCTTTTTTTAAAGTTTGAATCAGATTGTTAGTCATCTGTTTGGAATTGTTAACAGCAGAATGCATTGAGTGTGTAGGTAAAGGTAAAATCTTTGGTTAGCTTGCTAGCTAGCTGAACCGTGAAGTCATTATTAGGTAAACTACCCCCTTTTAAGAGTAGACTAGTCCAACAGATAACCAATCTATCTGTCTGTAGGACTAGACTACTCCGAAAGGAGGGTAGTATACCTAACCTAATAATGACTTCACGGTTCAGCCAACAAGCAAGCTAACCAAAGATTATACCTTTACCTACACACTCAATGCATTCTGCTGTAACATCTTATATAATTACAATGGGGCCGTTTACAGTTTGATATACAGTATAGGTATTTTAAATTGTTTAGGGTGGTTCTATGTTTACAGTTTGATATACAGTATAGGTATTTTAAATTGTTTAGGGTGGTTCTATGTTTACAGTTTGATATACAGTATAGGTATTTTAAATTGTTTAGGGTGGTTCTATGACATTTAGTTGTTTACCTCTTTATCCTTTGGTCTATGATTGGATAGTTTTACCATTGGCAATCACTACACATTTTATTTTTACATTAAACAAATTGAGTTGTGCCATTGACCTTTTCACATAGATTACGGTCCTGTATCAAAATGAAGGTAGTAAAAACACATTTTGTCCAGTAAAAAAAACAATCACATTTATTTAGGTCATAACATGTACCCCTGCTTACTCATAGTTTTGGTAAGACTTGTGTTGCTCAATATTCAGGATTTTTTTTTATGTTTTGTTCACATTTGTTTATCTTTTAGTTCTAATTCCTATTGGTTTCATAATAAAAGTGCAACTTGAGCATGTTGAGGGTGCAAACTTTCAATCACAAGCCATATGTCATCTATATATTAAAGCTCTATGTTTAATACCTGATGCTGTACTAGAACATCTTGTGGAAAGAGTTCGTCACAGAATTCACAGGGAAGCATAAAGTTATCACTATCAGGTCCGTGTCTATCTAAATCTATCAATCCATGTATATCTTCATTGTTACTGTCACTGAAATATACACATATGTACACTATTATATCAAAACAATTACTTCAGGCCTGAGAAGTCAAACATCTTTGATGATGCAAAATCATTATGCTAAAAAATGTAATTCCTTCAATCACTGAAAAACTCCAGATTGGTGAACTGGTATCAAAAAATCTAATTATTTTCTAAATTTACAATATAAGTATACAATACATAGATCTTCTGTGGTCATGCTTACAATATACCACATCTACTTAATTATTATTTACAGTATTCCTACGTATATATACACTTACCCAGCCCATATATTCTGTGTAACTCCATAATCTAGATTATTTATCACAGAGGGTTGATGTCGGGTAGTTTCTTGAGATCTCAGTCTATTGTCCAGCTGAAGTGGTGTCGTTTCTTGAGCTATTCTTCCTGAGCTCCAACCAGGATCTTCTCTATTATTGATTTGTGGCATCAGAGAGCTTAGCGGGTCATCTGTACAATGGCTCTGTAAACAATCAATATTTCAAATGTCAAAACTACACTTAAACTTTTGTTATTGTTGAGAGATAAAACTTTTACAAAAAATTAGGGATGTCAACTGAATCTGGTACTTGTTAGTTTTACTGAGTAATACTCAAGTACTGGTATTAAGAAATATCATCTTGGGACTCATCCAGTCGGTTGTGTAAATTTTTATCAAAAAGTCTCTATATAATATATAGTGCAACATGATAAACGCCAGGTAAACTTTCCAGAGATGGCCTTTTGTAAAAACTTAAAGTATGTTAACCAACAATTTCTGAACCACAATTTAACACAAACATATGAATCATATTTTAAAATGATTTATCAATGATTATAAAGGGACGTTCTGAATTAAATAAAAACATATGAAAAGAAAGAAACAATATCCTAACAGAAAACCAAATAATCCAGTATATTTTGATATAACATACTCAGTACTAATACGTGATACTTGAGTAGTCCAGTATTTGTAGACATCCCAATAAAAAATTTAACAATTATTAACTTAACATGGCCAAGTTTAACTATTTAAACTGGATCTTTCTTTTTTAAGTGGATTTTAAAGGGCAGCTTTTGTGAAGGTGACAAATGTTCTTAAAAAGATGCAAAGAAAAAATGTGTGTTTTTGTCTTTTAAAAATGCACTTTATTAAAAGAGTTAAACTTCCTGTTTGACCAGAATGTTTTATTATGTACCTGATGATTGACTAAGTCATCTATGGGAATAGCTTCTCCACAAAACTCACATGGTAAAAGTGAGATATCTGAAAAGTAGAATATTATAGTTAAAGTCATTATTTCATGTATTTCTTTACAGCTAAAATATTTCAGTGTGTACTCATTGCATAAAAATTGAGATCAGGTATTTTAAATACAAAAAGCTGTAATTACAATTGTGTGTGATTGATTGACTGACGTTAAACACCACTTTCAATACTATTAGTTATTTTGTGGTGGTCAGTTTTTATTGGCATGATTGGTAGAGGAAGCAGTCATGCTAGGAAAAAAAACCACAACATAAGTCTTGTAATTATATATAAAGTGTAAATAAATGTGTGAATAAAGCCATTCAATCTCAAATTATTGTCATTTTGTGTTTACACAAATATCGAACTAACGTTATGTCACCAATTGTATCCATTGAATTTACTCACAACTTGAGCTGCTTAGAGCTCGACACAATTATCATTGATCATTCTTTACATGTCTGTTGATTGTGAACCTGGGCTGTCGTTTCATTGTCTCATTGATGTTATCCAAAACAAGAGGCTCTCAAGAGCCTGAATCGCTCACCTGTTATTTTTTTTGCTTAAATCTTTCATCAATGATTATTTTTGCTTTTTACCCATATGTTCCATTTTAGCCATAGTGTCTATGTTTCTTGACGTACAAGGAAATGAAATACAAAATTTATACTAGATTCATTTGAGAAGATTTTTAAAGTTAAAAAACATAAAACAACTTGTGTAAAATTGTCCTTAAAGGGCAATAACTCCTTAAGGGGTCAATTGACAATTTTGGTCATATAAACTTTTTTGTAGATCTTACTTTGCTGAACATTTTTGCTGTTTACAGTTTATCTTTATCTTCAATAATATTCAAGATAATAACCAAAAACTGCAAAATTTCCTTAAAACAACCAATTTAGTGGCAGCAACCCAACAATGGGTTGTTTTTGAACATTTTTACCCCATGTCAGATTTGCTTTAAATGCTTTAGTTTCTGAGATATAAGCCAAAAACTGCATTTCACCTCTATGTTCTATTTTTAGCCATGGCGGCCATGTTTGTCGATGGATCAAAACTTCTGATACAATTTATAAACAAGATACCCTAAGGAACATTTAGTTAAAGTTTGAAGGTATTTGGCGCAGTAGTATCAGAGGAGAAGATTTTTGAAATAGTTTACGACGACGACGACAGATGACGGACAACGACGGACGCCAAGTGATGGCATAAGCTCACATGGGGCCCTTCCGGCCACGGTGAGCTAAAAATCTGAAATTCTGCTGAAATTCCTCAAAAGTACTTACTACTGCATGATTTGTAAGGTGTACTATGGACTCAATCTATTTTATTAGAAAAGAAGGAAAATGCTATATCAAATCCTTAGAGCAAAGGTACAGCGCTTTATTGTTTTTTTTTTATAAAAATTTACAGTAAGGCAAAAGCTTCCATCTTACTAAAGCAATGATATGAGTAGTTTAATTATGATTCAAACACTCTAAGCAGTATGTATTTTGAAAACAGACCTGCATGATCAGGTTCAATGTCATAACTATCAGAAACATTCCTGTCCAGTCTACTGGAGGAGTTTCCTCCCCTTGGTACTACTGATGGCTTATCAAGCTGCCTGATAATGTCTTGTAGATTATCCTCTTCATTGAGGTCTTGGCTAAGATGCATGGCTAACAATCTGTCTTGTTCCTCCTGGCTGCTGTTTTTAACTGGATTGGATCGGGGATCAAATACTGGCTCTGATCTCTGATTTGTCCTCTCTGAGATTCAAAAAGAAATAAATCAAAAGAATTTAAATTTCAAAGACAAAATTAAAATTTACAAGACGTAAAATAACAGACAAAAACATCCTCACCTGTATTTTGTGGTCCATGATAATGTGTTTAAATTTTGTAAGATTTGGGCAAAGTGCTTTTTTTATTATCAGTTGAAAACCAAATATGTGATGAACAGACATAAGATCACATTACGTGACATAAGGATCGTCATATACTATTGACTTTGTTGAACAGGGGTATAATTACTATAATTGATGTTTAAACTGGGTTAAATGGTCAAAAACACTTTGAATCATCAAAATTGAATCCCATTTCTTAAATCCTTTCTTTATCTATAATCTGAAAACTACAACCCTGGAATGGTAAAAGTCATGAAATTGAAAATTTAAAAAAAATCCAACTAAATTTACCTGTAATTAGACATCCAAAAACAGCTTAAAATTTCAAACAATTTTGTAAAGCCTTTTTTACATCTAGCTTAGAAACCACAAAATTTTGAATTTTTGCAACAATCAAGTACCCTTAGAGTTCTGTAGTTTTGGTAAAATTGAAAATGACAAAAAAAAGGTTTTTGATAAAATTAATAAGCTAATATATATATATATATATATATGAAACTATCAAAACTTATACAATACTCAAAATTGACAACAACACTTCAAATGGTCTGCAATTTTATTTGCTATGGTCTACATGTTTCGCCTGCAAGACAGGCGTCATCAGGACAATTTTCATACAGAAATTAATTACTGAAGTACTCAAAGTGGTACATTGAATTTGACGTTGTCAGGGTGAGAGAAACAATGAAAAGTGAAAGTAGCAATAAAGAGCTATAAATAGATAAGATAAATATAGAAAAATAAATTTTGTTTTACAATGTAAATTGAGTTCGTTTTACTTTTATATGATACATGACATTGTTCTAAAGGCTTGGTATCTACATGGACGATCTACCCATGGTTCCTACCACTTCACAAGGCTTCTCTTCCAACCTGGCCATTGTTGGATGTTACTACTTCCTGGCGCGTCGGCAACAATGGGAAGATTTTGGTCGCCGCTAATGAAAAATAAAATTGTCAAAAATTGTTCCCTTGTTAATTATTTGGTATATATATAATTTTTTGATAGTCTGCTGTATAGTTGGTCTTTTTTTCGGCATGGTTGTAAATTTATAGTTCATTTATGTTCGGCACACACATGGTGTTTGGTACGTTGCTTCTGCTATCATTTATAGATGTACATGTATGTAAAGTGGTATCTGAAATCTTGGAAATCTTGGTTCAGTTGTTGTTTTGTCGCACGTATGGAATATTCCTTGGTCCATGTATACGCTGGTGGCCTGTAGATCAGCGCTTGTAGCAAGGCGGTAACTTCGGGATGCAGGGGTTCACGAATAAATTAATCTTAAATTAAACTCCGTTTGGTGAACCAACGCCTGTGTGAATCATTTCGATAGAGTCCCTGAAGTGGATACCTTGGTATGCAGGGTTGTCAAATTATGCAAATGAATGCAACATTTAAATAATACTCAAAACTGACAACAACACTTCAAATGGTCTGCAATTTTATTTGCTATGGTCTACATGTTTCACCTGCAAGACAGGCGTCATCAGGACATGCTATATTAAATAACTTACCTCTTTGCTTATTAACCTCTGATTTTTTATTTGTTTTGCTCTTTGTAAATTTCATTTTATCACGTCTGGTGTCATTAACAATAGGATTGGCGGGTCCCCCTGCTGCACCATATATATCATGTATATCCTCTGTTCGTAAAATTCTGTTCATTTCTTCAAACATAAAAGGATCAATTTCAGTTCTATAAAGCTGATCTGGTAATAGAACACTGCTTCCGCCATTTGCATGATTTCTACTTGACGTATTATCTGTCAAGGGTTTTGGAGTAGGGTAAGTACAGTTACTTTCTTCGTGTTTTAAGTCATCTTTTTTCATGATAAATTGTCCACACTTTACACATTCCTCTGTCCTTGTACCACAATAATCTAAATGATTGTCTAGTTCAATCTTTGGCATTTCCAGTTCACAATATAAACATTTCATTGATCTTTTGGAACATTCATCCTCCTAGAATATAAAATGACAATTAATAATTAAGACAGTCAGGTAAAACAAAAAAATCTTTATTTGATTTTTAACTAGCATTCTGACAGTATTGCATAGCAATACATAGTCCCCTACCAGTTAAGAATTCATTGTACTGGAATAAAATGCTAACTTGATCTATAACTTGTCAGGTGTAAACTATATAACAAATGTCAAGTCAATATCTTCAAGCATGACGAAAAAAAGTGGGGAAAACTGATTATTTGAGTGAATTTTCTAAGTCCAAGGACCATTACTATGCACAAAATCATCAGACCGGAACAAAATTTGAATTTGATCTGTAACTTGTCATGATAAAACCATATAATAATTATTAAATCAATATCTTCAAGCATGACAAAAAAGAGTGCGAAAAACTGATTATTTGAGTGAATTTTCTTAGTCCAAGGGCCATAACTCTTCACAAAATCATCAGACCGGAACTTGATCTGTAACTTGTCATGATAAAACTATATACCAAATTTCAAATCAATATCGTCAAGCACAAAGAAAAAAAGTGTGGAAAACTGATTTGCTGGACTGACGAATGGACTGTGAGAAAGACGGACGGAGTGCAAATCTAAAGTCCCCATCGACTTCGCTGGTAGGCGAATGGGACTAATAATGCAAAATATATATTAATATGTTTTTTTACAATATGGCAGTGTACATAAAGTGATTCAGTTAAATATATATACACTTTTATAAACATTTCCAGTGATTTCGCACATGTACTCTTTTCAACTGTGTTATCAATATAGTGATGGGACTGTTCTAGTGAACCAGAGAAAACAATTAAACCAGATAAAAGGGGCACTAGCTGTCAAATTCATGTTCACTGATTTGACTCAAATTCTCATATTTGATTTATAACAATGTAAAACATTTATCCAAACTATTAAAAGTCTGAAATAATCAGTTAACAGGACATCGGCATGATAACACGTAGCTTCGTTTCGTGTGTATTTTAGTCTAGACGCCATCTAATTAACTATCGAGTTGACCTCCAAAGTCATCCGATGACCATATAAGCGATGTAAACATAAATAAAGATATAAATAGATTAAGCAAACTTGTGCTATTGGATTTTTCTAGGTCTGTTTAATTTCATATTATAGATTAAAAATATATGTTTATCATTGTTTTTATTTGTATAAGAATGCTCTTTTGTGGATCGGATCAGTCAATCAAATGATTTACCTTCATTTCACTTTCAATGTTGACATTCTATTCCTTTAAATAACTTTACACATACAATTCACGTGTTATCCATCTCTAGCTAGGGGGTTAAATTGAAGTTCACATGAATACGGATTCAATGAGGTCGAATTATTCACTTGCAAGTGAATCATTCATCATCAATGTTTCTTAGCTTATTTTGACAAAATTGAATCATACTGGCGGCTAAAAGCGAATAATTATTTCACTATTTCACTTTCATTAATGATTGAACAAAAAAAATCACATATTAGATTTTTTACATATCTCGTAGCTAATGCCCCTTTAAAGGGAGGAAAATGTGTTGTTATCCTTCAAATAAACATTAATACAACCACATATGACACCTGTTAGATCCAGAAATGGAATATTTATTCTAAATTTAAAGTTCCAAACAATCCTCAATACAGAACTGTAAAGGAGACATATATACATAACATGTAGATTCTGAATTCAAAGGACTTCGCAGCTGTTCTAATATCAGAAAATAGCAAACATTGTCATTTTTTATAACACAGATCTCTCAATCACAATTTTTCTGCAATCTTCAAAAAAGTATAATCATGCTTTGTATCACTTTAATATGTGCAAATTCATTATACCTCATGTTTTTCTAGGACACTTTTCTCTACCTGTACACCACATTTCTGACAAGCAATCTTTGCATGAGTTTCTTCGAAATGTAGATCAATTTCTCCCTTGGGTACAGGTTCTTGACAGTGCTTACATAATGTAATGTTACGCATACAGTGCATCTCATGCATAACAAAATTAACAGCACTGATGTCTCTTTTACTGAAAACAAATACAAAATATTAAACTATATCATGTATATTTCATGTTCATTAGTTATCATTAGGCTTTTAATATATCTTAATACAAGGCATGTGTTACTTGAATCGGAAGCTCTAAAAGATTATTTGTGTATGTGTGTTTTGTTGTACTTTTCTGATTTATAAAACTTAGATATTTATACAAATTTGCAGGGCAATCGTAAGCTCTTCAGACACAAGTTTGCAGGGCAATGGTAAGCTCTTCAGACACAAATTTGCAGGGCAATCGTAAGCTCTTCAGACACAAATTTGCAGGGCAATCGTAAGCTCTTCAGACACAAGTTTGCAGGGCAATGGTAAGCTCTTCAGACACAAATTTGCAGGGCAATCGTAAGCTCTTCAGACACAAATTTGCAGGGCAATTGTAAGCTCTTCCGACACAAATTTGCAGGGCAATCGTAAGCTCTTCAGACACAAATTTGCTGGGAATCATATGGCTCTATTATGATGTTTTATAAAAAATTCCAAAGGATCACCCAAAATGTTGTTCATGTTATTGAAGGTCTTAAGCTTTCAGAACCATAGTGGTATACACCTTCAAGAGATATAACTAAACATGACATAATGTTTGCCATGCATGGCATCACAGAATAGATTTGAATTGAAAATTAATATATTTTATCTGCTGAAATTATTTTCCCTGTATTAATGATTTCAGTAAATGTTGATATTTATTCATCTTTAATGCATATATTATAAACCTTATTTTTTTCCTTTTTCATCTTAATTTAGTGTATGTCGTGTATGTTGTATAAGTCATCTGTTTAATCATGCACAACAAGGTAAATCATGCAATTAGCTGTCAATGTAAAAATTTCTTGAGGCACTGCTCACACTATTAAATACTAATTGGATTGCTTAATTGCCACTGACATGAGGTATCCGGTATTCAACTTCAATCTATTGATTTTTGAAGCAATGACGCTGCATGGCGAACTGCATATTAGTCAGGGGTAATACTTGAGCAAGTTATTTTTATATACTTGAAGAAGTAAATATTAATATACTTATATAAGTAAATTCGTTAGATATTTATGCAAGTGTATTTTATTTACTTGTATAGGTAAATTATATATATATTCTAATGGCTTAGTTATTTCCTTTAGACATTCCCATTTTTTTACTTATACAAGTAAAAAAGTCATACTATCTCCATTTCTTGAATTTCTCAGGACTTCTTTACTCTATAAATAGCACTATTAATTGTCTGTCCTTTGCAGATGTCTTTACTAAATCATCTAAGTGTAAAAGGCTGAACTATAACAAAAAATTATGAGCTAACCAGAGAAAAATTGTTTAACCTGTATGAAATATTCCCCACAGAATGTATACGGAATATAGTAGGAATATTGCATTGAATTCCTACCAGAAAAGAGTGATATTCTAGTCAGACAGTAGTAGGAATCCACACGGAAAATAGCCGAAAAATTTAAATTAGCAGTAATTTCTAAGAAGGAATATTGTATATTCCTACCAGGAATATTTAAATTAGCAGGAATAATTTGGCGGGGAAATAAAATTCCTACTAGAAAACCTGGTAGGAATTTTTCAAAATTCCACAAAGAAAAAATATTTTCTAGTAGGAATCTAAAAATATACAAAATGTAAGTGTATATTCACAAATACACAACTGGGTCAATCATTTAAGTTTGAATCTAAAAAAACAAAGAACAAAGGAAATGCATGGAATATATTCATTTAAAAAAAGTTGACTTTTGAAATGTATTAGGAAGCTGTGATATATAAATGTATCCAAGCTAGAAATTGTGTTATATAAGTAGATAGGCAAAAATGTTGATTAGATGAATTTTAAAAGAGTAATGAACAAATAATGAGTAAAATTATGCACTATTGTTGAATTAACTGATTACGAAATATATTGGCAAACAGATAAAAAATTTCATCTAAAAGTATAAAAATTACCTTCAATCTACATGAGCAATATTTTCTCATATTTCAATAATGTAGTTGTTTGACCCTTGCAGCATTGTGTTCCAACACAACTTTTCATTCTTCTATCCTCAAACTTTTGAATTTATATACTGGAACTTGGTTGCATTAATAACACAGCAAAATGAGTGCCATTAGCAAACATGAATCCAGTTTAAGATAATTAAAAAGATTCCATGTAGAAAGATTTTCTAGTAGGAATAAATTAATTCTGGTAGGAATCTAGTAGTAGGAAAATGAATAAGATTTTCTATCCAAATTTCCACTTCATATTTTCAAAACAGAAGAAAATCCATACAGACTTTTAAAATTCCAGCTAGATGGTAGGATTTTGCCAGTGAGAAAATAAAAAATCCAGTCAGAATTTTGTTCATTTTCCCTGTCCGCCTACTTTCTATAATTCTAGGTAGATTCCTACTACATTCCGACTAGTGTCTAGGTGCTTTTTGCTTCTTCAAGTAAATAAAAATAACTTGAACAAGTAGTACCCCTGACTGTATAAGCAAGGTGCATGAAAACAATTGTGGCAGAGGGAAATTCAAGCATGATGCAACACCAGTCTTCATGATAAACCAGTAGTCTGAAGCCCTATGCTTGAAAACTTCCTGGTGGGCCTATGAAAGTTAATCTTACAGGCCTATAGAATTTATACAACAATTTCTGAAAAATGGGGTGTGGGCCTTTGGTCCTAAAAGTTTACTGTGAAGACTGCAACGCCACTCTACAATGGGTCATGGTGATCCCTGTACAAATGTAAGCCATGTTAGTCAACAATAAATAATCTTCCAATTGATCTTTTTTCCTGGAAAACTTGATGTCAGAATGCAAATATCTTTATGTCACAAAGTCCTATGACTCATTTTACCCCAAATACCTCAGGTCAACTGCCTGGGGCAGTCTATTCATAAAAACCAAATTGGAATCTTGTTAATTTATATTGTGGGTCTCATTGGGGAGTACATATAAGCATGATGCGAGATTGGCTGATTTTTTGTAAGCATGACACGTGATCAAAGTCAAATTATTTTGCGTGTAAACAGGAAACGGAGTAAGGCAGGACATGTGAAATTACAAGCGCTATTATGACAATGATAAGCAGGATACAGGATTCTGACAAAACAATATGCAGGTTACAGGATAAGAACCTCTCCTCCTCCCCCTCCCCCCCCCCCCCCCCCCCCCCAAAAAAAAAATTAAGACACCCTTCATTATAATATTTTTTAAAGGAAAACATAATTTCTACAACATGAACATTATTTTAAAATAAATATCCAACAATAAATTACCAATTTTTGCAAAACTTTGTCTCCATTTCTTTTGAATCTTCAGCCATGTTGATGTTTATGAAACTGAAAGTTGCTTGGTCACGTTACCAGAATGTTTTTTATCATTACAAATTTGTCATTCAGATATAATCAACCAATGATTCATTATGAATCGCTGATCATCATTTAGTTTTACTCATTTAGGCAACAGAGCAACATTCTGTTTTCGATGACAATAAAGAAACTACAGGGTGTTTCCCCTTCTTCAAAGAAACTTGGGATACAAACTGTAGCCTGGCTTGTCAACAAAATATTTTGACAGCTCTAATCTGCAATATAACATCAATTGCGATTGGCTAATTGTTTTAAGACGACGGTTTTTATTTGTTGGTGTAAGAGGCAAGTCATCGCCATATATTCTACTTCCGGTTTATCCGGCTACCTGCACGTGGAAACCCACTAACTTTATTGCAACATTTTTTAATTTAAAATATTCACATTTACAATGGCAACGCCTTCTTTAAATGAAGCCCAGTTGAAGCTGGTATCGGATTTAGAATTAGAAATGATGGCAGATATGTACAACAGGTGAAATGATTGATAAAAAATTTAATATGATTTGTAACCAAAATTTGACCTTTGCCATGTTTGTATACCTTTATACCTTTATCTTCGGGTGCTTAAAATAAGCCAAAGGCTTCTGCTGACCCCTCATCTTGGATTGTCGTAATGCAATTTCTCCTCTCATAATAATCGCATAATACTATATTTATATATACAGTCAGGGGTACTACTTGTACAAGTAATTTTTATTTACTTGAAGAAGTAATTATAATATACTTATATAAGTAAATTTGTAGGATACTTATACAAGTGTATTTTATTTACTTGTATAAGTAAATTATTTTTTGGCCTAGTTATGTCCCTTAGACATTCAGATTTTTTTACTTATACAAGTAAAAAAGTCATCCTATTTTCTTTTCTTGAATTCTTAGAACTTCTTTGCTATAACAGAATTTTGAATTGTCTGTCCTTTGCAGATATCTTTACTATTCATTTAAGTGTAATTTCATGGACAATGAAAATCTCATTTGTCTGTTATCTTTAGAACACTGCTCATTTACAAGCCCCCAAGGAGCAATTTTTGAAGGCCTTGCGCAAATACTTAAGATCTTTGCTCAATCAGTTTCTTTGTTGAATTAATGAGATGAAACATTGAACTCTTATCAAAAATTATGAGCTAACCTGAGAAAAATTGTTAAAGGCATGATTTTACATCTCAAAACTGAGAATTTTTGTGGGATTGTAAAAAAAATTTACTTAAACAAGTAAATTTTTTAGAAAATTAAGGGGAGATTATTCAAACAATATAATTAACTTGTATAAGTATATTTTATTTACTTCTTCAACAGTCAGGGGTGCTACGTAAACAAGTGATTTCATCATCACTTATTTCAGTGATTTGATAAATTCAGTTATCACCTATTTAAGTGATTTTAGTGTTTTCTTTGATCTTCAAATGCTAATTTCATTGATTTTCCATATTTTCACAATCTTTTCTATAATTTTCCTACATAAATCAATTATCCCTTTTTCTTTGTATATTAATTTCACCAGTGCGCTTGGGCAGTAAGTTAGTGTGCTAAAGCTTTTAAAAGTACCCTTGGGAATTTTTCTGTAATCAAAAATTCATTAACTACTCTTACTATCAGACAAAGATCAACAATAATAGGTAACCTGATTGGTTTTCTTTAGAGTTAGAATGATCTACTTCAAGGTTATGACCTGATCTACAAACTATTCCAGTTTTTGCATATTTTAAAAAAACTGTAAAAGTGTCAGGCTTATCAAGCAAAAGACAATTTCTGCATATACATAGTTGTTTTTTCAATGGAATTGTTGTCTTTTTACCAATAAAAAAAACAAGCTTGTGGGAAAAATATCAAGAAAATGTTATAAACACTTATTAAAGTGATTACATTTTAACTTCTAAAATTACTTGTTTCAGTGATTTTAAAAAGTCTGTGAGAAAATTTTTAATATTTCACAGCCAAAATCACTCGAGGGAGTGATTCTGAAATCACTTGTTTAAGTAGTACCCCTGACTGTTCAAGTAAATAAAGATTACTTGTACAAGTAGTACCCCTGACTGATATATTATACTTATAAAAATAGAACTTATTTAGGTGTGCACAGCTTAACAATTAACATGAACATATAAATTTATACGGGTTCCAATTCTCGCCATTTAAAGCCGACTTAAAATTATTCAAAGTGTTTGCCATCACTGTTTAATCTGACAGGTTATTCCACTGATCCACTACTCTAATTGAAAAAGTATTTAGTGTATGTGTCGTCTTACACTGTTTCTTAAAGAGTTTTAATGAGTGACCTCTTAGTATTATAAGATGGTGCTAAAAAAAAAAGGCTCATCGAGTTTGTATCATCTATACCATGCAACGCTTTATATACTTGTATCATATCATTTCTATCCCTACGATATTCCAAGGTTGGCAATCCCAATGAGCGTAATCTATCTTCACAACTTAAATGATTTATATTCTTTACGAGTTTAGTACTGTCAGAGACATGTATTAGAGCACCATACATCATTCCAAATTTTTGGTGGGGTGTGTGTTGCTCAGTCTTCAGTTTTCTATCTTGTATTTTGTATACTGTCAAAACATGACTGTTGTTTGTCTTTTCATTGGTTTTTGTATTTTGCCATGGACTAGTCCAAATAATTATGGAGTCAAATCAGCACCTATAGAAAAAGTCAAATCGGCACCTGGTTAAATCGGCATCTGGTCAATTCAGCATCTGATAGTATTTGATATAATATATTTCATGTGTATATAAATAATTCTAAATATGTATAAAATGATCTTTCAATTTTTTATTATTTGAAAAAATTTTGGGGTTGGATTTTATTTTATTCATTACATCGTTAACAATCATCACATGTTATTAATTGTTTGAAGTTTTCTCAACATTTAAGACTGATGTATTGATTAGTTTTCTTTTCAACTAATTAATTAATAACATTTATCAATTAAATAATTAACATGTTTGTTGTTTTAACGCTATACAGGTAGTTATTGATGTTTTTTTCTTCAAAAACTTAAATAAAAAACAATGAAAGTTGTTGAATAAGGAATACTAGTGTAAAGAGTGAATGAGTCACATGTTTTATACTATTGTACGAGACAAACGACTTAAATCGTATGACTTTTAACAGGTCTTTGATTCACAACGTCCCTTCATTATATTATTTCACAGAAGCTTTGAAGTCCGACTTTTATAGCTGATTAAAAAGATGTTTTATGTGTTATCCCAGACAAAGGGCATCAATACATGCTATACAAGACCATGTATCTTCTACCAGTCAATGTTAGCAACAATACAGATTAAACAACACAAATTCTAAGGTGAAATCAAGCCATTACCCAAGCTGTTGTTTAATCATGAGAAAATTAGAAGCAAATAAGGTAGTATTTCAGGAAAGTTTAAACAGCATTAAACCAACAATCATGCAAAATGCTCAACTGGTTAAAACATGCATAACAAATATCAAATACCTTGAATACACAGTTGAACGAAAAATATACATACAGAACCCCAACCCCCCCAAAAAAATGTTAGTAAGTCAATATTTCTGGACAACCCTTATTTATTTTAATCTTTTTGCTTAAAATACTGAAAAAAGATATATATTCAACATGGGTGCCGATTTGACCAGGTGCCGCTTTAACCAGGTGCCGATCTGACTAGTATTCATACCTATGAGGTTGTGAAAGGCTATTTTGATTTTTTTCTGTGACGCCTCTCGTAGGAAGGCGTCACAGAAAAAAAAATTAAAATAGCCTTTCAAGACGTCATAATTATTTGGACTAGCCATGTACTTACAGAGTTGAATATTCTTTTGGTCATGTTGGTATAAATAATAAAACACCTCTCTTTTTTTTTATCATGTTAATATATTTTTTTAATATCATTGACATTGTATAATTAATTTGTAAGTTTAATCAATCTACACGTTTAATTAAGCATTGTTAAGTGATCAAGAAATTGATGTTCATCATAAGTGATGAAACCAGCATTAATTTAAAAAAAATCATTTGATATAGTCCAATTATACTTTAATTTGTTCATGTTGCATAACCCCAATATTATAAATTTACAATAATAAATATACATATATATTTACTGTGTTTTAGAATGACCACTGCCTGTCAGAAGAAATGTGTACCACCAAAGTATAATGAAGCAGATCTATCTAAAGGTGAATCAGTGTGTTTAGACAGATGTGTATCCAAATATTTAGAAATGCATGATAATATAGGAAAGAAATTGACATCTATGTCACAACAAGACGAAGCTACTGTCAAGAAACTTCAGGAACAAATGCAGGGCCAAAAACCTTAACATAGACCGTTTTAATAGTTGTGATATTACAATTAAAGTATTTATACAATGAAGAAATGAACAAGAGAACACCAGGAGAAAGTGTTATCAGTGCAAGGAATAGCAGGCCATTGATAAAAGTTGAATTGACTCGCTGTCATCAGCTGATCTTGTGTTATAGTTTGCAAAGGTGGCGTTTGGTTAACTGGACATTCAGTTGACAATTGTTTTTAAAAAATTCACTAGACAATCAATATTAAATTTATTATATTACTAAAAATTCTAAAATTTTATTACTACAGTCACAACATTTTTCTAGTAAAATCTCTGGTTGAAATTTTCACTGATTTTGACCATGAAACCTGTGTTGTTAGCGAATTGAAAATTACTGTCAGATGAGACATTGTCACTTTCTCAGTTTATTAAATATTAGTCTTTTAACATTAGAGCGTGACTAATCCAGTATGTAAATGATGCTATAGATTGTACAAGGCATAGCACTACATGTACTAAAAGATGCATATAAAATGTATCTGAGACATTATGTAAACCATGTTAATAAGTAAGCCAATATTATTAACTTAAATGTAAACATAAACATTTTTATAGCCCTCTCTCCCCCGAAAAAAAACCCAACTAAAAACTAAATTGTTTGCAACATATTAGGACATTACATGTTATTAAAAATTTCCTTTTCAAAAACAAAATTATGCATTTTCAAAATTTGTAACCTCTACTGTCATGACTGTACCAAGTTTGGTAGTTGGTACATGTATTTTCAGTGATCATTGTGTCCTTCAAATATTCTGCTGAATGTATTTTGCTCAACAACCTTTCTTTTATCTGATACTTTAATTTCTTTAATAACTAATGTCATTGTGCACTTGTATGTATTTTTAAGTCTTCTTGCATATTTTTTCAGTTTTCTTCTGGATTAATAGTATAAATATCTTTAACTTGATTTATTCAGTTTCATAATAACTGTTGTAGATCACATTTATTTATTTCAAAACTGAATGGGTATTGATCATGTTGATTGACAAAATGATTGATGTGATTTTTTTCAAAATTTCAACAATCCTGTACTATGACTCAAACAATTTTCAATGGTCTCTATTGTTTGATAACATGTATATTGTGATTGAAATAATGTTTTATATATCAAGATGTGTTGTAACTTGATCATGAGTAAATATTTTTTAAATTTATATTTTGAATTTAGTTCTTTTTGTATCAGAACACAATGTTGAAGTTAACCACATCATGCAGTTTTTGTTTTCATTAATGTCATGTGTTCAATAAATTTTGTCTACAGGTACATTTTTCATGAGTCATTGCTTATAATATACTTGTACATCCCACTCAGATAGCATTGAATATTTTAAATTAAGAAAAACGTAAAGAAATTGTCACAACATTCCCTTGTATAGTTCTCCTCGCTCAACTTTCTGACTTATCTCCCTTGTGATATTGTATATTACTATATACCATCTGAACTTTGCTTTGCGCTTGCATTTTAAACTTGAAAAAGTATACAATTTCTGCACAGCATGGCATACATGTATAAGGTATGAGAATTAGACCAATTTGGTGGCAAAAATCTTAATTAGAAAAATAAGAAGATGTGGTATGATTGCCAATGAGACAACTCTCCACCAGAGAACAAATGACATCGAAGTTAACAACTATAGTTGACTGTTCACAAACCGGCCTTAAACAATGAGCAAAACCCATACCACATTGTGAGTTATAAAAGTTCCTGAATTGACAACTGTAAAATAATTCAAACGAGAAAACTAATGGGCTGATTTATGTATAAAATAATGAACAAAAAACAAATATCATCAGACCAGAACAAAATTCTAACTTGATCTATATATCTTGTTATGATAAAACAATACATGTAATATCAAATCAATATCTTCAAGCACAAAGAAAAAAGTGTGGAAAACTGATTTGCCGGAATGATGGATGGACAGACACAAGACAGACAGATGAATGGAGTGCAAACCTAAAGTACCCTTTAACTTGACTTCGTCAGTAGGGAACTAATAAGGAGATGTGGTATGGTTGCCAATGAGACAATAATTCACCAGAAAACAAAATGCAAGGATGTAAACGACTAAAGGGCCATCTGTAGCCTTCAACAATGAGCAAAGCCTAAACTGTGTAGTAATATATGCTTAGAGGCTCCATCATGACAAAATGTAAACCCATTCAAAAGAGAAAACTAATGGCCATGATTTATGCTTTAAAAAAACAATAACCATTATAATTGTGGCAGACAGCTAACTGACTTATCCAAAAATTATGTCAAATTGGGGTGACATGTCTCCTGTGATACTGTAAACTACAGTTGAAAAAATGTAAGAAGACAAGATCAGGCAACACCATGGTCAAAAATATGTATTGTGTTTAACATAAGTCCATAACACACTACCCAGAAAAATACAGATTGAGCAAAACAAACCTCATCATAAGCCAGGGGGTTAGGTAAGGTGCTCCTGATTAGGAAGCTGTTTAGGTTTCACTAGCGGCACATGGTATTGGATCTTGTTCTTCTGAAGGGCAAACAGTTCTTATTTCATTTTTGGCACCTGTCCTGTTACTGTAAGATGAACAAGAAAAGGAGGATGGGATTGTGGCTACTGGGCAAAATTAGATTAAACTTGGTTGCAATCTGAATCACTCTTACATGTAGGGTTTCCTTGTGTCTTCTTGACCTGATATTAAGTTTATAATTGTAATAAAATGCTCCGCAGGGCGCAGCTTGATACGACCGCAGAGGTCGAACCCTGAACAGTTGGGGCAAGTATGGACACAACATTCAAGCTTGATACAGCTCTGAATTTGGATTGTGATTAAATATTTGACACAGCATAGGTTTCTGACACAGAATGAATGTGGTCTAAGAACTTAAAAATTTTAAATTGGACATTCACCTATTATGGTCCAATATCCAAAATCTAAATACATGGTTAGATTCAGCATATCAAAGAACCCCAAGAATTCAATTTTTGATGAAATCAAACAAAGTTTAATTTTGGACCCTTTTGACCTCAATGTGGACAAAGTTGATAATGGGGCCCAAAAATCAAAAATCTAAATACATAGTTAGATTCAGCATATCAAAGAACCCCATATATTCAATTTTTGTTGAAATCAAACAAAGTTTAATTTTGGACCCCGATTTGGACCAACTTGAAAACTGGGCCCATAATCAAAAATCTAAATACATGTTTAGATTCAGCATATCAAAGAACCCTAAGAATTCAATTTTTGTTAAAATCAAACTAAGTTTAATTTTGGACTCTTTGGACCTTAATGTAGACCAATTTGAAAACGGAACCAAAAATTAAGAATCTAAATACACGGTTAGATTCGGCATATCAAAGAACCCCAATAATTCAATTTTTGATGAAATCAAACAAAGTTTAATTTTGGACCCTTTGGACCTCAATGTGGACCAATTTAAAAACGGGGCCCAAAATCAAAAACTTAATACACGGTTAGAATCAGCATATTAAAGAACCCCAAGAATTCAAGAATAAAACCCCATTGAAATTGGTCAAGAAATGAGCAATTTATACTGTGCAATTGAATATTTCTTGCTATTGCGCAATACTGTACAATTGACAGTTTCTTGCTATTGCGCAATATTGTGCTATTTGATATTTCTTGCTATTGCACAATACTGTGCAATTGAAGATTTCTTGCTATTGCGCAATACTGTGCAATTGAAGATTTCTTGCTATTGTGCAATACTGTGCAATTGAAAATTTCTTGCTATTGCACAATACTTATTATATAATAATTTACACATCATGTTTGGTGTGTATTTCCTACCATCTTAGGCCCGAGAACACAGTTATTTCGTAGTGCATTTCTTTTAGACAATAAAGTCAAATTAAAAAAATCGCACCTGCTCTATCTCAAAAAGATTTTTACAGTGTAGTGTATTACTATTGGGACAAATAATATCAAAATTATAGAAAAGTCTACCAGCTCTAACTCAAAATATTGACAATTCTATGTTAAGGGGGTCTAAAATTCAGTTTGACAGCTTCAGACATACTAATTTTTGACCTTTTTAAACTGGACCTAATCACTACTTAACATAAAGATTCAGCACCCAAATTTTTTTAACATGTAATTTCATCCCCTTACTTAATATTTCATGCATTAAATATAAAGAAATAAATTTGGAAAGTGTATGAAAAAAATTTGCAAGTTATACACTGTCCACACTAGGGACTATATTTGTAGACAACGAAAATCGAAGGACGATAACTGTGTCCTCGGACCTAATAGTATAGAAAGACTTGACCAATTCTAATTAAACTTTGCATGACCTAAGCTTAGGCAATTATAAGATAGTTTGCCAAGTTTCAAGGCCATAGGATATATATTATAGAAACTATGGCAATTTTAATATTGAAATTTGAATGTTTAATTTTGACGTTTAAATCAAATAATTTCAACTATCAAGATTTGGGCTTAAAAAATTTAAATATTGCAAAAATTTGCTTTTGAAATGCTCTTAAATATAATATATTAAGTATTAAAAGCAACTGACTACTCATTTGGTTTATCAGATTTGTTACAATTATTCAAAAGTCAAATTTATATGAGCCTGTGCCTGAAAATAGAGATTTTCGAATTAAGGGGAGCCTTACATAAACATGCATTTTTTTTCAACCAATTTGAAGTTTTTGAAGTTTTTTACCATATATTATTCTTTCATATATATTAAATGTACTTTAAATGGAAAGAAAAATTACAAAAAGCATACCAAATGAGTATAAAATGATCTTAGGCTATGTAAGACTGAACATTATTTAGTGTCAATTTAGGCCGTAGCACATATTTACATATAAAAATGCATACAGAAGCTATAAGAAATGGAAATTTGTTACTTTTTGCTCATTTCTATGCTAAGATGTCATGATACAAGAAGTCTAATTGCAAAAGGACTTTTGCATTCAACTTTTTTTGCAGACAGTATGGTCTGATGCACAGTTTTTTCACTTTTCAATGGGAAACTTGCATGTAGTTTTAGTCTCAACTGGCATATATTTGAACCACATACTATCCTACAGAAGAAAATAAAGGCAGTATATGAAATGGATAAGGTGCACAGATCATTGTCAAGTGCTTTTTTTACAGATTTAGTGAAATTTTTATGATGGACAACACATTCTATGTACAAAGCTCTTCACATTGAACATACATTAAACAGGCCGTTCTACCAGGGCCTAAATACAACACATTTTGCACATTTTTTCTGTGATAATCTACTTTTCTCTATATTCAGAGTTCACAAATGGTTAATAGAATTTGAATTAATCATAGAAACACAAATATCAAAGCATAAAAAGCTGTCAGATAGAAAGTCAGCATGCCTCTTAGGCTTAAAATGGAAACTGCTTCAAAATGCTTATTTTAGCCGTATAATGTCAAAATGGTACATTTTAACAGAATTTCTTTCAAATAAAGATGTAAATCCTTTACTTTTATTGAGTTTGACAAATTGAAACCAGCAAACCATTCAGGGACGTTGCCAAAGTACAGAATCTACATTTCCTGAATTCATCTCTTAGGCCCGAGAACACAGTTATTTCGTAGTGCATTTCTTTTAGACAATAAAGTCAAATTAAAAAAATCGCACCTGCTCTATCTCAAAAAGATTTTTACAGTGTAGTGTACTACTATTGGGACAAATAATATCAAAATTATAGAAAAGTCTACCAGCTCTAACTCAAAATATTGACAATTCTATGTTAAGGGGGTCTAAAATTCAGTTTGACAGCTTCAGACATTCTAATTTTTGACCTTTTTAAACTGGACCTAATCACTACTTAACATAAAGATTCAGCACCCAAATTTTTTTAACATGTAATTTCATCCCCTTACTTAATATTTCATGCATTAAATATAAAGAAATAAATTTGGAAAGTGTATGAAAAAAATTTGCAAGTCATACACTGTCCACACTAGGGACTATATTTGTAGACAACGAAAATCGAAGGACGATAACTGTGTCCTCGGACCACCATATCATTATTATTTGCTTTTAAAAATAAAACAGAAATAACCAACTTAAAATGGAAAATTTTAAAAGAAAAAAAAAAGGTAAAAAAGAAAAAAAAGGAACCCCCCCCCCCCAAATTTTTCGAACCCCCTTATGATTCATCACCCCCAAACTCAATCCCAGCCTTCCCCATGTGGTATGGTACCTTGCAGTACAATTTCAGAGAGATCCATACACTTGGACACAAGTTATTGTCTGGAAACTAGAAAAATGCTTATTTTTGGCCCCTTATTCCTAAACGTTTTGGGCAATTACCCCCAAACTCAATTCCAGCTTTCCCTTTGTGATATGAAACCTTGTAGTACAATTTCAGAAAGATCCATACACTTACACACAAGTTATTATCATGAAACTAGAAAAATGCTTGTTTTTTGCCCCTTTTTTGGCCCCTAATTCCTAATATTTTGAGGCAATTACCCCCAAAATCAATCCCAGCATTCCCTGTGTGATATGGAACCTTGTGGTACAATTTCAGAGAGATCCTGAACACAAGCTATTGTCTGGAAACTAGAAAAATGCTTATTTTTGGCCCCTTATTCCTAAACGTTTTGGGCAATTAACCCCAAACTCAATTCCAGCTTTCCCTTTGTGATATGGAACCTTGTAGTACAATTTCAGAAAGATCCATACACTTACACACAATTTATTGTCATGAAACTAGAAAAATGCTTGTTTTTTACCCCTTTTTTGGCCCCTAATTCCTAATATTTTGAGGCAATTACCCCCAAAATCAATCCCAGCATTCCCTGTGTGATATGGAATCTTGTGGTACAATGTCAGAGAGAATCATACACTTACACACACAAGTTATTGTCTGGAAGTTACAAAAATGCTCATTTTTGGCCCCTTTTTGGCCCCTAATTCCTTAACTGTTGGTACCATAACCCCCAAAATCAATCCCAACCTTCCTTTTGTGGTATTGAACCTTATGGTAAAATTTCATAGAGATCCATTCTCTTAAACTAAAGTTAGAGTGCGAAAACCAATGTGTCTTCGGACGACGACGACGACAACGTCATACCAATATACGATCGCAAAAATTTTTTGCGGTCGTATAAAAATAAGTTTCTTCATGGTGGACCTACTTTGTACCTAATTATGAAAATTTGATTATTTTATTAGAAAAAGCAATATTTTCTTATTTTCAGCCTTCTTTGTAGACAATGAGCTGATAATAGCTTGATCATTGAACAGTGGTTGATTGCAGATCACATTCAAAAAGAGGGACAGTCAAACTCACAGATCGAAAACAAACTGACAACGCCATGGCCAAAAATAAAAAGACAAATAATAGTACAGATGACACAACATAGAAAACTAAAGACTAAGCAACACGAACCCCACCAAAAACTGGGAGTGATCTCAGGTGCTCCGGAAGGGTAAGCAGATCCTGCTCCACATGTGGCACCCGTCGTGTTGCTTATGTTATTACAAATGCAGTAAATAGTCTAATTTGGTAGGTCACATTCGTGAACGGGGAAGGGTATTGTAGTTAAGACATAAGGAACATATCCGATATCAGCTGTGAAACGGTTATTCCATAACGGTCAACCAACTCGTGATGGCGCTGTAAAATTTACGAAGGGATGATTTCAACTTCACCATTTGGAACTCTTGGTTTAATAGCTTCCTTGTGAGCAGCATCCTCTTTTCAAAGTGTGTTCTGACTGACCTTGGTCTAATTGTGTCCATACAACTCAGAAAACATCACTTAAATAAGTTTTCAGCCTTCTGTAGTAATACTCGGGGCTCTAAGGTTTAAGATATGAGAATTAGACCAATTTGGTGGCAAAAATCTTAATTATAAAACTAAGAAGATGTGGCATGATTGCCAATGAGACAACTCTCCACCAGAGAACAAATGATATAGAAGTTAACAACTATAGTTCACAAACCGGCCTTCAACAATGAGCAAAACCCATACCACATTGTCAGTTATAAAAGTTCCTGAATTGACAACTGTAAAATAATTCAAACATGAAAACTTATGGCCTGATTTATGTTCAAAATAATGAACAAATAAATTGCTTTGACGACCGCAGAGGTCCAACCCTGAACAGTTGGGGCAAAAATGGACACAATATTCGCGCTTGATACAGGTCTGAATTTGGATTGTAATTAAATATTTGACACATAAAAGGTTTCTGACACAGAATAAATGTAGTCAAAGAACTTAGAATTGGTTATATGATTTGAATTTATAATCAATGTATTGCTTTGTGCAATACACTTTGCTGGTGCGAATTGACCCCCTCCCCCCACAAAAAAAAAAATAAAAAAATGTACCCCCCCTTTTTTTTTTTTGCTTTTGTGCAATACACTATGCTGTTGCGTATTACATCTCCCCCCCCCCCCCTCCCCCACACACACACACGCACACACACACTTTTATTTTGCAAAAAAATGAAGAATTTTTCTTTTTAATTTCTGAAATCTGAAATGAGAAAAAATTAAAAAATTGACCCCCCCCCCCCCCCACAATTTCTTTTTACTGCCCCCCCCTTCCCTTTTCCCCCAAAAAAATTCTTTCCACTTAAGATGTGGTCATAATCTCAATTCAAATTTCCAATGGAGTTTGCAACCATAATTACCCATTTAAATTTACCATAGTGCTATCTTAATCTATTTTATAATAGAATTTAAAATATGGTGTCAAATCTTTCATATGGATTTTTTTGTAAAAAAAAAAAGATGCAACATTTGCAGATATTTTTACTGGTCATCCTTTATAAATATGAATTTCTTTAAACATAATTTAAAAGCAGTGTAAGGGAGGTAATCAAAACGTTGTATTTGGATTACCTCCCTTACACTGCTTTTAAATTGTCTTAATTGTTCATTAACCACTACTTTATACATAATTTAAAAGCAGTGTAAGGGAGGTAATTCAAATGATGTATTTGAATTACCTCCCTTACACTGCTTTAAATTATGATTTGTACTAAAGTATTTGTCCATTAACCAGGACACCCTTGTTTTCCCCCTTTTTTGCCCCTAATTTCTAAACGGTTTGAGCCATAACCCCCCAAAGCAAATCCTAACCATCCCTTTGTGATATGGAACCTTGTGGTACAATGTCAGAGAGATCCATACACTAACACACAAGTTATGACTGGAAGTTACAAAAATGCTTATTTTTGGCCCCTCATTCCTTAACTGTTGGTACCATAAACCCCAAAATCAATCCCAACCTTCCTTTTGTGGTATTGAACCTTATGGTAAAATTTCATAGAGATCCATTCACTTAAACTTAAGTCATTGTGCGAAAACCAATGTGTCATCAGACGACGCCAACGTCATACCAATATACGACCGCAAAAATCTTTTGGGGTCGTATGAAAACAAATATGATATACAGCAACAAATGACCATCACTGAAATACAGGCTCCTCGGACTTTGGACAGGAACATATAGAATGTGGCGGGGTTTAACTAGTTTAAAGGCACCAACCCTCCCTTAACCTGGGATAGTGGTGTAACAGTACAACATAAGAATCTTTCTAAAATGGGCAGCATTAGGATATGTAAAATTCCATTGACTTTTTCACATCAACACCTGTCGGTGAAGGACATTTTATGTACTTAAGTGTCCTTGTAAAGACACTTATGAATAATTAATAAAAACACAGAATACAAAAAATATCTAAATTTTGCAGATACATTTATAAACTAAAAACATAACATGCTCATGATAAATAAAAACATAAATATCACAGTCCAATATGAAATAATGACATGATTTTGTCTCAGATCATTTGTATAACAGTATTATAAAGTCGGTTTAAAATTGTACTCTTGCAATACGTTCATGGCAGTCGCAATAGTCACCAATGTATACATATCATAATATTTAGCTAAATTTTATAGTTTTCAATTTCCTGATTTTACCAAAACAGTACTGACTGCAAAATATATCTGTAACCATAGAATGAAACGCTTTTGTTCCATTATATTCTTTGAAAGTTTTCAACTGTTATCTTCATCTACTGTCAGCTTGTATTCTGTGGAATTTCATTACCTAAAAATAAACATTATATATACTGATTTTATTGAATAACAAACAGATTAATAGTAGGGTGCCCAATGTCCAAAAAGTCCGCTAGTTAACGAGTTTAAGTTAACGGATAACACACGCTAATTTTAATTGCAAATTATAGGAAATCATTATATTTTACAATCATGATTGTCATCGTAAGTTCCCATGGACACAATTTTCTAAATTTCGGGTTTTTACAAGGTGCTCCCAGATACCGTATTGTACAGGGAATATTTAACATGGAAAATAAAATGGTTGGTGGTTAAAATAGTACTTACAATATAGTTTACATATTAAATATATCATATAACATTAGCGGAAAGTATTTAAATGATTTTGTGTGCCAATTTTCATGTGTGAGATAAAAGTCGTTTGAAGAAATGAGCAATTAAAAACATAAGTTAAGTCAATTTTTTTACATTGATTAAACACGGATATCTCGTGCCATTATTCATTTTTGTAGCTTACACTATTAGGTCATTAACAAGGACAGTGTTCACTCAATACATTTCTCATTTTTGCTTGTTTTGTGGTTGCTTTAATTATTTGTTTTGAATTAAGCCAGCTAACTTTGTACATTGTTATATTCTTCGGAGGAATATGTTTTGTGTCTGTTTTTCAAAACTTTCAACTTTTATTGACTAGATATTTTTGTTATTATGGTAATTAATTAGAATCAAATCGGTCAGTTTCGTTTCACACCCGGAATATGGCACATCAATACTATGTTACGGTCTTGCATGATGTTTTTCGGCCTAAATCTTCCACGGTGTGAACAAAAATGTGTTTGTGTCTACCTTTTGTACTATAGATTATACTCTAGCAGACACAACTTCAATAATTTCAAAGATGAATTGGCAATTGGATTGTATGAGCTAACCACTGAAGCCAATTTGACCTACACATGCTACATTTGCCAAGCATACATGTTCAATCTATCTACCATGTTTCAAATTGGAATGATTTTTTTTTATGATAATAATACAATTAAAATAAGATCGATTGTTTAACATTATGGGATCAGCTATAAAAGGCCCCGACATGACAACTTGTTAAACAATCCAAAAAAACACAAAAAAACTCAACAGACAGCGACCAACTACAACCACTAAATTGCGCGGTTTAGCGGTTTTCACTTGTACACATTTATATCCTCAACTATCCTGCATTTAATGTTGGAGAGTACTGTAAATTCAGAAATTATTGCGAAGTTTTTATTATTGCGAAAAATGCGACAGAGCTGTAAACGCAATAATTTAAACTCGCATTTTGAAATATTTTATATGAATTAAACAGGATTTTTCTCAAAATCGTAAAAATTAAAATCGCATTTAAGTCTAAAATGACAAAATCGCAAAAATAAATGCACGCAATAATTTCTGAATTTACAGTATTCATTTTCATCCTGTTTTGCGCAAAGTAATTTATTTTCAGTTCATACAAACCAAGTTATTCATTTTCAAAATCCTCTTCCCCTCCCCCTTTCGAATTCAAATGGTCCTCCCCTTACCAAAAGCTAATGAAAGGACGTTATCAATAGTCAAAGAAAATTATAATCATAAACATGATAAACATCATACCTGTAAAAACTAGGATTCTACTGGTACAGCATGTTTTACTAACTGACTGAATTATGTTGAAAGTCTTAGAGAAAATGATAATACATTCTTTATATGCCTGTCCCTAGTCAGGATCAAGCAGGTATTTGAGTGGTTGTTGTTGGTAGATGTCTGTTATATCTATTTTTGTTATATTTTTTTTTATAAATTAGGCCGTTAGTTTTCTCAAATGGATTGTTTCAAATTTTTTCATATCAGGCCTTTTATAGCTGACCTTAGGGTATGGGTTTATCTCATTGTCGTACGGTTGCCTATACTTGCTTACTTCCACATCTCCTTATTTTTATGTTATACAGCAGCAAGTTTTACTTCAAATTAACATTATCAATGTTCCATATAAATGAGGTATGGTCAGTTAAACTCTGCCACAAAGAGATGTACACCTTGCTAACATTCCATACACCAAATATAATTTTGACCCATTTATTAGTAACCAAACATTAAGTTATCCTGATAAGTGAGACATTCACATGACGAAAAAAAGCTATACAGCATTTTAGCAGTCACTTAACAATGAAAATTAGGTCAAGTACAATGATTATAAGACCGACGGAAACTTCTATGTACAAAGTATGATTCATCCAATTCCTATGCCATCTACAATATGAAACTATACTAATTGTTTATGGTGTTGCCGCCACCACCATTAGATTGTATTCGGTATGCCCTGCATTCTGCATCGAATGTGATTTAAAAAAGATCAACTGAAATTATCTCTCTAACATAAACCTGGTCGTTGGGCTTCCAACTTAACAGTAGACAATGAAACGTAATAGCTACTACTAGCTTCGGCAATTTTTCTATGTTGTTTTAATGTTTAAAATTCTGATCTATATTAACACACGTACTCGTATATATAAGCACATAAATCTGATGTTCAATAGTTGTCGTTTGTTGATGTGGTTCATAAGTGTTTCTCGTTTCTCGTTTTTAATTGTGACTTGGATGAGAGAGTTGTCTCATTGGCACTCATACCACATCTTCTTATATCTACATAAAGAAATCAGAGATCTATATTTGGATTATATTGATGTTGTTTACAAGTGTTTGCAAAATACATTGATGCTGTACATAGCCCTTTTTGTAGATTATCTGTAACTTCACGTTTATGTAGGCCAATGGATGCACAATAAGTTATATACAGTACACTTGTGATGATATAAGTGTGTAAGATGAAGTAATTAACCTGTTTCTATTTGTCATTTTGTTTTCATAACTTCAACAGAAACCCTCCCCCTTTTTCACCATTTGCATTTATTTTTTTTCTATATAAACTCAGACCTTCTAATTCAAATCACTCTGAGTCAATATTACACCAGTTTTGGAATTAAATACAATTTGATGTGCTTCCACACTCACCAAAAGAAAATTGGATATTTACCACCAGAAAATCATTACGAACACCTTCTACCAAAAGACAAGAAAATAACATTTTGGGAGAGCAACTTATTAATGTTAATATCTAAATAAAATGCTTCGCTGGGCGCAGCTTGATACGACCGCAGAGGTCGAACCCTGAACAGTTGGGGCAAGTATGGACACAACATTCAAGCTTGATACAGCTCTGAATTTGGATTGTAATTAAATATTTGACACAGCATAGGTTTCTGACACAGAAAGAATGTGGTCTAAGAACTTCAATTTTTTTAATTTACCTATTATGGTCCAATGTCCAAAATCAAAATACATGGTTAGATTCAGCATATTAAAGAACCCCATATATTCAATTTTTGTTGAAATCAAACAAAGTTTAATTTTGGACCCCAACTTGGACAAACTTGAAAACTGGTCCCATAATCAAAAATCTACACACATATTTAGATTCAGCATATCAAAGTACCCCAAGAATTCAATTTTTGTTAAAATCAAACTAAGTTTAATTTTGGACCTTTTGGACCTTAATGTAGACCAATTAAAAAAACAGGACCCAAAATTAAAAATCTAAAAACACGGTTAGATTTGGCATATCAAAGAACCCCAATAATTCAATTTTTGATGAAATCAAACAAAGTTTAATTTTGGATCCTTTTGACCTCAATATGAACCAATTTGATAGTGGGCCCACAAATAAAAAATCTAAATACATGGTAAGAATCAGCATATCAAAGAACCTCATATATTCAATTTTTGTTGAAATCAAACAAAGTTTAATTTTGGACCCCAATTTGGACCAACTTGAAAACTGGGCCAAAAATCTAAAATCTAAATACATGTTTAGATTCAGCATATCAAAGAACCCCATATATTCAATTTTTGTTGAAATCAAACAAAGTTTAATTTTGGACCCCAACTTGGACCAACTTGAAAACTGGTCCCATAATCAAAAATCTAACACATGTTTAGATTCAGCATATCAAAGAACCTCAAAAATTCAATTTTTGTTAAAATCAAACTAAGTTTAATTTTGGACCCTTTGGACCTTAATGTAGACCAATTCAAAAAACGGGACCCAAAATTAAAAATCTAAATACACGGTTAGATTTGGCATATCAAAGAACCCCAATAATTAAATTTTTGATGAAATCAAACAAAGTTTAATTTTGGACCCTTTTGACCTCAATATGAACCAATTTGATAGCGGGCCCACAAATAAAAAATCTAAATACATGCTAAGATTCAGCATATCAAAGAACCCCATATATTCAATTTTTGTTGAAATCAAACAAAGTTTAATTTTGGACCCCAATTTGGACCAACTTGAAAACTGGGCCAAAAATCTAAAATCTAAATACATGTTTAGATTCAGCATATCAAAGAACCCCATATATTCAATTTTTGTTAAAATCAAACAAAGTTTAATTTTGGACCGTTTGGACCTTAATGTAGACCAATTTAAAAAACGGGACCCAAAATTAAAAATCTAAATACACGGTTAGATTTGGCATATCAAAGAACCCCAATAATTCAATTTTTAATGAAATCAAACAAAGTTTAATTTTGGACCCTTTTGACCTCAATATGAACCAATTTGATAGCGGGGTCCACAAATAAAAAATCTAAATACATGGTTAGATGCAGCATATCAAAGAACCCCATATATTCAATTTTTGTTGAAATCAAACAAAGTTTAATTTTGGACCCCAATTTGGACCAACTTGAAAACTGGGCCAAAAATCAAAAATCTAAATACATGTTTAGATTCAGCATATCAAAGAACCCCATATATTCAATTTTTGTTAAAATCAAACAAAGTTTAATTTTAGACCCTTTGGACCTTAATGTAGACCAATTTGAAAACTGGACCCAAAATTAAAAATCTAAATAAATGTGGTCAAAGATTTTACAAATCTAATGTGCCATACTGGTCTTCCTTTATAAATATGCATTTCTTTAAACATAATTTAAAAGCAGTGTAAGGGAAGTAACCAAAACGTTGTATTCTGATTACCTCCCTTACACAGTTTTAAATTATCTTAATTGTTTATTAACCATTACTTTATACATAATTTAAAAGCAGTGTAAGGGAGATAATTTCAATGATGTATTTGATTTATCTCCCTTACACTGCTTTAAATTATGTTTTGTACTATTAATGAGGACAACCTTGTTTTTCCCCCTTTTTTGCCCCTAATTCTTAAACGGTTTGAGCAATAACCCCCCAAAGCAAATCCTAACCATCCCTTTGTGGTATGGAAACTTGTAGTATAATTTCAGAGAGATCCATACACCGTTCCACAGTTATTGTCTGGAATCTAGAAAATGCTTATTTTTGGCCCCTTTTTGGCCCCTAATTCCTTAACTGTTGGTACCATAACCCCCAAAATCAATCCCCACCTTCCTTTTGTGGTATTGAACCTTATGGTTAAATTTCATAGAGATCCATTCACTTAAACTAAAGTAAGAGTGCGAAAACAAATGCGTCTTCGATCGACGACGCCAGACGACGACGCCTCCGGACGACGACGACAAGGACAACAACGACGACGACGACGATGACGACGCCAACGTCATACCAATATACGACCACAAAAATTTTTTTGCGGTCGTATAAAAACTTCTTAAGAAATCACTAGTATCGAATCTTGTGTAAAAAGTCTGAATTTGGAAATTTTAATAGGTCAAGATCACTGTTATTTAATAGCTGAATGAAAACTGTAAATGTGCACCCTATAAGTACAAATGTCAATCTTGAACCATATTTGGGAACAGAAACATCAAATTAGTCCTAGATGTAGATACTCTAGTTATAATACTTTGAATTATTCGAATTTATTTTGCTATAAATGCATTTATGATGGGACAACCAGCTGTCTAAACGTGACTCTGCTTTTTCCTTGAAATTTTAACTTTGACCTTTGACCTAAATTTTATAAAATTGTGACCACTGTAGACAAGTACGACATCAATATTTTGATAAGGCTTGTTCTCCTCTTTCCAATGATATAAAATACAGCTGTGTGTTATTCCGTTAACCCAAATCGATCAAATTCGTTGATTGGGCACCCTACTATAAATCTAATAACAGTTTAAAGGAAATGTCTTGTTGTTTAAGTATGTGTATTTTTTTTTTTTACAATACCCTAATAATATAAAAGAACAGAGTTCAAATTTCCCCTCCATTGCTCATATTTTATCTATCCAAAGTACAAGGGCAAAAACTAAAAAAAGTACCTTTTTTGGTTCTTTAAGACATTTTATTGATATCTTAAGAGATGTTGCTTCAGAGCAAATGCAATGTGATTTCAATTATAATTTATATTTCCAAGGAGCATACATTTGTAACTTGTTAACAATATTTGATCAGAACTTATTTTCGCAAGTGTCAAAGACATTGCTAATATAAACCTAAAGTATAAATTTCATAAAAATCTGGCAAGAATTGATTCATACGGCAATTTTTCCATATAGTTAATATTTCCAAGGAGCAAACCTCTATTAAAGATTAATATTGATCGCCACTGATTTTTGAACTCCTCCAAGACATTGCTGATATAAACCTATGATATAAGCTTCATCAAAATCTTGGAAAAATTGAACACATGAGAGCTCTAACGATGCAATTTTCCATAACATTAATGTTTCCAAGGGGCATAACTCTTTCAAAAGTAATTGATTAGCACTGATTTTTGAACTGTCCAAGACATTGCTGATCAGGACTGATTTTCAAACTCCTCCAAGACATTGCTAATATAAACCTATGATATAAGTTTCATAAAATTCTGGCAAGAATTGTACACATGAGAGTCCTTACGATGCAATTTTCCATAAAATAAATGTGTCCAAGGGGAATTACTTTTTTTCAAATAATTGATATGCACTGATTTTCGAACTCATCCAAGACATTGCTGATATAACCCTATTTTATAATTTCAAAAAAATCTGGCAAGAATTTTACATGTGAGAGCACTAACAAGACTCGACGGCAGGTCACACAGACGAACACCTGGTATTTCCATGTCCCCTGCAACATGTTATGCAGGGGACCAAAAAAAAACCCACTATCTCATGTTATGTTTGTAGGGCAAAGCCTCATTCTCTCTCTTTTCATTACGTAACTTCCATATAAACAATGTATAGTTTTACCAAAACATTTGCATATTCATTATGTTCAAGGATTGTTTAGAAATTCCATTTGAATCTGATGTTGTGCAACTAACAGCAACTGAGAGAGCATGTTTTCAAAAAAATAAGTACGTATAATTTCCATTGTGATTAAAAAATAATGGAAGAAGATCACAGGTGAATACCAGATTCTTATATCTGTTATAAGGACAGACAGGCAAGTCTATAGTACATGTAGTTTTCACTTCTGTAAGGACTTGTTATTTGAGATTACAAATAAACTCCAACTTTATTACTAACTTAATCTTCTTCTACATGAGGCCACATCTGAACTCTAGGCTATCAATTAAGTTATCTCCCCTTCAATTTAATGTTTATCAGATATAGTAATACTATCATTTGGTCTTAGCATAACAAATAAGAACAGCAGCTACCAATCATCGTCAAAGGTACCATTCACCCCAGACACAAAACTTAGGTACTGGCATATATTATTCAAATGATACACTTTGATTTTCAATCTCCAGTTTATAAAAAAAAATCTTTTCTAAAATTATGGTTGCCATGACCTTCAATCAAAGCTGATCTTAGATGATAAGGACTGTTTTGTTTTGAACGTTTTGGTTGATGCTGTTAAATGCTTTACTCATTTGGCTTCCAAATGAAAATAATTGACCTCTACCATTCAAGATGACGGTTGTTCCAGAAAAACGTTTTGTACGCAATTTTTGTTTTATTTCGAAACCTGATGTTTACTTTTGTTTTAAGATATCTAATGATTTTAAAGGCAAGGATTTAAAACAATTATAACTATAATAAACGCCTTTTCTTTTTATTGAATAGAAATGAAAGGGGAGATTACCCTTTATAATGGTAATGGTACATTTAACCAATTTTTCTTGAAACACTATGACCATCAGTTGTATGTTAAACAATTATCAAAAGTAACATACCTATTGAATCGTCCCCTTTTGTTTGATCTGTTGGAGTGTATTTTCCTGCTTTAATCATCTTGACCATGTGGTTGTAATAAAAGTTCAAAGGGTCATGTAAGTTGAGAAAGGTTAGCTTTGGATTGTTTCCTTGTTTTGATTTGATCATAATTTCCATCTGTATACCATTAGCAGCTACAAATTTTGCTGTTTTTTCAATTGCTAAATGTTGCTCCTGTGTATCTGGCTATAAAAAAAATATAATTTGTTATGAATCTTAATTATAAAAGAATTGTAGAATTTAATATCATATAGTACAATCGTAGAATTTGTTATGAATTATATATACCAATCATAGAATTTGTTATGAATTATATATACCAATCATAGAATGTGTTATGAATTATATATACCGATCATAGAATGTGTTATGAATTATATATACCAATCATAGAATTTGTAATGAGTTATATATACCAATCATAGAATTTGTTATGAGTTATATATACCAATCATAGAATTTGTTATGAATTATATATACCAATCATAGAATTTGTTATGAGTTATATATACCAATCAATAGAATTTGTAATGAATTATATATACCAATCGTAGAATTTGTTATGAATTATATATACCAATCGTAGAACTTGTTATGAAATATATATACCAATCATAGAACTTGTTATGAATTATATATACCAATCGTAGAATTTGTTATGAATTATATATACCAATCGTAGAATTTGTTATGAATTATATACACCAATCGTAGAATTTGTTATGAATTATATACACCAATCGTAGAATTTGTTATGAATTATATACATCAATCGTAGAACTTGTTATGAATTATATACACCAATCGTAGAAATTGTTATGAATTATATATACCAAACGTAGAACTTGTTATGAGTTATATATACCAATCGTAGAACTTGTTATGAGTTATATATACCAATCGTTATATATACCAATCATAGAACTTGTTATGAGTTATATAGACCAATCATAGAATTTGTTATGAGTTTTATGAATTGAACAGAACAATTGTAGAATTTATTATGAATCTTATAGTACAACTGTTATTAAACTGAATATACTTTGCGGTTACTTACAGAACAAATTAATAATTCCCATTAATGAATATGTACCCCATTCTTAAGTACTTTTAGCTAGACACCAATAGCTTCAATTGTGCCTTTTGAGGCAGAACTTAACTTCAATATATTAAAATGTAGTTTATAGTGTAGTGAATATTGAATGATTTTATGTTCTGTAAACTCTTTTTTATGTGTGAAAACGTCAGTAATTTGAACTGTGAATTAAATACTGTGGATTTATTACTATATTCATTGGGTACCAATTTTTGTTAATTTCAATGGTATAGCTTAGCCACAAATTTAAGAGTTCTCCATTACTCATAGGCCTGTATGCAAAACTTTGGCAAAACTGCAACAATCAAGTATTTCCAAAAAGCATACAGTTTTCTTCAATCCACTAAAACTGGTACCCAAGAAAATAATCAAATCCGTAGTTACTCTCCATTTAATTCCAATTGATTAAGTTACCAACTGTATACTTACCACCTCCATACCCTGTGGAATGTGTAGATCTTCTGGTACTGTAAATCTTCCTCCTGATACACAGAAAACATAAAATGTTACAAAAATAAAACACAAACGGAATATCAAAACAAATAAAAGAACAGAGTTCCAATACACCCCACGCTGCACATAATTAATCTTTCCAAGATACAAGGAAGGACACCTGGTATTTCCATGTCTCCTGCAAAGCGTTACACGGGGGACAACAAACCAGTTGCCATAGACCAATTTTATCAGTGACAGTTTTATTATCTTAACCTGACATTTTGATGGCCATTGACTAACAGTCTGACTACCTTTCACTAAGAGTTTGACTACCTTTCACTAAGAGTTTGACTACCTTTAACTAAGAGTTTGACTACCTTTCACTAAGAGTTTGACTACCTTTCACTGACAGTTTGACTACCTTTCACTGACAGTTTGACTACCTTTCACTGACAGTTTGATTTCTTTAACTTACATTTTGATTACAGTCCACTCACAGTTTGATTACATTTCACTGACAGTTTGATTTCCTTTCACTGAATGTTTTTTTATATGTGTGACTCACAGTTTTATTTCCCTTGGCTGACAATTTAATCACCTTTTACTATTTTTTTCATAACCTTTTACTGAGTTTTATGACCTTTCACTAACATGATAACCTTTTACTGACAGTTTAACTATCAATCACTGTTAATTACCCTTACCTAACATTTTGATGGCCATTGACTAACAGTTTGACTTACTTTTCAATATCAGTTTGATTCACTGATAGTTTGATTTCTTTAACCAATGTTTTGATAACTGTTTGATTACACTTAACTATTCAGAAGCCCATTCAGAAACTACAATGTACTATGAGCACAAGGGTTTCTAACCCATTCAAGAACCCGGAGGTTAGGGATGCTTTATCATCTTTTCATGACAAATATCTCGTTGTTCCAGCAGATAAAGCCTCCTGATATTGGTATTACCATCAAAGAAAACGAAGAAAATCTTCTGTCATTATACTTGATACAAAAACTTCACAAAACTCCTTATAAAGAATGATACATAGCTGGATCATCAATATGTTTGACTAAACATCTTTCTAAAGTACTGACTACTATTCATTCTACAGTAAAAGATTGCCTTCAAAAATATTGTGATGATATATATTCAACTAGTGGTGTCAATCAGATGTAAATTATTAAAAATTCTAAAGACCTACTGGTAAATCTTAGATCACAATCTCTGTAATTTTCTCTACATTTAGACTTTTGATTTTTCTATGCTTTACACTAGTATTCCCCATGCTCAATTGAAGGATCAACTTCACCATCTCAATAAACAGAGCTTTTTCTATAAAAATGGAAATTATAGATATAAATTTCGTGTTTTAAGTTTTAATAATTCTTATTTTGTTAAGAACTAGACTGATTCTATGATCAGAAAATACACTGAAGATGATATTTTCAAAATTCTGGACTTTTTGATTGACAATATATTTGTTATGTTTGGAGGATTGATATTTCAACTGAGTTTTCCAATGGGTACTAATTGTGTACCCCTACTGGCCAATTTGTGTTTGTACTCGTATGAAGCAGAATTCATTCAGAACCTTCTAAAAGACAAAAAGAAAAACTACCTTGCAAAATTCTTTAATTTTACTTTCATGTATCTTGATGATGTCCTATCACTGAATAGCCCATATTTCAGTCAGCACTTGCATCTCATATATCCCAGTGAACTTGAAATTAAGGATACTACTGCTACTAGAATTAAGGATACTACTGCTACTAGAATTAAGGATACTACTGCTACTAGAATTAAGGATACTACTGCTACTAGAATTAAGGATACTACTGCTACTAGAATGCTTCATACCTTGTTTTTCCCTAATATTGACACAGATGGAGGACTTCACACTAAAATCTATGACAAATGGGATGATTTCAACTTCCCAATTATCAATTTGCCATTTCACAGCAGTAACATATCTCTGCCCCATCGTAAGGTATTTGCATGTCTCAATTGATATGTTATGCTTGTGCATGTTCACACTATACTGACTTCATATACAGAAGTGGGCTCCTTACACAAAAACTGCTCCAACAGAGTTATGAGGAGGAAAGATGAAAAATCAAACTCGGTAAAATTTATGGACACCATCAGGAATTGGTTGATCTATATGATGTGTCTGTGTCTAATCTTACTAATAACATTTTTACCAAGTCTTAGATTGTGGTTTACCATCTACTTCATCTGGTCTGCTCAGTACAAAACGTGACCTATTCCCAAATATGACTGTTTTGCTGAGTGTGAATTCACATTGCTATATGACGTCTTGGTATCTATACATCCAAAATTCATGTATTTAGTTATGATGTTTCGTTTGTAAGTCTGTTAGATATTGTGTATGTCTTATCGTTTGTGGTATATATTCTATATCTTCGGTACATTTCACATATGTCTTATTTGTCAGTACATGCATTTTCGAGTTACTCGTGGTCGTCTACAATGTTTTTGTTTGTTTTCAAGTGTGTTAACTGTTTGGTCTTACATCATCTTACCTTATATTACAGTTATTTTATTTTTATTTTCTATTGTATGTTAAAGTTAAGATAATAAATCAACTATTTCATTTATATGTTTAAAGCTACTATATGCAAATGACTTTTTTGTTTAAACACAGTTTTGATTGATAAGAAAAACTGACATGGTTAGAAAATACAAATAATAACACCATCACAAACACAATTCCATTTTAATATTCTTGTCATGGTTAGAAAATACATAAAATAACACCATTACAAACTCAATCCCAATTTTATATTATTGCATGTGTCTACATTTAAATAAATCTATTCTATTTTTAGAAATTTACCGGTGATAAGGGCTATTTCATTAAAATGTATGTGGGAGGGTAGGAAGGAAAGTTTAATTATTGAATGTGGGTATGCGTCTATTACTATTATGCAAAATTATCTAAATAAATGAGGAATGTGTCAATGGGACACAGATGATGCCGCCACTTGCATAAAACATTATAAAAGAACATAAATCAAGAACAGTATAAGTGACGCTATCCAAATTTGTTCCTGTTTTGAGTTTTGTGGTAATAAGCATTTTGTATAAGTTTTATAACATTTGGTTGAGGCAAAAAATTCAGCAATTTTTCCATTTGTAAAGGGCATAACTCTAGAACAGGAAAAATTGAAAACAACATGTTTAATAATTTTATGCGTCCGAAGCGCTTTTCTGGATTAACCTTCATCAGGAACGCTCAATGCCAAACATTTGAAATCCGAGGGATGTATAAGTACTGAAACAGTTGTAGAGCTATATAATATAAAAGATTATAAATAGATAAATAGAAAAGTGACTCCACCAAAATTCAAACTTGATCTATGTTTTATGGCAATAAGCATTGTGTATAAGTTTCAAAACATTTGTTTGAGGCAATTTTGGGATGTACTTACGTATGTACGGACGGACAGACAAGGGTTAAACTTAATCCCCCCCCCCCCCACTACGGCGGGAGCATAAAAATGGTTCTTGGTTGTAGGGATATTTTGAAAGTCCTTTCCTACCCTCCCACATACATTTTAATGGAATAGCCCTAATACAAATGTCACAAAAATATGTCACTTTTTGTGGCGTTGATACATTTGCGTGACACACAGTTTATACTTTGTTTGTGGTGTACTGGTGTACTGTCCTAAATTCATTGGAGGTGTCTATTGTTAATCTGTGGTTAACATGTTGTTATGTACTATTTTATTATTTTTTTATGTGTTTTTCTGTCCTGGGTGTTCTTGCGTTTACTTGTACTGTATTCCTGTAACTTAATGTTGTCATTTTTGAGGTATTTTTAACATTACCATATGAGCAGGAGGTTTGAAACCAGGTTAAACCCACCGTTTTTTCTTAAAATGTCCTGTACCAAGTCAGGAATATGGCAGTATTATTCAAATAGTGCGTTTCTATATATGTTGCCATTTGTTTTTGTTGCAATTTAGTGTTTCTGTTTTTCTGTTGTTTTCCTCTTAAAGTTGATGTGTTTCCCTGTTATAGTTTGTAACCCGAATTTGTTTTTGCTTAATTTATTTATGACTATTGAATAGCGGTAAAATCACAATTTGACAACCTTTCACTGACTGTTTGATTACACTTTATTAACAATTTCACCATCTTTAATGACAGTTTGAATGTAGACTTTACTAACAGTTTGATTACACTTAACTTACAGTTTGACTACTCTTCACTGACAGTTTGAATGTACAATTTACTAACATTTTGACTACTTTTCACTGATAGTATAAATGTACACTTTTCTAACAGTTTGACTACTTTTCACTGATAGTATGAATGTACAATTTTTTACTAACATTTTGACTACTTTTCACTGACAGTTTGATTACACATGACTAACAGTTTGACTACTCTTCACTGACAGTTTGAATGTACAATTTACTAACATTTTGACTACTTTTCACTGATAGTATAAATGTACACTTTTCTAACAGTTTGACTACTTTTCACTGATAGTATGAATGTACAATTTTTTACTAACATTTTGACTACTTTTCACTGACAGTTTGATTACACATGACTAACAGTTTGACTACTCTTCACTGACAGTTTGAATGTACAATTTACTAACATTTTGACTACTTTTCACTGATAGTATAAATGTACACTTTTCTAACAGTTTGACTACTTTTCACTGATAGTATGAATGTACAATTTTTTACTAACATTTTGACTACTTTTCACTGACAGTTTGTTTTCACTTTACTTATAGTTTGACTACTTTTCACTGACAGTTTGATTACCTTTGCCATATCCACTAATATCTTCTTTCCCTGGCTGTTCAGCAGTGCCAGCATTTCTAACACATTGTTCCGCTGCAAAGTCAGGTACACCACCATCCTGTGTATTACTTTCATTATGTCCCTTAGTTCTTGGTGCATTACATTTACTGCATCGTTTTCTAACGGGAAAGTTAAAATTTCCACAACCACTAATAAAAAATAAACAATGAAATGTTACAATTGGGTTTTTTCTAGGTCTTTAGCCATAATTAAATTATCACCAACTATTCAGATTTCAAAGGACTATGTGTTATTTCATTGAGCATACACAACAATGAAAATAATGCTTTGCCATTGGCTGTTTAAACATTATTTTGGATGTTGTTAACTAATCACAACGTTTTGATAAATGCTTTTAATTTTCTTATTCCAAATGCTATTGATTATAAAATAGTGAAATTAATGACTTCAGTGTTAATAAAATCTCTATGAATATAATTATATTATGACTTATATAAATGTTCCTGATATTTTTTAGATTTCTACAATGCATTTTTCGTTTAAATTGTCTATTATGTGTACCAACCTAACTTGACATTTCCAGTGGTTTGGTTTTGAAGTACCACTGCCTTGGCTATCTTGACCTTCAAACAGAAAATTAAAAAAATATTTGAAAACATATCATTTCAAGTTGATTACAAAATCACACCCTTGAAAATAAAGCTGTTAAGACATAGATATTCTGCTTAAAGATCAAATTATGGAACTTAACTAACCGCTTTACACTCATTGAATATCTAAAATAAATTAAGAAATAATTCATGGCAGCCGTAGATTTGTTTTCATTTAACCATGGGTTGGGCATTTATATTCGATTATTTTACCCTGAGCGTTAGCGAGGGGTAAAATAGTAACATAAATGCCAAACCCATGTTTAAATGAAAACAAATCTACGGCTGCCATGAATTATTTCAATTCTAATAGGACAAATTCGGTAATTTTGTTAACCGTGAAAGCCCTATACATGCGATATTGTTTTGGCTGTTCCGTTTTACCCAATTTTGATAATATTAGTAATATCATATAATTCAATGATTATTTTTTTTTAATCGCATTTTCACTTATATATTTTCTTCCAATGTAATTTTATTCTTTCTGAGGCGTACAAGTAGCTTTAAAACGCCCGGTATTTACATTTGATTTTTTGTTTACGAAATCATACTTGTGACATCACCTTGTTTCGTTGCCATGCCAAGACAATAACATCATTTCGCGGAATTTTCGTTTTATGAAATTTTACCATGAAAAATAAATTGAAATGGACTGATTTGTTTATTTTGCTGTAGAATAGAGATAAATATATTGTATCTGAATCTTGGCCTACGTAAACTTGGGGTTTTGATGTAGAAAATTGAGAATATCTGGTAGTATAAATAAGTTGGTCGTAACACGGAACAGCCGTTTTTGTGTATTACTGCGTTTGCGCTAAAGGTAGATATATTGTGATTATACTGGTTGACGTTGATAGGACGTCATATTAGAATAATCTATTAACCATCTTACTGTACTCAAATTAGTTTTATCTTCTAGCATTATTAATAAAGATTCAAACGAACCCATTGTACAGTGGTTGTTGTTTGTTGATGTGGTTCATAAGTGTTTCTCGTCTCTCTTTTTTTATATAGATTAGACTGTTGGTTTTCCTGTTTGATTTGTTTTACACTTGCCATTTTGGGGCCCTTTATAGATTGCTGTTTCGATGTGAGCCAAGGCTCCTCGTTGAAGGCCCTACTTTGACCTATAATGGTTTATTTTTCACAAATTGTGCCTTGGATGGACAGTTGTCTCAATGGCACTCATGCCACATCTTCTTTTATTATACCTCAGTAATCATTTTCTATATAAAATAAGTACACAATATTTTGACTATTATTCAAATAGCAAGCATTGAACTATTTGACCGGTCAATAGTTTCAAACTATTGGACCTCGATGAAACTATTTGACCGCAAACGTCATTAAATTTCACGGAATTTCAAATGCAGCCTCAGGATTGGAGGATTTTTAATATCTCGGGAGTTACGACGTCGCATTTTCCTATTGTATCTAGTGTTTGAAGTCAATGCAGGACATAGCGTTAGAATTTCAGAATATTTATGAAGTAAACGTTAAACAGTATGGTTTGGTTTCTGCTTTTTATATTACGATAGTTGATTTACCCCCACCATTTATTGTCTGTTGTCTTTTTAGATATAATAAAACACTTACTGACTGGATATTCGTGGAATAGTAAGTTTATTGTCCACTCGGATACAACTATTGCCCTCGGCTATGCCTCAGGGCAACATTTGCACCTCGAGGGACAATAAACTTAATATTCCACTCATACCCAGTCAATAAGTATACAATATCTACCCCCTTCTCTTTATATTATACATGTCTGGCTCTGAAAGGATAATCCATATAAGTGTTGCAATGCAGGTGTGTTTGACTTTGATTATATACCTTTAGAGTTAGATTTGGATTGGGAAAATTCCACCTTTATCTCTATGTCTTCTATATGGCCACCATGTAAATGTTCCTTAGCCTGAAATACATAGTCTTTATTTATTACAGCCCAAACAGCTCTTCTATAAACCAATTTTCTTGCTAATCGACAATACTATTATGTGATACTTTGTTAAAAAGACATTTAAAACTCAATACCATGCTGTTGACATCTAAATTATCCATGCACTTAAATTAAAGTTATTTCCCTTTAAACAAATTGTTAACAATTGTTCACAATGCTTTGGTATCAACCTTGAAAGGATTTCCCACTTTGAAACAAAAGTTGTAAACCTCTGAGTTGTCATTCATTTAGTCAAAAAGATTGGTCTGTCTACTACAGTTTGTAATATTTGTAATTACCTTAACTGCATCTTCTAGAGTTTTATATTCCACAAATGCATATCCTCTTGACTTTCCAGTCTAAAAAAGAATCCAATATATCATTATAAAACTGAAGAGAACTTTTGTGATTTCTGGGCCTTTTATAGCTGACTGTGTGGTTTTTGGCTTTGCTCATTGTTGAAGTACATACAGTGATCTATAGCTGTGAATTTCTGTGTTATTTGGTCTCTTGTGGAGAGTTGTCTCATTGGGAATCATACCACATCTTCTTTTTTTATATATGTAAGTGGTTGGGGCCATTTCCACCAATGGGTATAATTTTGTATTTTCTAAAATAAAATTGAGAATGGAAATCTCCATTCTCTGTAAATTGATGAAACGAGAAGAAGATCAGCAAAATAAGCAGTGTTCCTTAATTATTTTTTTAGGATTTTTGTGTCATGAATTATTGACATATATCATTTTCGTTTCCATTTAACTCTATTTAGTTTTAATTTGATTTTGAAAATAACAATTAAATTTTGTTTTTACTTTACCGATTTAAAAATACAAATAATTTTTCAATAATCAAATCTGAAAAGAAAATATGAAAATTTACCACAATTGATGCAAAAATATACCTTTTTATCACAAACAATGTTTACTCTCTCAATTGGTCCATACTTTCCAAACATCTCTTGTAAGTGTTTATTCTCAACCTCATAACCAAGTCCGAGAACACAAAGTATATTTGATGGAGCTGGCATTGGCTTGGTCTAAAAGTATATACATGTATACCATAAAGCTTAATAAGCATGGCTATTGAAATAAATCTTTATATAATTTAAATAATAGATTTGACTTTGTAAACATCTCTTTATTTCCTATTTTGTTCATTTCACTACCAATACCTAAACTTCAGACATAATGAGAAATTTAATATGAAAATACCGGTATCACATGACTAATTACAATTCATGTAACATTTATATGGTCTCTACCTGAATATGCACTTAGTTTGCCACTGGATGTCAAACAGACATTCATCATCAGCTTTGTACCTGTTCTGTATGATTTACAACACATGATAAGAAAGCACAATGATATGGCTTGGAGGCTTTTATCAAATACAAAATATAAAAATGTTCAATCTTTAGGTGTAAGTTCATTTTCTTCACCTTGAACTTGATCATGAACTAGCAACATTGTTTTAAAGTGTAAGGTTTCAATCCATAAAAGTTAAAGAAAACCAGAGGCTTAGAGCTATTTTCCTAATGTATTTCCTAATGCATGTAGTTTAAAGGTTTGGTTGGCTGGCTTGCTTTGATTGTATAAATGTTTGCCCAAGCATCCAATAACATTATACAAGCTGAAGCCCTGCCTATCTATTAATGGCAGATGTCAATATTAATTACAATGCTTGAGTAAAAAATGGAATAAAAAAAAAATACATACAAAAAAACAATAATCTTTAAATTTTCCCATAATTTCTAAAATCTAATCTTTTTTTTATATGGACATATTTGACACATGCTAAGCAATAACTTAATATAACAACATAGGTGTAAATTTTTCATATCCATCCACCTAAATTTATCAATGAAATGGACGCAAGGTCATTTGTACATTTTCCAAATGACGGGTTTTGCAACATCTTGTGTACATGTGTAAAAAGAGTTTTTATAAATGCTTAACAAAATCTCATATTCTTTCCAAAGAAAGTTAAACATATTTTTAAGACAAATCTTTAATTTTAGTTCATTTATATGTTTTGGAGTGTGTGACGTCCATTTTCACTGAACTAATACACAATTTTATTTAGGGAACAGCTGAGGACCACCTCCGGGTGTGGGATTTTCTTGCTGCGTTGAAGACCCATTGGTGGCCTTCGGCTGTTGTCTGCTCTTTGGTCGGGTTGTTGTCTCTTTGACATATTCCCTATTTCCATTTTCAACTTTATTTTAAGACAAATTGTCTATAATTTTCTGATAAGTCAGAATCACAACCAAAATGCCATTATTCTATATATTGAGCACCTCACTACATAAAAATGACAACAAAACACAAGCGCATGCAAAACAACAACAAACTAAATGGTCCTAAAAATGGAAGATTTGACACAAAATACTATGATGTTTACCTGTGCAGCATCTTCTACATTCTTATAATAATTTACAATACCATGAATACCATAGTTTCTGGATTCCCCTTCCTACAAACACAAAATGTTTATAAATTTAAACACATGTTAAATTGTAACAAATAGAAAGAAAGATACTTTATTAATGGAATCATTTGTTTTTCGTGGGTACCAATTCTTCTTGAATGAGTAAATTTTAATTTTTATGAAATTTTTTTTTTTTTTGGTTTGACAAAAGTCTGCATTCAAGTCTATATATAATTTTTTTTTTACTTCTTTGAGAATTAAAAATTGTGGTTCACATAAATCATGGAATTTACAAAAAACAATTTGTAATTATTTTGATATTGTTGTGATTGTGGTGGAAAAGTTATCACTCCCGTAAAAATTCCTTCTTAACATTAGCTTGTAGACCAGATATATTTATCCTCCTTATTTGTGGAACTACTGAAGAATTCTGAAACAAGACAAAAGCAGTTTATTTATCGAACACAGTTGAGTGCACTTTTGTCTTAAACAATAAAAAAGCACATTTTACAATCAAACTAAACTACATTGTTCTTTGTACATACTCCAAGTATACGTTCCAATGTTGAGTTAATGTCAATTAGATAGCAACCTATTTCAAACTGACTTTGCTTTAAAACATAAAAAAGAAATGCTTTCAGTGGAGACTGCCATTCCTAGATTCTGAAAATCCAATTCATTCTGAAAATAAATTGGGAATGTGTCCATGGGACACAGATGATGCCACAGCTTGAATATAACGTTAAAAAGGGACATAACTCAAGAACTGTAAAAGTGACGCTACCCAAATTTTTACCTGATCTAAGTTTTGTGGTAATAAGCATTGTGTATACGTATCATAACATTTAATTAAGGCAAACTTAACTTAAAGAACGGAAACAAACAAAAAATCAGCAATTTTTCCAATTGAAAAGGGGCCTAACAATAAAAGTGACACCACTAAAATCCGAACTAGATCTTTGTTTTGTGGAAATTAGCACTGTGCATAAGTTTCAAAACATTTGTTTTTCTTTGTTTTGCTCTAATCAAATGTTCAATTTGTGAGTTAACAGACAGAATGTTGGCCGGTTCAAACAACATAAAAATATATTCATAAATATGCATACTTCAAAAACATCAAGATCTATCCTGCTACAGGTATTATAATCCAGCACATTGTAAACTCTTTCCTTTGGTGTCATTAATTCTTTCTGTCCTTCTCTGTCCAGAATTTTCTTTTGAGACTTGACAAAGTCAGTAATATCAGTTATGCTCTGTATCCACTCTGTACCATATGTCTTTAATATCTACAAAAGATTGATTGATTGATTGATTGTTGGTGTTTTAACGCCACTTTTAGGTGCAACATTTGGGCTATTTTGTGGTGGTCAGTTTTTATAGTTGGAGGAAGCCGGAGTGCCTTGAGAAAACCACTAACCTTCGGTAGGAAAACTGACAATCCAAGTCAATTAAGATTGGAGCCCAGCACAAACGGGGTTCGAACTCACTACCTCAGTATTGACTGGTTTAAGTGATTACAGTAGTAGAACTACTTAGACCACTTGGCCACTGAGGCCCCTTTCTACAAAAGATAAATACACAGTTATTAATCCTAGTGCATTTCTTTTTTAGAATGTAACTTTGGGATCTTCATCAGCTCTGAATAAAAATATGGACAACTTTATGTAAAGATGACTTGAGATAGACAGTTTCAGACCAGCTAATTTTCACCTATTTTTCAACTGGACCAAACCACTACTTTGAAAATCTCATTTGTCTGTTAACTTCAAAACACTTGCTCAATTTAATACAAGCCTCAAAGGGGCAATTTTTGAAGGCCTTGTGCAATTACTTAAGATCTTTGCGCAATTTATAGTAATCTCTTAGACTTTTTAATTGATGAGATCAAATGTTGAACTATAATATATTAACTGTTATCACAGAGATATGTCTCGCTATTTGGTAATTTCAATAATGCAAATGTTGAAATTAAAATAGCAACACTTTAACATGTAAGATTTGCAAATATTAAAAGTCAGTGAACCATGGCTGAAGGTACATGGCTAAACAATCTCCATGGAAATGAGATGTGCCAATGCTAATATAACGCATACCAAATACCATTGACTTATCAAAAGTAGTTCCTTTTAAACAAACCTAAACACAAACTAATACATGTAAACTAAGCAAAATTTCAAAGTCCATTAACAATAATTGAGTGTGGGGTCAAATAATCTCCATGGTAATAAGATATGCCAAAGCTAATACAACTGCATACCAAATATCATTGACCTACCACTAGTGGTTTCCCATAAACCGACCTAATCACAAACTAATACATGAAAATTAAGCAAAAGTTTCAAAGTCACTAGACCATGACTGAGGGGGCGGGCCAAATAATCTCCATGGAAATGAGATATGCCAATGCTTATACAACTGCATACCAATTATCATTAACTTACCACTAGTGGTTCCCCATAAACTGACCTAATCACAAACTAATATATATTTAAACTAAGCAAAAATTTCAAAGTCAATAGACCATGATTTAGGGGGCAGGGCCAAATAATCTCCATGGATATGAGATATGCCAATACTTATACAACTGCATACCAATTACAGTTAACTTACCACTAGTGGTTCCCCATAAACTGACCTAATCGCAAACTAATACATAATAAATTGCTTCGGGGAGCGCAGCTGGATACGACCGCAGAGGTCCAACCCTGAACAGTTGGGGCAAAAATGGACGCAATATTCACGCTTGATACAGGTCTGAATTTGGATTGTAATTAAATATTTGACACATAAAAGGTTTCTGACACAGAATAACTGTAGTCAAAGAACTTAGGATTGGTTATATGATTTGAATTTATATTTGATTTTTTGCTTTTGTGCAATACACTTTGCTGTTGCGAATTGACCCCCCCCCCTCCCCCCACAAAAAAAAAATAAAAAATTTGCCCCCCCTTTGTTTTTTGCTTTTGTGCAATACACTATGCTATTGTGTATGAATTTGAAATATGGTGTCAAATCTTTCATATGGATTTTTTTGTAAAAAAAAAAAGATGCAACATTTGCAGATATTTTTACTGGTCTTCCTTTATAAATATGCATTTCTTTAAACATAATTTAAAAGCAGTGTAAGGGAGGTAATCAAAACGTTGTATTTGGATTACCTCCCTTACACTGCTTTTAAATTGTCTTAATTGTTCATTAACCATTACTTTATACATAATTTAAAAGCAGTGTAAGGGAGGTAATTCAAATGATGTTTTTGAATTACCTCCCTTACACTGCTTTCAATTATGTTTTGTACTAAAGTAGTTGTCCATTAACCAGGACACCCTTGTTTTTCCCCCTTTTTTGACCCTAATTCCTAAACGGTTTGAGCCATAAACCCCCAAAGCAAATCCTAACCATCCCTTTGTGGTATGGAAACTTGTGGTATAATTATAGAGAGATCCATACACAGTTCCACAAGTTATTGTCTGGAAACTAGAAAAATGCTTATTTTTGGCCCCTTTTTGGCCCCTAATTTCTTAACTGTTGGTACCATAACCCCTTAAATCAATCCCAACCTTCCTTTTGTGGTATTGAACCTTATGGTAAAATTTCATAAAGATCCAATGACTTAAAGTTATTGTGCGAAAAACCAATGTGTCTTCAGACGACGACGACGATGACGACGACGACGCCAACATCATACCAATATACGATTTTGCGGTCGTATAAAAACTAAGCAAAAGATTCAAAGTCAATAGACCATAACTGAGGGGGCGGGCCAAATAATCTCCATGGTAATGAGATGTGCCAATACTTATACAACTGCTTACCAAATATCTTTGACTTATCACTAGTGGTTCACCATAAACTAGACCTCATCACAAACTAATACATTGTTGATGCCGCCGCCGCGGGAAACAGCATACCTATGTCTCGCTTTTTGACTACGTCAAGCGAGACAAAAATTATGAGCTAACTAGAGAAAAATTATTTCAGGCATGTTTTTACATCCTAAAACTTGAGAAGTTTAGAGATTGTAAAAAAATATTTATACAAGTTAATTTTTGAGAAAAATAAGGGGAGATTATTCAAACCTTATAAGATAAATGGGGAATGTGTCCATGGGACACTGATGATGCCCCAAAAAAAAGTGACCCTACCCAAATTTGTACTTGATTTGAGTTTTGTGGTAATAAGTATTGTGTATAAGTTTCATAAAATTTGGTTGATGCAAACTTAAGTTAGAGAACTGAAACGAAAAATTCAGCAATTTTTCCATTTGTAAAGGGGCATAACTCTAGAACGATTAGAGTGACACCCCCAAAATTCAAACTTGATCTGTATTTGTGGTGATAAGCATTGTGTATAAGGTTCATAGCATTTGGTTGAGGCAAACTAAAAGTTAGAGAACAGAAACAAAAAATTCAGCATGTATTTTGTGGTAATAAGTATTGTGTATAAGTTTCATAATATTTGGTTGAGGCAAACTGAAGTTAGAGACGGAAACCAACTTTGGGACGTACAGACAGACATATGGATGGACGGACGTAGGTACAGATGGACAAAGGTAAAACTTAATGCCCCCTCCGCTACGGCTGGGGCATAAAAATAAGAATATATATAAACAAATTAATTTATATAAGAATATTATTATTTGCTTCTTCATGTAAATAAAAACAACTTGTACAAGTAGTTCCCCTGACTGATTTAAACAAGGAATGTCAAATTCATCACAATAACATCTTTAATATGATAATTACCTCCCCTTTTAATCCAAGTTGTATGGCTTTTCTTGCAAGTTTATCATATGTAGGAGAATGATCAGGATCCCATTGTAGTCGCACACTTATCTCGTCGGTTTGTACATTTTCTTCTCTTTGAAACTATAAAGACAAAAATAAATCTTATATACTGCAAATTTTCTTCAATGTTTATAATTGATTAACTTATTTGGATGTTGATAGAATTGAAGATTTTTTTCCTGAATATACTTCATTTTCTACCATCTTGACCTTCAAAGCAACAAAATGTGTATTATAACATCATGTACATGTAATAGTACTGTGTTGAATTATTATTAGTGATGTACACTGTGGATTTTTTTCCTTATTTTTGAGTGGTCTATTATAATTTCGTTTTTATGTAGCAATATTTTGAAGAGTACATTTCCTCTACAATCTAGGTAGGTATAGTCAGTATTTGTTTTTCATTTTACATAAATCACATTCCACATTAAGAATGATACTCAAGCCATATGTGTGTCTTTAATTATGATTAAGGTTGCTTTATTAACTTATCATCATCTGAAATAGTTCAATTTCTCACTACTGACATAATAATATACTGTGGATTCATAAATATTCGTAGGATACCAATCTTTGTGGATTTCATGGGTACATCTAAACCTCAAATTTAAATGGTCAATGAAGTATAAATTTTTCTATAGGTTAAGTATGCAGACTTTTGTAAAACAACTATTTTCCTTAATATCAACGAAAATTGGTACCTACAATAATAAATAAATTTACAGTATATGACTGATGGTTACTTGATTTTTGCTTTCCTACATCCATTTGAAGGTTGACCTGATCTGTTGTAGATATTTTTTGGTTCTTTTTTTAGTTATTGGGTTGCTGTCTCACTGACATATATATAAAATCTCCTTTTCACATTAAATGCATTGACTTATTTTAGCTTACTTTTACTGTAAAGGCATTTGCCAATATCTTCTCAAATCCATGACGACTAATTCTAACTGCTAAAACTCTTTGTTGGTTGTTCTTGCTTGCCCATCCACATCGATACATCATCCACAGAAAATTAGTTTTCACCCATGACATTCTTTCATAACTGAAATCTGGCCCACCAAATCTACAAACAATTAAATGACATGATCATGATAATTATTTAATTGTATGGCTGTTTATTTAAATTTTCCTTTGATATTTCTTTAAGATAATTTTCAATCTTAAGCTACTTGAGTGGTATGGGATTTCCTAAATTGAGTTAAATAGATTGAATGATGTCATACATGTATGCCTAAGTCATTAAATGGTCATTGTTCTTGCTTGTGAAAATATCAATCAGCATCTATAGGTAGCCATATTTAGTTGATATTGTAGCTGAGAAACTCCATCTGGTTTGAAGAGTTCCAAGACTAGATAATCTTTAAATATATATGCAGTTTCTACAATTTGTACAAGACTGTCATGAGATGAAGAACACCAATCATGTCAATAAATTTTATGTTCCTTAAAATTCAGAAATTGTTGCGATGTTTTATTAGGTATGTCATAAAATTGAGAATGGAAATGGGGAATGTTTCAAAGAGACAACAACCCGACCATAGAGCAGACAACAGCCGAAGGCCACCAAAGGGTCTTCAATGCAGCGAGAAACTCCCACACCCGAAGGCTTCCTTCAGCTGGCCCCTAAACAAATATGTATACTAGTTCAGTGATAATGGACGTCATACTAAACTCCAAATTATAAGAGGAAACTAAAATTAATAAAATGCTTCGCTGGGGTGCAGCTTGATACGACTGCAGAGGTCCAACCCTGAACAGTTGGGGCAAGTATGGACACAACATTCAAGCTTGATACAGCTCTGAATTTGGATTGTTATTAAATATTTGACACAGCATAGGTTTCTGACACAGAAAGAATGTGGTCAAAGAACTTGAATTTTTTTAATTTACCTATTATGGTCCAATGTCCAAAATCAAAATACATGGTTAGATTCAGCATATCAAAGAACCCCATATATTCAATTTTTGTTAAAATCAAACAAAAGTTTAATTTTGGACCCCAACTTGGACAAACTTGAAAACTGGGCCCATAATCAAAAATCTAAACACATTTTTAGATTCAGCATATCAAAGAACCTCAAGAATTCAATTTTTGCTAAAATCAAACAAAGTTTAATTTTGGACCCTTTGGACCTTAATGTAGACCAATTTAAAAAACGGGACTTAAAATTAAAAATCTAAATACAGTTAGATTTGGAATATCAAAGAACCCCAATAATTCAATTTTTGATGAAATCAAACAAAGTTTAATTTTGGACCCTTTTGACCTCAATATGAACCAATTTGATAGCGGGGCCCACAAATAAAAAATCTAAATTCATGGTTAGATTCAGTATATCAAAGAACCCCATATATTGAATTTTTGTTGAAATAAAAAAAAGTTTAATTTTGGACCCCAACTTGGACCAACTTGAAAACTGGGCCCATAATCAAAAATCTAAACACATGTTTAGATTCAGCATATCAAAGAACCCCAAGAATTCAATTTTTGTTAAAATCAAACTAAGTTTAATTTTGGACCCTTTGGAACTCAATGAAGACCAATTTAAAAAACGGGACCCAAATTAAAAATCTAAAAACACGGTTAGATTTGGCATATCAAAGAACCCCAATAATTCAATTTTTGATGAAATCAAACAAAGTTTAATTTTGGACCCTTTTGACCTCAATATGAACCAATTTGATAGCGGGGCCTACAAATAAAAAATCTAAATACATGGTTAGATTCAGCATATCAAAGAACCTCATATATTCAATTTTTGTTGAAATCAAACAAAGTTTAATTTTGGACCCCAATTTGGACCAACTTGAAAACTGGGCCCATAATCAAAAAACTAAATACATGTTTAGATTCAGCATATCAAAGAACCCCATATATTCAATTTTTGTTGAAATCAAACAAAGTTTAAATACTGGACCCTATCTTGAACAACTTGAAAACTGGGCCCATAATCAATAAACTGCTTCGCTGAGCGCAGCTAGATACGCCCGCAGAGGTCCAACCCTGAACAGTTGGGGCAAAAATGGACACAATATTCAAGCTTGATTCAGGTCTGAATTTGGATTGTAATTAAATATTTGACATATTATAGGTGTCTGAATAAATGTATTCAAAGAACTTGAAATTGGTTATATGAATTGAATTTATGTTCAATTAAAGATTTCTTGCTGTTGTGCAATACTTAGTAAATCTGTTGTCAGACTATAAACAAATAAAGTATAATTAATTCTCAATGTCATATTAGAAATTTATGAAAATAAAAAGGGAGCTTACATCAATAGATATAAACAATTCACCAAAGTTTCATGAGAATTGGTGACAGCATTTTTGAGTTATTGTCAGAAAACTGGAAAATCACCCCTTTTTAATGAATAAAACCCCATAACTCAGAAATGTAAAATGTAAAATTTATAAAATTCTAAAGGGAGCTTACATCAATACATACAAACAATTCACCAAAGTTTCATAAGAATTGCTGAAAGCATTTGTGAGTTTTTGTCTGATAACTGGAAAGTCCCCCCTTTTTTTATGAATAAAACCCCGTAACTCGGAAACGTAAAATCTAAAATTTATAAAAATCAAAAGGGAGCTCATGTCAATAGATATAAACAATTCACCACAATTTCTTGCAAGTTGGTGAAAGCATTCTTGACTTATTGTCCGAAAACTGGAAAATCCCCCTTTTTTTAATGAATAAAACCCCATAACTAGGAAACGTAAAATCTAAATTTTATAAAAAACGAAAGGGAGCTCACGTCAATAGATATAAACAATTCACCAAAGTTTTATGCAAATTGGTTTAAGCAATTTTGAGTTAATGTCCGACATGTTGACGACGGACAGACGGACGGACAGACGGACAGACGGACGGACGGACAGACGGACAACGGTATACCATAATACGTCCCGTAAACGGGCGTATAAAAATCTAAACACATGTTTAGATTCAGCATATCAAAGAACCCCAAGAATTCAATTTTTGTTAAAATCAAACTAAGTTTAATTTTGGACCCTTTGGACCTTAATGTAGACCAATTTAAAAAACAGGACACAAAATTAAAAATCTAAATACACGGTTAGATTTGGAATATCAAAGAACCCCAATTATTCAATTTTAGATGAAATCAAACAAAGTTTAATTTTGGACCCTTTTGACCTCAATATGAACCAATTTGATAACGGGGTCCACAAATAAAAAATCTAAATACATGGTTAGATTCAGCATATCAAAGAACCCCATATATTCAATTTTTGTTGAAATCAAACAAAGTTTAATTTTGGACCCCAATTTGGACCAACTTGAAAACTGGGCCAAAAATCAAAAATCTAAATACATGTTTAGATTCAGCATATCAAAGAACCTCATATATTCAATTTTTGCTAAAATCAAACAAAGTTTAATTTTGGACCCTTTGGACCTTAATGTAGACCAATTTGAAAACTGGACCCAAATTAAAAATCTAAATACACTGTTAGATTCGGCATAACAAATAAATAAATGTGATCAAAGATTTTACAAATCTAATGCGCCATACTGTGCAATTAAAGATTACTTAAAGATTACTTCTTGAAATTTTTCAATATTTGAAATTTGAAAAAAAAATAATATTTGAAGAATAATTCTTTTTAATTTCTGAAATCTGAAATGAGAAAAAATTGACCCCCTACAATTTCTTTTTATCCCCCCCCCCCCTTTTTCCCCCAAAAAATTCTTTCCCTCAAGATATGGTCATAATCTCAATTCAAATTTCCAATGGAGTTGGCAACCATAATTACCCATTTAAATTTACCATAGTGCTAACTTAATCTATTTTATAATAGAATTAAAAATATAGTGTCAAATCTTTCATATGGATTTTTTTGTAAAAAAAAAAGATGCAACATTTGCAGATATTTTTACTGGTCTTCCTATATGCATTTCTATAAACATAATTTAAAAGCAGTGTAAGGGAAGTAACCAAAACGTTGTATTTGGATTACCTCCCTTACACTGTTTTAAATTATCTTTATTTTTCATTAACCATTACTTTATACATAATTTAAAAGCAGTGTAAGGGAGATAATTTCAATGATGTATTTGATTTATCTCCCTTACACTGCTTTAAATAATGTTTTGTACTAAAGTATTTGTCCATTAACCAGGACAACATTGTTTTTCCCCCTTTTTTGCCCCTAATTCCTAAACGGTTTGAGCCATAACCCCCCAAAGCAAATCCTAACCATCCCTTTGTGGTATGGAAACTTGTAGTATAATTTCACATGTTTCAGAGAGATCCATACACAGTTCCACAGTTATTGTCTGGAAACTAGAAAATGCTTATTTTTGGCCCCTTTTTGGCCACTTAATTCCTTAACTGTTGGTACCATAACCCCCAAAATCAATCCCAACCTTCCTTTTGTGGTATTTAACCTTATGGTCAAATTTCAAAAAGATCCATTCACTTAAACTAAAGTAAGATTGCGAAAACCAATGTGTCTTCGGACGACGACGCTGGACGATGACGACGGACGACGACGCCAACGTCATACCAATATACGACCACAAATTTTTTTGCAGTCGTATAAAAATGATACAAGACTAACAAAGGCCAGAGGCTCCTGACTTGGGACAGGCGCAAAAATGCGGCGGGTTTAAACATGTTTTTTGAGATCTCAACCCTCCCCCTATACCTCTAGCCAATGTAGAAAAAACAAACGCACAACAGTACGTACAGTAAAACTCAGTATAAGAAAAGTCTGAGTCCGATGTCAGAATAAGAAACAAAAGAAAATAAACAAAATGACAATAATACATAAATAACAACAGACTACTAGCAGTTACTGACATGCCAGTTCCAGACCTCAATTAAACTGATTAAAAGATTATGTCTTCATCATATGAATATCAGACACAATCCCTCCTGTTAGGGGTTTAGTATTATACCGTCATAAAATATATGAGAACATAACCCGTGTCATGCCAACAACTGGTTTTAGAATAAATGTGTTTAATTCCGATGCAAAGACCCTATAAGTGAATTAATATTAAAGCCAAAATATGCAATCTTTAATGACCTGACAACAGTATAGTAACTATATGCCTTCTTAATAAGTCTGTTTAAAGGTTTAGTTAGCTTTTGAGGTGAATACTGACATTTTTGTACCATAAAAGATTGGATGTGAAATACCCGAACGTATAAGATATCTGCATGTTGAGTTATATTTACGAATGATGTCCTTATACCGATGATAAAATTTAGTAAATGTTTTGACTAGTTTATGATATCGAAAACCCTGGTGTAATAATTTTTCAGTAATACATAAATTTCTCTCGCTAAAATCTAATACGTTGTTACATACACGAGCGAATCGTACAAGTTGAGATATATAAACACCATGAGATGGTGACAAGGGAATGTCACCATCTAAAAATGGATAATTTACGATAGGAAATGAAAAATCATCTCTTTTATCATAAATTTTTGTATTAAGCTTCCCGTTAATGATATAGATATCAAGATCGAGGAAAGGACAGTGGTCATTGTTAGTATTATCTTTATTTAAAGTAAGTTCAACAGGATAAATTTCTTTAGTATACATACTGAAGTCGTCATTATTGAGAGCCAATATATCATCCAAATATCTAAAAGTATTGTTAAATTTTTGTATCAGATGTTGTTTCGATGGGTCTTTGCTGATTTTAGTCATAAATTGTAACTCATAACAATACAAAAACAGGTCCGCAATAAGTGGTGCACAGTTAGTCCCCATTGGAACTCCGATAACTTGACGATATACGGAATCTCCAAAGCGAACAAAAATGTTATCAAGTAAAAATTCAAGGGCATGTACCGGTATGTGTAGAAATGGAAAAATTTGTAAAATAGAACAAATGTTGATCACTTAAAATAATATCCAAACAAAAATTCTGTGAAAGCTAATTACAGTAATCATGGTAATGAAACTCAAACATGTCAAACTTTATCTGTGAGTATGTATATATATATACAAAGAACAATAAAATGCTTGGCTGAGCACAGCCTGATACGACTGCAGAGGTCGAACCCTGAACAGTTGGGGTAAGTTTGGACACAATATTCAAGCTTGATACTATCTGAATTTGGATTGTGATCAAATTTTTGCCATCTTAAATATAGGTTTCTGACACAAAATAAATGTGGTCAAAGATCTTTAAAAAAAATTGAAATGGGACATTTAATTTACCTAGAACACATGTAGAATGGTCTGATATCCAAAATCTAACAACATGGTTAGAATCAGCAAATATAAAAAAAACACCAAAAATTTAATTTTAGTTGAAATCAAACAAAGTTTAATTTTGGACACTTCAAACCTTAATATGGACTAATTTGAAAACAGGGCCCAAAATAAAATAAATGTGGATAGTGTCCGCATGTGGACACAGATGATGCCCCCGCTTGCATAGCATATAGTTTTAAAGGGACATAACTGAAGAACGGTAAACTGTGCTTTTGTGCAATACTGTGCAATTGAAGATTTCTTGCTATTGCACAATACTGTGTTATTGCATATCTCAGCTTGTCTGGCAAAACAGCCGTTGGACGTCAAGAGTAATCTCGGTATTACATTAACTAAAATGTCTGAATTTGATACACAAAGGCTTAACAAACAAATTCATCATCACTACATTGGAAGTAACAGATGTACAGTCATTCTTTTCCACAGAAATGCTTCTTCTTTTGCTCATTTTACATTTACTGATCTAGAAATTTTCTTACTGTTGATTTTGTACTGCGTATTTAGCAATAGCTGGTTTAAATGCTTGATAAACAATAACACTGCGATCGTCATACTGTGCTAGGATGTGTTTTCCCTCTCTAGGCCATGATTCCTTCTGCAGGATATATTTTGCAATGTCTATTCCTTTTGGTACTAAACACTGAGAATAATTTATTCCACAGGCCATATCCGATTTTTCAATTTCTATGTCCATGATGTCCTCCGTCTGCTTTTGATTTCTTTCAAGTGTCATATCATCGACTACCTGTGAACTAGCCATTGTGAACTACTGCTGTAAATCGTTTTCCCAAATATATTTGTTGGTGTAATATGTCATTGCACAACATTTGTCTATATGGTGAATAACCATTCAACTTTCACCTTTCAAAGGGAAAGTGAAACCGGAAATGCCAAATAACAACTAAAATAGAGCAATCCACTACAATAAATAGTTCTAAAATAGTCGACGCATTGTCATTATTACTTTTTTTAAGTCGGTATTCCTAGCTATTTGTAGTACAAACACGATATATTGCACATTTTTTTATACTTAAAATAATACACGAAAACGATATTTATCATTTAGAAGAATCCGCCAAAGGAAACTCACGAGATGTACTTGTTTGAACGAGATTGGCCTGAAAATGGCTTCTCGTAGCCATGTGGATGTGAACGAAAGGCGACTCAGACCTATTTATGGTCCGTTTATAGATTTTATATGCATAAATCTTACACGAATGATAAAAAAGACACAGAGAACTATCTTAATACAACAAATTAAACCGATTTCAAAATCTCTGTTCAGTAATGAACGTTTTTTAAACAGTTTTTAGGTTGATGATTTTTCATATTTTTGTGTATAAATCATAGAATTTAGAGATGCCGCCAAAGAAAGTAATCTGATGTGATTTTGACTTGAGACGTCTTGACCTCTTTTTATTTCAATTTTTTGTTAAAGTTTTGAACCATTTTGCTGCAATGTTAGTATGTAATCAAAATTATCACAGAATAAGATAGTAAGGCCAAGGGAGAAAGTTCCTTTTTAAATTGAAAGTATCTTGGATACATCTAGCTACGGAACCGTAGCTCTTAGGTCCTTATGTCAAATAGTCAAAAAAATATAAGGACCTAAGAGCTACAGGTCCATGGTCTGCAGAATATAGAACAGGTTAGGAACAACCCCTCAATGTAATGACTATCCCTTTTATGAGGGGTACATTTCAAGTGATACAAATATTTTTATAAAAACCACTTTTAAGTACAAAAGGGCACATATTTATATTTGAAGAAACTTTTCCCCGAAGAACTATATCGTGTATATATCTATCTGGTACTGTATGGTCAAAACATGTCCTAGAATTTTGTAATAATTAATGGACTTATAAGTTATATAGTCACCGTCAGGTAAAATTGACACCATGTTTTTTGTCGAAAATTTTTAAACTTCCAACCGCATTCATTCGAGATTACGTTTTTCAATTAGCGGAATCAAAAATCTTTCCAAAAAACCAGCTCTGTCCTACCTTTTGTTGTGATTGCACTGTATTATCCAGACCTTCACATTATCCAAGATTATTTGTCATTGTAAATCCGCCATCATGGTTTCTATGAGGATCCTTTATTTACATAACATTCGTCACTCTCCGGTAATAACCATGTCATTGATGTGATACAGTTTCCCACGCTTTTTGCAAGTAAACGATTAAAATGATGGAAAGATCTGAGAGGCCCAAGAAAATAGACTCCCAGTGGAACTCCACGGCAACACTTCCGGTTATAACAATGTCGGATTCCACCATTGAAAATAATCTTGGATTATGTGAAGGTCAGGATTATACAGTGCAAACACAATAAAAGTAGGACAGTAGTGGTTATTTGGAAAGATTTTTGATTCCACTAATTGAAAAACATCATCTCGAGTGAACGCAGCTGGCAATTAAAAAATTTTCGACAAAAAACATGGCGCTAATTTTACATGACGGCGACTATAGTTATATCTTCTTAATTTTTATAAAATGAGAAAGTGGACCTCTCTTTTAGAAAAGTTGTTCCAAATATAGCGAATTTTTCCCCTTTTAAGTTAAAAAAGCGAAGTTTTTCTTTTTTCGTTTCTACAACAGCAAAATGACCCCTTGTCTGGGGGACAGTCCCTCATTTAAGGCATATCCCTCATTTGGGGGGTTGTTCCCAACCTGTAGAAGAAGAAGTAGGATACATTTTTTCGCTATTTGTCTGCCTGTACTGGACATCATTAAGTTTCCTGTACATAAGTATACTGACTTCATAAAAGCAAATGTTTGATGCCACTATGGAAAAGTGATTGTTGTATGAAGTCAACTGTTCAATTGTCACAGATTCTCTAATAGTAACTGAGCAAAAAGGCTATTGTGCTTCACCAATGATTAAAATGTTTTATTAAGATCATTTTGCATTAAATTACTGCTTTTCCTGGGTTTTTTTAAGGTATGTTAATTCCACATGTTCCAGATTCAATAAACTAATATGAGAATATTGGTTATATGGAAATTGCATTCATGTGCATTGTTAACAGCAGTCTAATGTGAACAGTTCTTGCCAGAATTTAATGAAACTAATATCATAGGTTTATATCAGCAGTGTCTTTAGTTTAACACTTTCGAAAATAAGTGCTGATCAAATATCTATTACTAGTAATGCCCCTTGGAAAAATTAATTATAATGGAAATCACATTGCATTTGCTCTAAAGCCTTCATATCTCTTAGATATTTATATATTTTTTTAAAGAACCAAAAAAAAGTGTTTTTTTATTAGTTATTGCCCTTGGATAGATAAAAAATGTGCAACATGGGGGAAATTGGAACTCTGTTCTTTTATATAACTGGTGACACCTTTTTGGAGACCAGAGCAGTCCCTGTGACTTGTTGTATAATAGCATAAATGAACTTTCCAAGAGGGCAAGGTGCTTAAGGTTATAAAGCTTGGCCCTGTATAAAATTTGCTTGCAATGGGCTAGTTGGAGACCTCTAGCATGTCTAGTATGTCTAGCTAACATCCATTATTCTTTTTACATACATTGAATACACCTCTATACAAATGTATGTAAAATGTTATAGATTATATTCATAATCAACTATGTCTGATCTTTATCTAAATGATACTGTACAATTAATTAGATACATCTGAAAAGTGTTCAAAAACACCAAAACTATTAAATAGAAAACAGTAAATAAATAAAAAAATAAATTGTTAGTTAAAATAACAGATATCCTTCATTAGTTAATGATGTAAAATGGATTTTTTTTTAATGTATGCTGATTTTCATTTGAAATCTTGAATGTGATACAAATTAAAAACTGAACAATAATTCCACAAACTAGAAGTTCACTGAAATTAAGTAAATTTACAATAGACAATGTTGCATATGAATACATCTGGAATTAAACAACACATCCAGCTGCTGTGGTCAACACTGCACAAGTTGAATTACAAATTTTGGTGCTTTACTACAACTGACACCAATTTTGAGCCAATTTACTCAGTGACTTCTCATAACAACAATTTTTGATCTATGATATGTAAATTACAGAAAAATCAAATTTTGCCTTATACAATTCTAGATAATAGAAGATGGTTTTTCATAATTTGACTTGGTTTTTTTGCCTTTGATGGGTTCATTAAAAGACCTAATTTTACCCTATGAAACCAGAGGTGTTTACTTGAACGGATTGTCCGTATTTTACACAGATTTTTTAATAAAATTACTCAATACGGATTTGTCATGAAAAAGTACGGATTTTCTTCTAATCCGGAAAAAAATCATAGTTGCTTCCGTTTACGGCGATCGGTATCTAAAAGGCGCTTTTTTGACTGGGAATCGCCGCTCTTCAAAGCGCAAAATGATAGAAATCAAGTTTATTTCATAGACGGCATGGATCAGGATGCCGGCGTTTCTGAAAAACGTGAACATTTTATGTGAGGAAGTAGATATGTGTTTGTTAATTATAATGGAAATTGGAAATTACTGATAAATGGCCAAAATTACTGAAAAATCCCATTAGGATTACTGAAGTTAACAAAAAGGGGTAAACACCTCTGTGAAACCTTCATGACCTTAGTAGTAGAAAAATCTTTATTTACACTTATTATTAGTGTATGGTTCTTCATAATTGTATTGACAGAAATGGGCATGATTAAACCACGAAATTTAGATACAGATATATCATGTATATACCTGTACCATGTATACATGACACATAAAAGTTAAATAAAATTAATCTCTTTCTTGGAATCTGATATGCATTGACTTTCCACTCATTTCCACTATTGAAAATGTGTATTGTTATCCCTATATGTATATATATTATCCAACTACTGTCAATATCAATCAATATAGTGCAATTATTTCCTGGACTAGTGTTTTAAAAAGTTTTAAGGATTTATCATGATATAAATAATTAGAAAACTTCTTTAATTATAGATTGTCTTGATAATGGAAACAACAAAAAGGCTGTACAGGAAGCTGACAAGGTGTTAAAGAAACAGAAAGATCTCCAATGTGCTAAAGTAGGTATCTCTAATTAGGCCAAATAAAAATATGTGTGTTTCCAGTTACCCTACCTACCCTACCTTTTAGTCTTAATAATAGCCTACCCTAAAGATTTTTTGTCATTTTTCATTAAGCACTGTTTAAGTCAGAATGTTGCTCCCATATACTCAATGTAAAAAAAACATAAAATAAAAAAAAAAATCCCTACCTACCTACCCTAACTTTTTTTACATGTAACTGGAACCACACATACTATTTTATTTGGCTCTATCACAGGCTATTGACTGGCCAGTAATCTCATAGTCCAACTATTGTATCACTGGCCTGTCAATATGAGGTTATGAGTTAAAAACCTTGCACATGGCAGGTGTGTTTGACTCCAATCTTAATTGAATAGGATTGTCAGTTGTCCCGTCTAAGGTTGGTGGTTCTATCTGGCCACTCCAATAAAAACTAAATAGCCAGTGCTGAAAGTGGCATTAAACACTATTCAATCTGATTATCACAAACTGTAAAGGCTGTCAAATCTTCCACCAGAAACCACATTAAAAAAGAAATTTGTTGTTTATTATTTGGTAAATGTTCTCCAAGGCTCCATGTTGAAGACCGTACTTTGACCTATAATGGTTTACTTTTACAAATTGTGACTTGGATGGAGAGTTGTCTCATTGGCATTCATACCACATCTTCTTATATCTATCATTTAAGGCATGTAATTGTTGAGTTTACCAGCTCTAGAAAAACTCTGATAAACTCTCAGTTTAAATTCTGAAAAAAATACCCACACATACACGTAACCATGAAATGAACAGTTTTCTCTAATAATTATCAATTTTTCTGCAAAGTGAGCAAGGTGAGTGCGAATAGTATTTAAACTTCATGAATTAAACCTAGCACAGACTTAATTCATCTTTTCCTCTATGAATAAATTGTTTTTATGCCCCATTTATGGGCATTATGTTTTTTGGTCTGTCCCGGTTCAGGTTTAGGTTTATGGTCAAGGTAGTTTTTGATGAAGTTGAAGTCCAATCAACTTGAAACTTAGTACACATGTTCCCTATGATATGTTCTTTCTAAGTTTAATGCAAAATTTGACTCCAATTTCATGGTCCACTGAACATAGTACTGTGGATTCATTTATTTTCGTGGGTATCAATTTTCGTGGATTGCTGAAAACTTGCATATTGGTGGATATTTGATTTCGTGGTTTTGCTAATCTCTGTATACAAAGCCTATTGAAAATATGTTATTCGTTGAATATTTATTTTTTGTGGTTCACCTGTACCCACGAAACCCACGAAAATTGGTATCCAACGAATAATAATGAATCCACAGTAAATGATAGTGCAAGTGGGGCATCCGTGTACTATGGACACATTCTTGTTTATTATTTGTTTATCATGTTTGTTTCCATTTTCAGATTTTAAAAGCACTTGCTCTGTTGAGACTTGGAAGGCATGATGACAGTTCTAACTTACTGGATGAAGTCCATGCCCAGCATCCTGTTGATGAGGCCACACTACAGGCCATGTGTATCTGTTACAGAGAAACATATAAATGTATGGATGATTTATCTTACGTTGAATGGGTTCGAAAAAAATGTAAAAATAGGAGGTATAGGCTATCAAGTGTTCTTGTTGTACTCTGATAAAAAGAAGTGAAGATTCTTTAAGTGATTCATGGTCAAATTGGTCCAAAGAAAATGTGTTCTGAATAGTCATTATCTTCATTATCTTACCCCCTTACCCCGACTTGAAATAAAATTTTCTATTCTATTCTCTTTCTAGATGAGATTCTGTCTCCAGGTCAAATACAAAAATATGAAATCAAAATTTGTTGCTTTTCAGCCAATTATTAGCACACATGATATAGTAAGAGGGTGCTGGATTTCTCAGTTAAAAAAATGTGGAAACAAAGCGTGATTCCAATTTCAGTGGGAATATAAAGTTCATGTCTCTGGATTAAGTGTTCGAGTTGAAATTTTGAGAACCAAAATCAAACGGACATTTATAAGATATCTTACATAAAAACATACATGGGCACTAAAAAAGTTTCAAGTTGAAGAAAATATGTGTTTGAATGCTAAATAAAACAATTTTTGCTTGTCATAATTGTCATTGTGTCATGAAATAGAAGTTCTTCGTAGTATAAGTTCTAAATGGAAGAAATATTATAGAATATTATTACCACTGGAATAAATATAACAATATTTGTTCCAAACAGAGATAAATGGCATAGAATATTTGTTCCAACAGAAACAAATATCATGGCATTGTTTATAACAAAGTTTCGCAGGGAACTTCTGTAAGGCGAAACAAATATACTTTGACAGATTCACTACATAGACCACATAGCAACTGAGGCCTTTACCAATATTGGGATGATATACATGTTACTTATAGATTATGCATGTTCATTTTATAGACATTTGTTATTTCTTTCAGTGGAGGCAATAGTTGATATGTATGAAAATGCCCACAAGCTAAAGCCAGACAATGAAGAGATACTGTCCGCATTATTTATGGCATATGTCAGAATGGGTAACTACAAGAAACAACAACAGACAGCCATGTCCTTACACAGACTTCAGCCACAGAAAAATCCTTACTATTTCTGGGCCATTATGAGTATTGTCATGCAGGTATGTTTAAAAAAAGACTGTTTTGATCAGGTGAGGTGACACTTGAAATAAAGTAACATGATTAAGAATTTGGAGCGTTGTGAAAAGATTGGAGAAGTATGGTTTTACAGAAAATGCCTCCTATGCACCTGCACATAAGCTCATTTGGCTTATGCATCATCATTAATTTGAGGACAGTTATACCTCTGGATATCATTATGGTTGCTTGATTGATAAATGGTGCTTGTATGTCTCATATCAAATGTTAAAGGCACATTCATGTCTACCTGACCCTGTTATCTTGTGAGCTAACACAGGTTCTTACTAGGTATGCAAGTCTAATAAAAAGCAGGGTGGATTCATGTAGTATTTTCTGCTAGACAGTGTAGCTATTTCTTATTTGGGGACTCATGAATCAATATTTTAAATATTTTCCTAACTAAAAAAAATCAGTCTAAAAACATCATTGTAATTTTTATCACCATATTCACATGAGGGTATATATTGTCATTACCATTTAACAAATTTTTGTGTCCCCCTTATAACTTAGATATATTAATTTGTGTATGGTATATTATATATTGTAGAGTCACACTGATAAGCGGCTTGCTGCCACAATGTTTTTACCATTGGCAGATAGAATGACAAAGAAATATGTAGAGGAGGGGAAAATTAATGCGGAAGCAGGTATATCTTGTTTAATTTTTAGTTGATGGTCATTTACAACTTTAGTTTTCTTGAGAGTCATTAAAAGATTGTTAGATGTTGAAATAGATAATGCTTATTGTGAAAAAAGCTGAATTTATCACAATAAACCTACCTTAGTTCTGCCTGATCAATTTTTAAAGAACTCTTGATCAAATTAAATTGAAAGGGACCTCTTGCAAGTAGTTAGTGAACATTTGAATAGTTCATGTAGTTTAAATCTTCCAGGAAAGTTTGTTAATATGTTTCTTATTAAAAGAAGAGGAAAAACCGACAATTTCATGGCAAAAAACAAAAAAAACAGCAAAAGAAAAGTTCACTAATTATTACATAGACAACTAAAGACTAAGCAACATGAACCCCACCAAAACAAAACTTTGGGTCATCTCAGGTGCTCTGGAAGGGTATGCAGATCCTGTTCCTCATGTGGCACCAATCATGTGGCTCATGGTTATTATAAACTAGGCCAAACAATGTTGGGTGTGAGAAAATGATATAAGGATGGCTTTATTGATATATATATATATATATTGTAAATGAAACTATCAAATTAAAAAAAAAATAAATCAACAATCAGATTTGAAGTTTTTACACAAAGTCTTATGATTACTTTCAGAGGTACAGCTTTATCTGATTATACTTGAGTTGATGGGGAAGTATGAAGAGACATTAAATTTGTTAAAAGGTCCTCTTGGAGGTGAGTTTTATAGTCTAAAAGGTCCTATTGGAGGTGAGTTTTATAGTCTAAAAGCTCAACTTAGTAAAAACAAAGTAAAGATAATATGTAAACGTAGAATTATGTCCACATGCAGAAAATCAAAGAGGACGATCTCTTAATTAGTATGCAACTAAAATTAAAAACAGACATAGCCAATAATGATATATAAATTTATATACTGACTGCTAAACAAATCTTCTAATAATAATAACTGCACATTTGTAGATTTTAAACTAGCCATCATGTGTCAAATAGACCATCGCACATCAGCGAAAGGACCATTGCGCTTTGTAGACCATCGCACATCAGCGAAAGGACCATTGCGCTTTGTAGACCATCACACATCAGGGAAAGGACCATTGCGCTTTGTAGACCATCACACATCAGGGAAAGGACCATTGCGCTTTGTAGACCATCGCACTTCAGCGTCCCCATCGCAACTCCGAGTCCTGCATATATATGTATCAGATATCTCAATATGAGATGTTATTATTGCGATACTCACTCAGTTGCATTATTCACATTAATAAAAAACCTTGCAATAATTTCCAAACTTTGTTTATGTTTTTTTTCTCAAAAATGTAATTAATTTTCAATCTTTATCTACATAATTTAAAATAAGATTTATGATTTTTTTTTTCAACAGAAAAGCTGACTAGTGAATTACTTTACCAAGAAACAAGAGAAGCTGAATTATATACAATGTTAGAACGATGGCCTGAAGCTAATGCAGCCTATAAACGACTGATCAAAGAATAGTAAGTGCTATATTTTTATGAATGGAAATTTAACTGCAAAACATATTCATGAACATATTCAAGAAGTTAATTTAAATTCTAAATTTTGATTTAATGAAACACAGATCTGCCATTAGTTTCATTTCATATTATATGCATGGCTGTTCCATTAAAACATACATGAGAATTGTGGAAAATGGGGTAACCATTTATAGAGACCATTGTAGAATTTTTCTTATTTCTCTTACATTTTTATGGTGCAAAATATTCCTTGGTACTTACCTGAAGTCAGATTTAAAAGTGTTGTCCTGGGTGTAATGTATATTTTTTGGAACCACCATTTGACTTCTACACATGAATAATGCTTTCTTTGGGATATTACTGTTAAAATTACCTGAGACACCTTTGAGTAAATTAATAAAAAATATGTTTGACTTCTTGTGTTGGAAACATACATGTTATACTAGTGATAACCATAAAATACCATTGTTGTTTTCTTTTCACAGTCCTGACCATTGGATAAATTGGCAGAACTATATTTCATCATGTATAAAATTAGAATCAACTGATTGGACACCATTGGAAAATGACGACAGGTAAGAAAAACACCTAATATGGGACAACAGTTTCTAATACAATTTGTTTTTAAACGACAGATGCATTGAATTTCCTTTAGAGATTCTACCTGTTATTTTTACAGGATTTTAGATAAGTAAGGAAATCCAAAAAAAAATTAATCTCAACAAAGATTAAACATGTAAAAATTTAGAATTCAAGTTACTGTATGTTATATTGTTTTCTTTTGAAGCTATTCAGAAGTTCACTACACATCAGAAATGGCTTTGACTTTCATACAGGAGATTTTAACATGGCAGGCTGACAACCGATTATTACGAGGACCATATTTAGCCAGATTAGAATTAATCAAAGTGTTGAGACAGACTGGTAGTAATAAATCTATATCAGGTATATCATGAAAATAAGTGGCTTGTTTTGAGAATTTTGATGCATATTTACCGAGTCTTTTTAAGAATTAAAACAATGATAACCACTTTCATCTATTAATCCAGATGAGAACATTTCAAAATCAGCAAAATTGATATCTTAACTTTCCAGTGTTTTTGTTGTGTTTTTTTGTTACATTACAAAGAATTAATTAAAAATAAAATTTGTGAAAAAATGACATGATATTGTACTCAATTTGATTTATAAAGGTCAAAGGTTGTGTAGTGAGTACTAATGATTTCTAGATACAATTACTTTACACTGTATAAAAAATATTTATATTTTAAAGAAAATATTAAATAAAAATTATGTATGATTGTTGTTTCAGTATCCCCCTTGCCATTGATGATAGAATATTATGAATTATTTGGAGATAAGTTTTGTTGTGTAGAAGATCTGACAATTTTCACAGATTTACTCAGTGAGCAAGAAGGACAACAGGTAATGTGATAGTGTCCAAACTTGTTGGAATACTGGGAAGTGGCATTTATTTCTGGAGAAAGTCAAATGTAAACACTAACTCCGCCTTGATATCATAAGATAATTTTTGTTCGATAAAATGACATTGGATTCCACTTCCTTTGTAAACCTAGATATTTCAGCTCTGTTAAATATAAAACAGATATCATTTTCAGGTTTTCAAAGAATCATTGTAATACCAGTAGATGTCCTTATTGACATTATTTAATAGTTCACTACCTGGATAAATGGAAATAAATTTAGAAATATTGATCCTTTGTCAAGATGCTAATTAATATTTGATAAAAGAATAAAATATTTGTTTTAGAAATAAGGAGATGTGGTATGTTTTGTAATGAGATACTATCCACCAGAGTCTAAACGATGTGGATATGAGCAACTGTAGGTCACTGTACAGCCTTTAACAATAAGCAATACCCATACCATATAGTCAGTTTATTTGAACTATTCATGGATTAAAAGTTTTCTACTATTAAGAGAATTAGGAAGAATATTTTTAACAAGTAATTGGTGTGTAATAAAATTATATCTTCTCCATCATGTCCTTTATGTAAACAAAATAACAAAACACAAAACCCATTCTGTTATTTTATATTTCAGCTGATTGATACCTTGTCAGAAACATTAGATATGTGTAAAACTTGTGATATCACTTTTGCTTCAAATGTAAGTTTAGATAAGATATGTTTCTGTAATAAATTGAGTGTGTACATTTAATAGGGTAGCCAATTTCTACACTGATGTTGTCAGTTTATTAGCTTTGACCAGAGATGATTTAGATTTGACCTCTTCAGACTTCAGTCATGGTTCATCGACTTTAAAATTTTGCATAGTTTATATATATCAGATTTGCTTTAAAATTTTTAACATTTGCATAATACTTCAAAAATAAATTACAGGTAAGAATTTCTCTGGAACTATCAATCAGAACTGTGATGCATTTTCAGACTTACTGAATTCTTATATATGGCCATGTATAGAAATATTGTCACATTTTGCATAGAAACGACAAATCAATGCTGTCTAAAAATTTGAATTGGCCTTCATGCCAACATGCTATAATGTGTGACTCGTTTTTGTATCCATCACTTACTAACTTCCTGTTTACCAAATATTTATATTGAGGTACCATAAGGGAGCAATAACTCACATGTTCATTTATATTGATATAAGAAAAACTTGACATAAAAAATTACACTAGTTTTCTTAAAATTTAGAACAGTTTTAATTTAAGCCAGCTAAAGCCCGCCTCCAGTGTGGGATTTTCTTGCTGCGTTAAAGACCCATTGGTGGCCTTGGGCTATTTTCTACTCTTTACTCAGGTTGTTGTCTCTTTGACACAATCCTTTTTTCCATTACAAATCAATTCTATTAAAACTGCAACAATTGCTGACTTTAGTTTCAACTTTAATGTTCGTTTTTGTCTTTCCTTTATTGTTTGGTTGCTCTTTCTTTACAAACATGTATGACTAATCAGTACATTAAGTCCCTTTTTGGTGCAATAGTTTAGACTGTTCTAGAAGAGAGCCAAAAAACACCAAAGGGATATATAAACTCTTATCAAGTTATGTCGAAAAAACCTGCCAATGCAATCATTGCCATGGCAAAACATAGAAACCGTGAAAAGACAAATGGTACATAAAACACAACAAAGAAAACTACGTCATTCCGAATTTTTTTTAAGAATTAACAGGTTAAAAGTTCAGGCATCTAAGTATTTAATATATGTCTTACGATGTGGAAACATTACTACATTACAGGTGAAACAGATGCAGAGACATGTTACGATATGTAAACTAAAGAGACATCTGGGTATCTTTCATCGACAACCTATAGAACATAGATTAGTATTAACCAAAGAATTTTTATCTAGGCACCAACATGGTTTAGATTTTGGTAAGTTTTCAATATGGATGGTAGTAATCATTTACAGCTTGAAAACCTAGTTTTCTTGCAGGTGATTTGTTCATTTTACACACCAATTAGAAATTATATAGAAAGATATATGTATAAACCTAAGCTTTATTTGTCAGCGGCCTAAACTGTCTGTATAAAGCCTTGTTGGTAAAGCTCACAAAGTGTTTCAGTCGAATTTTATCTACAACATTGTAAATGAATGTAGGTTGCATAATTTTTACATTGTTGGCTTTACATTAAAAATTGATGATTTTGACAAATATTTCATTTAGAATTGTTTTAAGAGTTGCTGTAAAAAGATGATAACCATACATTGTCTAGCCTCACATTCTACCAATTTTTAAGCCTTATACAAAAAACATTTTAATATTTTGAGAAAATGTACATTTATTCTGTATTTAATTGCTATTGAAAACATTTTTAGGTGTTGAAATTAATATTGCTTGAAATTGGGGATTTCAATTTACATTTATTTGATTTTTTGCTTAATCTGAGCAGATTTGGTTTTGGTACATGCTCAAATAGATGGTAAATATTCAATTGAAATGGTTGCTGGTGTAAGAGATAAAATTTGACAGCAATTCATCTAAGTTGTATGTAACAGTACATACCTGATCTGACATTTTGCAATTAACAATTATGAAATTAGTCCATTGGTGGTTAGCAAAATAATGGACTTAATTTTTGTGTTCTATTGACACTCTACATATAAATAAAAAAGAGAGAAAAAAATAAATTTTGAAATCAATAAGTATATATCATATTAATTTAGAGATATTGTTTTTATTTGCCTAGGTAAAGATTTATTAGCCACAGACGTACAGTTTAGTGATAGTTATTTATTGTTAGCTGTTCATTTACTTGTTGATATATGGGAAGAAACAGGCAAGTATATAAGTAACCAAATAATTTTCAGTTACGACAACAAACATGAGAAAATAATTGTACATAATAAGTACAGAATATACTATTTGTTGGTATGCTGTATGAATGAATAGGATTGATTAAAGAACATGGTCATGTTTAACTGGACAGAAATCTATGCAAATACGATCAAATTGATAATATATGGTTGAATCAATTTTTCCAAAAATTATAAATATTTGAGTGCTATTGTTTATGTGGTCTTGATACCTTAATAAGCTAATCATCAACCAAATTCTCCAATTACATGTATACTGGTATGCACTGTAATAACAAAATTTCTAGGTGCATTTATAATTGCGATTGATGAAAAATCTTCGAAAATGGGAGATAAATTATTGCAATTTCAAATTTTATAAGAGATTTTTTATTGTTGCAACACATGTATATACTGTCGCAATTTCTGAAATAATAAAAATATTGCAAAAATTTCTGAACTCTACATATTTTGTAATATTTGCTTTATGTTTACTTTGCAGAGGATACAAAGTATTTATGGCAGGGTATAGTGCAATTAGAGAAAGGAATGAAGAAAAGTATCTCAAACTTTCAAATCAAAGTACTACTTATGAGATTATACTGCATCATGGGTAAATTAATACAAATTACAATACAAATAAATATAGCAGGAACCAAAATTTTATTTTTACCAGCTTCTTGCGACTTTTCAATTAATTTTAAATTGTAACGAGATCCATACAAAATATTGTTAAGATAAAACATCTTGATTCCTGTGATTTTACGCTGTATTTTCTTAAGTTCTGTCAGAGTAAATTTGATTCAAACCTGTAAAGATCTCTTGATAGAATTGAAACAAATGACCTTTTGCAAGAAACTTCTGAATGTTTTCTAGCGTAAATTAACTAAGATCTAATAAATGTCATGATATCTAAGTCTTCAATTTTGTATTCCTTCTGTAGTCAATGATACAGCTACTTAACTCAACTGTACAGGAATGGTATAATCATAATCTGTAATATATTAAATGTTTTCTAAACATTTTTCCAAGAAATCAACTTTTATCTGTAATTGTCAAAATTTTTGATTTCATGAAATGTAAAAATCTTATTGAACAGTAGATGTTTAGTGGTAGAACTAGATGGAAGAGATTCTTCTTGCAACATGAAGGTTGAACAAAAATATCATATCAAACTTTACGACCATAAAATAATAGTATACATGTAGTTTCATGAATTTAAACATTTATAAGTTGAAGATGGTTTTTTTTCACACGGACTAACTTCAGTAATGAGAGATATTTCGGCCTACATGTATATTTTTACAATTTTACTAGTTTTAAGTGTAAGGTAACAAAAGATTATGAATAAATGTAGGTTTTTATATAATATTATAACATTTGTGTTTGTATTTCAGGTGTATATGGACCATGTCACACGCTTTATGAAAGTTTAGAGGTCAAACATATCATGAATGATACATTAGGGTATGTTGTACAATTAGTAACAGAATTTATATCATAGGTTTATATTAGCAATGTCTTCGACGAGATCGAAAATCAGTGCCAGACAATTATTTTTGAAAGAGTTATGCCCCTTGGAAATATTGATTATATGGAAAATTGCATTGTAAGTGCTCTCGCATATAAGATTTTTATCAAACTCATCTCAAAGGTATATAACAGCAATTTCAAAAATAAGTGCCGATCCAATATTTTTAATGAGTTTCCCTTGGAAATATTAGATATATCAGAAAGTCTTCAACTCTCTAGTAAGATAATTATAAAAAGTTTTAAAGAACAAAAAAAATTTTTTTAGTTGTTGTCCTTGGACAGAACAAATTAAATATGTGCAACGTGGGGGACATTGGAACTCTGTTTTTTTATTTATTTAGTTTTAAAACACAGTTTGCTCCATGCATTTAATGAAGATTTACTGTGGATTCATTTATTTTTGTGGGTACCAATTTTCGTGGATTAGCGAAAACACACATGTTCGTGGATATTTAATTTCGTGGTTTTGATGGTCTACATACAAGCCTAAAGAAAATTTGTCATTCGTTGAACATTTAATTTCGTGGTTCACCTGTAACCACGAAATCCAGGAAAATTGGTATCCAACGAAAATTAATGAATCCACAGTATACTATTTTTGAACTGATGAGAATTACAACGTATGCTTTTTATTCAACAAATGTGCATTAAAACACAGAAACATCCTGTAAAGCATTTTAAAAACTGCTCTTGAAACTTGGTGCCATAAATGCTGGCACACAGTTGAGTAGAAATTTACAGTGGTTAAATTGTGGCTTTGAATCATTTCAACCCCCAAATAAACAGTTTTTTTAAATATAGTTTAATGAAAATATTATGGCATTTTTACTCAAGTGATTACCATTCATTCAAACATTCAGAATTACAGTAATTATGGAGATCAATTATTGTACAACTGAAAGTATACAATTTAAAAGTAGGGAATGCTAGTGGGACATTATATGGCCAAAAAAAAGTAGGTAAAGCTAAGAGGTAGGACTATTGTGTTTATAGACCTTTCTCTATTGATTATGGAAATTTCTAATTTTCTTATTGGACTTTTGTGTACAAACTTAAACTTAGAAAGAACTGAATAATTGAAGATTTAATTTTACATTTGTCATTTCAGTCATACAATATTTAATCACATTGGTCGGCTGGGTCATTTTATGGCAGCTTGTGCAACGTATGGATCCATGTTGAAATTTTTTGCTGTTAATCACAAAGAGGTAAGAAAGTAGAGTTGTTTTATTTGTATGTGAAAGAGAATGGGATTTTATTAGTTCTTCTTTTTTAGCAAAAATTATGTGTCAAAAAAACCAAAAGAAATATGATGCTGTAAATTCCGAAACTATTGCATGCATTTGTTATTGCAATTTTTAAAGAATGGGAAAAAAAATGTGAGATTAATTATTGCAATTTAAGAAAAGCTGCATACAGATATATGTATCAAACATAAGATTAAGAATAAGAGTTCTGATTTTTGGCATACTCACCCAGTCACATTAATGTAAACCTGGCAATGATCTCTTAATATACAGCATGTATTTCTTTGTAAATAAACTTTTGTTTTTAAAGTTGGAAGAGTTAAGGTAGAAATAATGTCATTTTTTTGTTATGCCCCTGCCGTAGCAGAGGGGGCATTAAGTTTTACCCTTGTCCGTCGGTTTCCGTTCTCAAACTTAAGTTTGCCTCAACCAAATGTTATGAAACTTATACACAATGCTTATTACCACAAAACTCAGATCAAGTTTGAATTTGTCTTTTTCATAATCAGCCAATAAGACCTTAAAAGTCATATAGCATGTAACATTGTGTTGTCTAAATATGTTTGTTAGAATTACTAATGTTTACATGTTAACATTACCAAATTATATTTCCAGACTGCAGAGTATCTTATAGCATCCTACAAGTACGGCTCCTTTAACAAGGTATGTACTTTATAGCCTTCTGTATGTCAGATGTTGGACATTATGTCCGAAAAATTGGAATGATTCATATGACCTACAAAAATTCTGTCTGATTGAAATAGTTGAGAAAAAATTCGCTGTAAAATCAACAGATTTGATCAAATCAGTTCCAATTACTCTCATATTTAGTGCATGCTCAGCAGAAATAAACACAAAATTTTTTGAGAATTTTGTAATAGAATAAGCACAAACTTTAAATTTATCTGTATATTCCTTTGTTTTGTAGATAAATGAGTTTGTAAAATTCCGTAACCGATTACAGAACTCCATACAATATATAAGTGCTCAAGTAGAAAGTATGTTACTGGACATGGGGATGGAAACGGCAAAGTAAGTATTTCAAACCTGTAGGTAGTCAAAACAAATATACAAAGAAAGAAAAAACAATAATAGTAAGAAAAAATATCACAATCCACCAACATGGAAATTGTGTTTACTAATATCAAATGTATATAGTATGTAGCTTATATCGAAATGTCTTATATCGGTCGTAACAAAGATCTATAGTAATTCACAAATATCTTTGTAAATAAAACACCAATGTCTCCTTGCAAACATTGTGAGTCATAAGGAACAGAAAGAAACTACTGTTAATAATTTAACGTGTTGTTTCATTTTTTAATTCAGAAATTATTGAGTGCATTTATTACTGTGAATATTGAAGAATGGACAAAAATGGGAGATTAATTATTGCATTTTCAGAAAAATCTGCATACATATATATGTATCAGATGACAGAATAAGAGTTCTTATTACTGTGTTACTCACCCAGTCGCATTATTCTCAATAATTATAATTTCTGAATTTACAGTATACAAATATTAGCCAAAAATCATGATAATAAAGCATCTGCACAAATTTACCATGTCTATACATGACATGTTAAAGTTTACTTAAGATGCAAAAGAAATACTTCACTGGATCGTTAACTGTGGAACTTTTATGTAGTTTCATGGATTTTTGTCGGTGGAACAGTAATTTAAAAGCCGGTATAGTTAAGCTGGTAAATACTTGTACATATAGTATGACACGTCATTTAGATGTAGGATGAACTTAGAGCTTTTGAATTGTAATAATTCTTTCATTCTGTAATTTAGTGATTTATAGAAAAAAAAACCCTAATATCCATGTACTGCTTAAAGTAGCTAATATTTAACTAGTTACTTTAAAAGCTCGCAAAAAAATTATTCACTACTTTTATTGACGCTATGAGATTTATTATTTTAAAAAATTGCCTCTGTTAGTTTTCTTAAGGATGTACTTTAATAGGTCAGATTTAGGAATTTTTGTAAGATGTTTGGACTCCTTGGTTTTTTCCTATGATACAGGGTAAAATATTCTGCCCCACAACACTCATTTTGCTTTTCATATAAGACTTTTAATAGCTCATAAAAGGTCCTTTACTAAAATTTAAGCAGATTCTAGATTTCTTTTTTGATTTGAGACCCAAATAATATCAAGGCAAATATAAGGAAAAAGTCCCAGTCAGCCTTTTCCCGTCATTTGAAAAGAATTAAATATCTCGAAAAGGAGCTCCATAGCCTATCAATATTTTTAGCTTATTTTGTTCCTTAACTAATGCTCTTCTAACTTAAAGTATCAATTTTAAATTCTAGATTTTTTGAATTTCACCTAAGTACATCTTTAAAGTAAAGTAGGATTAATAATTATATCAAATAAATATGAATTTAAGAAACAGACATATTTATCAATCTAAGCTATCATTGGGGTATTTGTAGTGTAAATAAAAGATATGAAATCAATTATAAACATATTAAATGAAAGATGTAACGTTCCAAAGTCACTATTTTATATACACATGTATGTACAGAGTTGATATATATTTTGGCCTATTGCATTTGGATTATCAAATCAGACTTAAATATTATTTGTTGAAACTTATTTTCTGCATCTTCAAAATAGTCTTGTTACATTTTCTTTGATGTAAAATTATCATAATTCTTGATATGAATAAACCAATTCATTCCAGACACCAGAAAACAGAATTGATGGTGTCATACATGGCACTAGCTCCTGACAAAGGTAGGCAACTTATTTTAAAATGTATCAACTTAACATTTTTTTTGGTCACCCGATTGGATTATCACTGGTTCTTCAGACAAGAGGGAGTTTCATTGGCTACAATCTCATTGAAAGGATAAATATAGCCTAGAGACATTCTCCTGTTCGTAAAACCAAATATAATCTGTTTATTGTGTTTTCAAGGCATCAACATTGACGTCATCATATTCTCTTTCTACCCCTTTGAGAAAAAGTGTGATATGGAAAATTTTACAGAATGATCAATGGAAAATTTGAGAAATAAGTGATACTTGTTTTTGTCACAATGTAGTTAAAAGAAATTATTAGATGTTGTTCTAAAAATATGATTTGAATTTGTCAGTATTTACATTAATAGATTTATGGCTGCAGACCAACAGCAGCAAATATTACATGCATTTATAGAACAAGTTAAAAATTACAGGTAACCTATTTAATAAGGTTCTTGTTTCTTAAGTTAACAATGAAATGAATATTTCCACTTTTTATACGACCGCAAAAAAATTTTGTGGTCGTATATTGGTATGACGTTGGCGTCGTCGTCGTCCGAAGACACATTGGTTTTCGCACTCTAACTTTAGTTTAAGTAAATGGATCTCTATGAAATTTTACCATAAGGTTCAATACCACAAAAGGAAGGTTGGGATTGATTTTGGGGGTTATGGTATCAACAGTTGAGGAATTAGGGGCCAAAAAGGGGCCAAAAATAAGCATTTTTGTAACTTCCAGACTTAACTTGTGTGTTAGTGTATGGATCTCTCTGACATTGTACCACAAGGTTCCATATCACACAGGGAATGCTGGGATTGATATTGGGGGTAATTGCCTCAAAATATTAGGAATTAGGGGCCAAAAAAGGGGCAAAAAACAAGCATTTTTCTAGTTTCATGACAATAACTTGTGTGTAAGTGTATGGATCTTTCTGAAATTGTACTACAAGGTTCCATATCACAAAGGGAAAGCTCGAATTGAGTTTGGGGGTAATTGCCCAAAACGTTTAGGAATAAGGGGCCAAAAATAAGCATTTTTCTAGTTTCCAGACAATAACTTGTGTTCAAGTGTATGGATCTCTCTGAAATTGTACTGCAAGGTACCATACCACAAAGGGAAGGCTGGGATAGAGTTTGGGGGTGATGAATCATAAGGGGGTTAAAAAAATTTGGGGGGGGGATTTTTTTTTTTTTTCCTTTTTTTTCTTTATTTCCTTTTTTTTTTCTTTTAAAATTTAAGCAAATAATAATGATATGGTAGGAGATACACACCAAACAGGATGTGTAAATTATTATATAATAAGTATTGTGCAATAGCAAGAAATTTTCAATTGCACAGTATTGCACAATAGCAAGAAATCTTCAATTGCACAGTATTGCGCAATAGCAAGAAATCTTCACATTGCACAGTATTGTGCAATAGCAAGAAATATCCAATAGCACAATATTGCGCAATAGCAAGAAATTGTCAATTGTACAGTATTGTGCAATAGCAAGAAATATTCAATTGCACAGTATTGTGCAAAAGAAGATACTTCGTATAAATTGCTTATTTCTTGACCAATTTCAATGGGGTTTTATTCTTGAATTCTTGGGGTTCTGTAATATGCTGATTCTAACCGTGTATTAAGTTTTTGGATTTTGGGCCCCGTTTTTAAATTGGTCCACATTGAGGTCCAAAGGGTCCAAAATTAAACTTTGTTTGATTTCATCAAAAATTGAATTATTGGGGTTCTTTGATATGCCGAATCTAACCGTGTATTTAGATTCTTAATTTTTGGTTCCGTTTTCAAATTGGTCTACATTAAGGTCCAAAGGGTCCAAAATTAAACTTAGTTTGATTTTAACAAACATTGAATTCTTAGGGTTCTTTGATATGCTGAATCTAAACAGGTATTTAGATTTTTGATTATGGGCCCAGTTTTCAAGTTGGTCCAAATCGAGGTCCAAAATTAAACTTTGTTTGATTTCAACAAAAATTGAATATATGGGGTTCTTTGATATGCTGAATCTAACCATGTGTTTAGATTTTTGATTTTTGGGCCCCATTATCAACTTTGTACACATTGAGGTCAAAAGGGTCCAAAATTAAACTTTGTTTGATTTCATCAAAAATTGAATTCTTGGGGTTCTTTGATATGCTGAATCTAACCATGTATTTAGATTTTGGATATTTTTAAAAGTTTAAGTTCTTAGACCACATTCATTCTGTGTCAGAAACCTATGCTGTGTCAAATATTTAATCACAATCCAAATTCAGAGCTGTATCAAGCTTGAATGTTGTGTCCATACTTGCCCCAACTGTTCAGGGTTCGACCTCTGCGGTCGTATCAAGCTGCGCCCTGCGAAGCATTTTATTACTTACTGTTCAACAAAGACCAAATAGTCCAGGAAATATCAGAAAAACCCTGCACAATGTGGTAAAAGCATGAAACTTGGTATATAAGCTCCTAATACCATTCTAAGCAAAATAAGATATGGAGCCAACCTTGAAAAAATCAACTTCCGGTTTTTTCCAAGATGGCGGACAAAATTGCAAAAATTCTAAGCTAAATATCAAAGAAACTGTTCACAAGGTGGTAAAACAATGAAACTTTATATATTATCTCTTTAGACCCTTCTTAACAAATAAAGATATGAAATCAATATGAAAAACTATCAACTTCCGGTTTTTTCCAAAATGGCGGCTGAAATAACAACAAAAAATAAAACAAGTCAATAGGACGTTGCAATATTTACAAAATAAATATATCAGATGAGTACAATTGAAAGTAATATATATACAGTAGCTGTTATATGCAATAACACGTTCATTCATCTTGTTTGTGTCGGTAAACCCTATACTCTGCAGTCCATCAGGCACAATCTCCACCACACTTGCCTAAAGCTGTATTCGGAAGGGCGGATTTGAAACCCTTGCATTGTCCTCGACAACCTTTCTTGCATCCACAGTGAACAAGTACCTGTAGTGAAGAGGTTGCCTCTGTCAATATTGTCCAGAACGGGTTCTTACATGCCGTTTTCTTGCTTCTTCCAACCATACAAGTCTGGGGATGGAAGAACAGGCTGTAAAAGCAAACACTGTATCCAAATCAATCCAGCTTGGTACACAGAACGTTTGGCATGTTGGTAAAGTGCCTCTCGTTTTGGTGGTACAGACTTGATTGATCTACCTGTATGTGCAAAGAGTACTTTTCTAGCTTCATTTACACTGTTGGATTCACTTGTCCGATGGTACAAAAGAACAACATATCGCTCCAGCAATGGTAGAATTGAATCACGGCATATTGTACTTGGTTGGTCTGTCATCTGTCTAAAAGCAGCTGATATCTCGGGGAAAGTATTCCATGTATCCCATGCTGTTTTCTTTCCTCGTCCTGGAAATGAAGATACAGTGTCACAACCTGTAAAGGCGTGGATTATTGGTAAAAGCATGGATTCAAGAGGACCCAAAGATTGTGCAATATCATGAATAGGAATGTAACGGAAATGTTTCCCGGTTGCAAATGCTATTCATATCTCATCAACTTCTGTGTCCATAAATACAGATATAGTGATCACAATTACGTCTGTATCCAGTTTTAATGTTGATCTTTTTAAAACCATCCCGGACTGCATCTGCAACGTGAATCATAACTATCGTAACTGCTTCTTCGTGTTTGCACGCTTGCAGTTTTGACTTGTCTATGTGTGCCTGATTTGAAATCCCATTCTCTCCAACTGTACAGATAACGTTCTTTTCAGTATTTGCTACTTCTGCCAACTTTTCCGATAGAAACTGAAACAGCTCCCTTTTATTCTCATCAACCCGTAGAAAGTCATGCCAATTCTAATGGATATTTGTTTGAGCTTGAACTCGCCTTCGAATTCCCTTCCCTCTATTTTCTCTGGATGCACTTTTGAGGTTGTTTTCTACATACTAGTATGTGTTTCATACTACATCAACGCGTCCAACATCGCTATTTCGGTTTACTATGTAGGGAACAAACACTTTTACCGCATTAAAGAAATAGCATTGGTTCAACCTGACGCTTCCAGTCTATCGCCAATAGTTTTTTTAAAATGGCCATCTCGATATGAAGACCTCCAAACAAAATGAAGAGTTTATCTTCGCCGTAACCAGAAGAATCCACCATCATGAGTCAAAATGGGACCATACGTCAGTGTGATAAGTCAGATCTATCAAGAAAATGTCTTGAACCGTTAATATCTAAAACAATAGTTAACCCTCAAGTGAATGCAACAATAATTCACGGTGCAGCAGTAGTCAATATGCTCAAGCCTGGTGCAGCATATCATTTCATGATTATGCGTTAAAAGTGTTCTTCACTACATAGTAAACCGAAAAAGCGATGTTGGACGCGTTGATGTAGTATGTAGAAAACAGCCTGAAAAGTGCAATCAGAGAAAAAAAGAGGGAAGGGAATTCGAAGGCGAGTTCAAGCTCAAACAAATATCCCTTAGAACTGGCATGGCTTTCTACGGGTTGATGAGAATAAAAGGGAGCTGTTTCAGTTTCTATCGAAAAAGGTTGGCAGAAGCAGCAAATACTGAAAAGAAAGTTATCTGTTCAGTTAGAGAGAATTTGATTTCAAACCAGGCACACATAGACAAGTGAAAACTGCAACCGTGTAAACACGACAAAACTGTTACGAGAGTTATACTTCACGTTGCAGATGCATTTAGGGATGGTTTTAAAAAGATCAGCATTAAAACTGTGGATACAGACGTAATTGTGAAAGCTATATCTGTATTTAAGGACACAGAAGCTGATGAGATTTGAATAGCAGTTGCAACCGGGAAACACTTCCGTTTCAATCCTATTCATGATATTGCACAATCTTCGGGTTCTCTTAAATATAGGCTTTAGCCAATACTCCACGCCTTTACAGGTTGCGACATTGTATCTTCATTTGAAAGACGAAGAAAGAAACAGCATGGGATACATGGAATACTTTCCCCGAGGTATCAGCTGCTTTTAGACAGATGGCAGACCAACCAAGGACAATATGCCGTGATTCAATTCTACCATTGCTGGAGCGATATGTTGTTCTTTTGTACCATCGGATAAGTGAATGAAACAGTGTAAATGAAGCTAGAAAAGTGCTCTTTGTACATAAAGGTAGATCAATCGAGTCTGTACCACCAAAACGAGAGGCACTTTTCCAACATGCCAAACGTTCTGTGTACCGAGCTGGATTGATTTGGATACAGTGTTTGCTTTTACAGTCTGTTCTTCCATCCCCAGACTTGTTTGGTTGGAAAAAGAAAGACAACGGCATGTAAGAACCCGTTCTGGACAATATTGGCAGAGGCAACCCCTTCACTCCAGGAGCTTGTTCACTGTGGATGCAAGAAAGGTTGTTGAGGACAATGCAAGGGTTTCAAATCCGCCCTTCCGAATACAGCTTTAGGCCAGTGTGGTGGAGATTGTGCCTGATGGACTGCAGCGAGTATAGAGTTTACCGACACAAACAAGATGAATGAACGTATTATTGCATATAACAGCTACTGTATATATTGCAACTTCCTTTTGACTTGTTTTAACATTTTTGTTATTATAGCCGCCATCTTGGAAAAAAAAAAACGGAAGTTGATAGTTTTTCATATTGGTTTTATATCTTTATTTGTTTAGAAGGGTCTAAAGAGATAATATACAAAGTTTCATTGTTTTACCACCTTGTGTACGGTTTCTTTGATATTTAGTTTAGAATTTTTGCAATTTTGTCCGCCATCTTGGAAAAAACTGGAAGTTGATTTTTTTCAGGTTGTCTCCATATCTTATTTTGCTTAGAATGGTGCTAGGAGCTTATATACCAAGTTTGATGCTTTTACCACATTTTGCAGAATTCTGATGAAAAATTTGACTTAGCTGCTTGACTAAAAGGTCAAGTATGTGAACAGCTAATGGTCACTGTACAACCTTCAACAATGAGCTAATCCTATACTGTATAGTAAGCTATGAAAGTCACGGAATGACAAAATGTCACTGTATAACTTCAACATTGAACTAATTCTATACTGTATAGTAAGCTATGAAAGTCACACAATGACAAAATGTCAAACAATTCACTCTTCATTTATAATCTGCCTGTATTTGGTATGATCACAACATCAATTTATGTACCTTTCTAGAAAGGACACCATATGAAGATCTGTGTGACAACAGGGATTTATCTTTGATGAGAGCATGGGCGTGTCCAGTCAAGTAAGTATGCAAATCATATTTTGATTTATATAAGCACTATTATTAAAATGGTTGCCAGTTGGGAAGCAATAAAAAGTCGGAAGATTAAGGGAGCATCAAGACATGTACGGAGAGAGACCAATTAATCCAGGCAAAAAATGAAACTCAATGACAAGACAAACAACAGTCTACAAAACACAAAATAAAATCAATACTGGGTACAGCCCACCAAAAACCAGGAGTGAAGCTTAGGTCCGCCATAAGAGAAGGTAGATTGTGCTCCACATGTGGCACTTCACATAACCAAAGCACTTTACATTGGAAACCAACATCATAACAATAGATAACAGGCCATGACCATAATAGAATGTTATGTAAGTTGCTTGACACAATATGAATCCTTTTTGAACTTAATTGCTGCTCTCACTAAAACAAAATTTTCAGTATGGGTATGCTGAAAAGGTTATAATCAGTACATAATTGCCTAAATTTTGGAACCAAGCTACTTAAGATGTAATTTTTCAGGTGTAACATCAAAGAAGCTGAAGAGTATTCATTTAAAGAAGAGGTAATTTTCTTTGCAGTTTCAGTATGATTTAAAAATAAGTGATGATTTTCTTGACAATTGTACTTCAACAAGGTAAAAAACTTTTTTCATATAACATGTTCATAGTTTTATGTAGCATGTTCATAATATTTTTTTATGTAGCACCTTGTTTTGAAAATGCTGCACATGTTAGGGGAGTTCTTTAATTTTTTTTATTTCTAGTTTCTGATTGCAATTTTCAATTTGGTACAAGTCCTTATATTTAACTGAAATATTTAAAGTTAGCTGAACGAAATCAGAAAACTGCATATTGAATATAAGGTTGCATGAATACCAATTCATATGTGATTGAATTATTGACTTGCAAGTCAATAATACATCAGCAATGATTTTTGTCTCGCCTTGACGGAGTCAGAAAGCGAGACATAGGTATGCTGTTTCCGGCGGCGGCGTCAACAACGTATTAGTTTGTGATTAGGTCTAGTTTATGGTGAACCACAAGTGATAGGTCAATGATATTTGGTATGCAGTTGTATTAGCATTGGCACATCTCATTTCCAGGGAGATTATTTGGCCCTGCCCCTCAGTCATGGTCTATTGACTTTGAAACTTTTGCTTAGTTTACATGTATTAGTTTGTGATTAGGTCAGTTTATGGGGAACCACTAGTAGTAGGTCAATGATATTTGGTATGCAGTTGTATAAGCATTGGCATATCTCATTTCCATGGAGATTATTTGGCTCCGCCCCCTTAGTCAAGGTCTATTGACTTTGAAAATTTGCTTAGTTTACATGTATTACTGTGGATTCATTATTATTCGTTGGATACCAATTTTCGTGGGTTTCGTGGGTACAGGTGAACCACAAATATAAATGTTCAACAAATTACACATTTCTATAAAGTTGTATCCAGACTTTGGAAGAACCACGAAATCACATATCTACGAAAATGCAAGGTTTCCGCAATCCACGAAAATTGGTACCCACGAAAATAAATGAATCCACAGTAGTTTGTGATTAGGTCAGTTCAAGGGGAACCATTATTGGTAGGCCAATGTTAATTGGTATTCAGTTGTATAAGCATTGGCACATCTCATTTCCATGGTTATTATTTGGCTCCACCCCCTCAGTCATGGTCTATTGACTTTGAAACTTTTGCTTAGTTTACATGTATTAGTTTGTGATTAGATCAGTTTAAGATGAACTGCTAATGTTAAGTCAATGATATTTGGTATGCAAATTTATTGGCATTTGTAAGTATCGTTTCCATGGAGATTATATAGCTCCACCCCCTCTTCATGGTTCATTGACTTTGAAACTTTTACATAGTTTACAAGTTTATGTTTGTGTTTAGGTTTGTTTAAAGGGAACAACTTATAATAAGTCAATGGTATTTGGTATGCAGTTGTATTAGCATTGGCAACATCTCATTTCCATGGAGATTGTTTAGCCATGTACCTTCAGTCATGGTTCATCGACTTTGAATATTTGCATAACTTACATGTTAAAGTATTGCTATTTTAATTTCAACATTTGCATTATCAAAATTATAAAAAGGTGAGACATATCTCTGTGATAACAGTTTATTAACTTATTTTGACAAAAATTGAACCAAACTTACTGTCATTTTTTATTGTCCTTATCATTCAATAAAACAATTATTTCCTTATATGATAAACCTGTTGAGTCATTTACTTTTGAAAAAATTATACTGATAATTTTGCGGTAGACATTTTACTGAGAAGTTTACTCTACATGAACATTTCACTGTTCATATAAATGCAACTGTACAAGGCCATGAAACAAACAATGAACACTGATAATTTACTGCCCCATCAAAGGCCTAAACCAGTAACAAAAGCCTACGTGAAAATAACCTGATATACGGTATAAACTTCTCCCTTTTCAAAAGTATATAAGGCTACACATTTACCTCATCAAAAGACAATAACTTTATAATGTGTTTTTCTCAATAGAAAAACTTGGCTTGAAAACTTGTTCTTGTCAGTCTAACATTTCTTCATTGTCCAAACAGAAAATTCTGACTTTAGAGCATCTGTTATATAGCAAAATATGTGCACTAAAAGAAATATTTATTTTGTTCTTTTACAGAAAGCCTGGATTCAAGTTCGGGATTTAAGTTTAAGAATTCTTGGTGCATGTGTAATTTTAGGACAGCATTCTGTTGGAAATATAAACAATAGAAATGGGGTTGACCATGAAAAGGTCAGACCCATGAATGAAGTGTTAGAAGATCTAATCAAACAATTTAAGGATCATTTAACGAATATTCAGGATTTTTCAAAACCATACAAGGTAAGTGTTGATAAATTCAATTTACGGTATTATTGCAAACAAAATGAAACATTGTTCATAATGAATTTTTTTTTTTTTTTTTTTTTGTTTGTGTTTGACAAATAAAAACTTGAAAAAGACGCAATAACACACTTGGCATTTTTAAGGGCAAGATATTCCATAAAAACATGCATGGGGCCCAAGGAAGGCACTTCCAAATCTCAACTGTGGGTGGGTGTCATCTATGTTTTTGCATAGTGGAAATGTAAAGGAAGTTTTAATTTGCCTATATAAGTTGTTATCCCATTTTTAAAGTGCCTTCCCTTGGTACCATGTATGTTTTAATGGAACAGCCCTAACTAGCCTCACAGTTTAATAACTCACTGTTTCATAATCTAAATATAGATCAAAATGATAACAGAAATCACCAATAATACTGGACAGTAAGCTATGGCACCAGAACTTGACTCTTCAAACAAATATAAACCTAAACATATAATACATGGTCCAGATCAGGGCTTCCAAAACGGTCATATATTCCGGACTTGACCGAAACTTTCATAAAAAGACCGGCTGCTCTCAGCCTCAAACGGTCAAATAGAATTGGTGTGCCTCATTTTGTTATTCAAGGCATTTTCATGAAACGGTCATTTCAATTTTTACCAACTATCGATCGATAAAAATGTCCGTTTGGGGCTTTGGGCATGTCCGTTTGGGCATTTTAGTTTATAATTGTGGCAATCTATTTCACAAAGATATTTCGGTCATAATTGGGTTTAATAAAACAGAAGCAGCATATTTCAGATACTTTGAAGTGTCTCAGTTAGTCTAATCCTCTGGGTACATAAATGTACGGCTTGGTCTTTAGCTTGTGTACATCAATAAAAAGTAGAAAAAACACGTTTTCTTTTATTTAAATAACAACAAGCTGTCAAACAATTATCCCTTCAATAAGTTATATTGAAGCCATAAATCATTCACTGATTACAGGTTTGTTACCTTTGATGAGGTGTCCTTAGCTTATCTTTATCAATAGAATTAATGATGCATAACAATGTACATACCGTAGAAAGGCTTGTATAGTCCGCGGTTTTATTCTCCAAAATTGGACCTTCCAGAAGGGGTGCGGACTATAGAGTACAATAAGCAAGAAATAAGAGAAAAATTTCAATTTCGCGGGCGAGGTGGTTTGTTTACGTTCTGCCATCTTTGTTATTTCTATTGTAGAGGGCGCTCTTATCATTTTTTAAACGAATAACTTTAACTCATCCATATTAATAAGTTATTTCTATTCAATATCAAATTAATACTGAAAAATATAAAAACTAAACCTTTCATTACAAATTTCATGTTTCTTTTCAATGCATTGGTTGAAATAAACTGGTATCTGCTTGATTGAAACGATACAAACATAGTGAAAAAGACAACCGTAAATCAGCTTAGAATTTGTAAACTACAAAACGTAATCGGTTATTGTTCGTTCCGTTTTGGTGTTTCATACTGACTAATATGGTTTGTACTAGCTTAAGACCCTTCAAACATTAATGTGATAGATATATTAAAGACTGTTTTACAAAAGGATGGAACTGTTTTACTTTCAAAGTCGTATTATAGTGATATCTGTTATGTACGGATTTCGACTCTCACCGGTTAATTTCTTCTTTTACACATGCTTTTTAAACTTCCTGTTTAAACATACACAAGTTTCTAAATTGTTTTTTAAGTGAATTAAACTTATTTTAACAATCATGAAGCGTTCTAGAATCATTTACAAGCAGTTTCAGCTTCTGTTTGATGATGGAAAACAGGTTCTTCCAAGAAAATTCTGCAAAAGGACCGCACAGGATTTGAAATTACCGGAGTTTCATTAGACCTTTTCTAACAGTTACAAAAAGTTTTTTTACCTAAAATTTCGTGGGGAGAAGGGGGTGCGGACTATGTACAACTGCGAACTATACAAGCCTTTCTACGGTAAAGGTAATCCGGTAAACGAGGTCAAACATGTAAGCGTGTATGGAACAACATCCTATTTAATTACGCTTTATAGATATTATTTTAAATGAGCATTCAGTTTTAAAAGTATCCTGATATTTAAAAGTTATTCTTCAAATAAGGATATTTATAAATGAATAAGTATGATATATATTATTTTATTTAACACTGTACATCGTGTTAAATACTGGGGTACTCTCAAGGGGAAAATTTACTAAAATATATAGGAAAAACCAATGGACAAATTTCAGTCAATAAATGATTTAACTAAGTTAAATGGTGCCGTGATCACTTCTAAATTATATCAAGAGAACAATGCCTGCTCCGAATTTATTCAGACAATTTCCGATGTTATAGAGAAAGAGGTGATGTCCGACGTAAAGTTAAGTCCCGCCGTGGGAATTATGATCGACTAAGGTGTAGTCTAGGTATTGACGCTTTAGATCAACTTATGAGGATAAGCTTAGTAGGTGTAGATGTTAAAGACTTTGACCCTGTTCCTGCTATCCGCAAATGGCAATCCATTCGTAACCGCCATGTTTATCAGAACAATGCATTAAGCAAGCTCATGAATGTAAAAATCTTTAATTAGATTAAATGAACTCTAATCTTGTGCTGTGATCTGTGCTTCTTTTCAATGTGCTCATTGTAATATTTATTGCGTGTGTTTGTCAGCATTGTGCTCTTCTGACATTTTATTGTTGTTATATGCTTACATAAAATATCATGTTGTTATTCATTAAATTATTTATCAACTGAGTATGTTTTTATTTATTCCTTATTTTCTAAATCAGGTTGGGAAATTGTACAAAGAAAAATGTGATCACTGTTCAGTAGATTTTACACGGTTTAAAACAATATCCTTCATCGGGCCTCCTCAATGTTATCTATAAATACCGCATCAGTTGTAAAAGTCACGTGGTCAGGTAATCAATACACAAAAAGAAAAGTATCACGTGTATTGATGATCAAGTTGTACTGCAATTAAAGCCAACATCAACAGTTTCAAATAAGATGGCCTTAATTTACAAAGTGTTAAGTACTCACAGAGAGAAGATAGATTATATAAACAGAAACAAAAACATGAGAACAGTCAGGTACTGAAGCTGATTGATGCAATGATGGTTACTGTATTACGATACACAGAAAAATGACACAATACCGAGGATAATATTTTATTTATTTTTAGAATGAAGAAAACAAAACAGTTATAAATAATTTTATTGCATATAACACTACTAATTATTTAGACACATATATCAATTTATGCATCCTCTCAGTTACATTTAAGTATCCAGCTGATCATTGACCGTCAAAAATATTTCTTTGAAAAATGTCCGGCTGTCGTCAGGAAATTTTGGAAGCCCTGGTCCAGATAGCCTGACCTGGTACAGGCACAAACTATGGTGGGGTTAAACCAGTTTGATGCATTCAGGGTAACATTTCCAATTTGTACACCCTAAGGTTAAAATTTGTCCACACGCCAATGGTGTAACAATATTTTCAAACTTGTGACATTAGGGAGTACGAGCAATGACTTGTGGGGCCTGGAGTCAGTATTAATGTGTCTGAATAGAATGATATATCTTCTTGTGGACTTTCACCTTATTGGGTAGCATGATAAAAATTTTACTTAGAGCTGTTCCTGAATTAAATGCATTTTGGGGGAGGCACTTTTTTTAGACCCCAACCACACACAATATAAGTTTCATTTTACTATTAAATTTTAAGGAAAACACAACTACCCATTATTTGTGAATTAGAGTTCCTCCCAATTCCCCAACATGTTCAATTTTTGAACAGCCCTTATCATATTAAGGTAATTCAAAGCATGCTATATTTTTCATTATTTAAAACATGTCATCCTTAATGTCTTTGATGCATATTTTATGTGCAGCCAACATTTAGTAACCTTCAATCAGTCTTACTATCCTGTAAACTGACTGACATATATTGTAAACTACATTGTATGCCTTAAACAAATGTGTTAAGTTTCTATCTTATTTCAGTATCCTACACAAGGACCTTATCCTACAAAATTATCCTGTTATTTAAGTGATAACCACAGTCAAATCTTCACACAGATGGTAGACACTGTTGTTTATGTGTACAAACTTCAGGAGGAAGGCTTTGGTAAGTAGGGGGAGATAATTCATTCTGTGTGGAAGAAAGAGGTTATGAATAAAGGGAAGTAATGCATAGTAAAAACCAAATTATTGTATATTGTAAATTGGAAATACTTTTCCAAGGGTGGCGTTTGATACATACAAAAATGTTTAAAACATTCATTGGGAACAGAAAGAAACTATACAAATATTAGCCAATAATCTAGCATCTGCACACCTTTACCTTGTCTATACATGACATTTTAAAGATAACAATAAAGATGCAACAGAAATACTTTACTGGATCGTTAACCGTGGAACTTTTATGTAGTTTCATGGATTTTTGTCGGTGGAACAATAATTTAAAGCCGGTATAGTTAAACTGGTAAATACTTGTACATATAGTATGACACATCAATTAGAAGTAGGAGGAACTTAAAGCTTTTGAACTGTAATAATTCTTTCACCAATAAAATTCTGTAATTTATTGATTAATAGAAAGAAAAACACTTTTATTCATGTACTGCATAAAGTTGCTAATATTTAACTAGTTACTTTAAAAGCTCACAAAAAATCATTCACTACTTTTCTAGACGCAATGAGATTTAGAGCTTGATATATTTATTTATTTATACATGTGTATTTATACATGTGTATTGTTGTAGACCATATTTTGACATGAAGATGTATTTTGACTTTGTTGGGTCACTGTATTATTGACATATACACCACAGCTCTGCTGATTCATAATTTGATAGATATGAAACATTTATTATATTATTGAGTGGAAGAAATAATTTCCTCATGCTATGTAATTAGATATTTCTATGATTTGTTTTTAGATAGCAAAGATGGTGAACAAGAAGAGAAACTGAAATCCTGTGTTCCTAACATATTAGAAGGTGATAGTTTATTTTCTTTATTCATGTTCACTTAATGGCCATCCGATTTTAGATTTATTTTTATGAAATTTAAATTGGAAGGATAACCGTGCCTTACAAAATAACTTATGTACTAAATTTCTTGGTATTCCTAAACGGAAGATTTTATACACACAGAAGAAGAAGTATACTTAACAACAAAATTATTTTCATTTACCTGTGTATAATATGACGCAGGTTTCTTCAAAAGTGATGATTTTCTAAAAATTGTTTGAAATTTCACAGTGATATCATACTTTAACTTTGTTTAAACCTGTTTATTTACTTTTGACTTTAATTATTTATCCCTTGTAATTTTTTATTAACTGTGTATTTGCATTCAGGTGTCACAGGTCAAATTTATTCATTCATTGTGTGTTAATTTACGTTTTTTGATTGAGTTGTTTCAGAAAAGGAAGAAGGTTTGGTACCATTAAAACGTTTATTCCCGCTGCAAATGTTTGCACCTGTCCTAAGTCAGGAATCTGATTACAGTAGTTGTCGTCTGTTTATGTAGTTCATACGTGTTTCTCGTTTCTCGTTTTTATATAGTTTAGAACGTGGTTTTTCCGTTTGAATGGTTTAAACTAGTAATTTTTTGGGGCCCTTTATAGCTTGCTGTTCAGTGTGAGCCAATGCTCCATGTTGAAGGCCGTACCTTGACCTATAATGGTTTACTTTTATAAATTTTGACTTGGATGGAGAGTTGTCTCATTGGCACTCATACCACATCTTCTTATATCTATATATATGCTGCCTGGTTGTAATTTTTTGTCTTAAGACAGTAGTTGTCTACCTCTAGCAATGACACACCACAAAGTATGTTTTTTACTCTGAAAATCAAATAAATTCAGTAAACGTAACTGCTGTTATAAATTATTCTACACAGTTGACTGTTTAAAATAATAATTTTAGAACATATGGATTGTTGTGGGTTTTGCTCACTGTTGAAGGCCGTACAGTAACCTATAGTTGTTAACTTCTACATTATTTGGTCTCTGGTGGAGAGTCGTTTCATTGGCAATCATGAAACATCTTATTTTTAAATCGCTATATATTAATGAAGGGGCCTCGGTGGCCGAGTGGTCTAAGTAGTTACTACTGTAATCACTAGCCAGTCAACACTGAGGTTGTGAGTTCGAACCCCGCTCGTGCAGGTGCACTCGACTCCAATCTTAATTGACTAGGATTGTCAGTTTTCCTATCGAAGGTCGGTGGTTTTTTCCGGGCACTCCGGCTTCCTCCACCAATAAAAACTGGCCGCCACGAAATAGCCCAAAAGCGGTGCTTAAAAGTGGCGTTAAAACACCAAAAATCAATCAATCATATTAATGAAAAAAGTATTGATTGAATTTATATCGATTTCTGAGTGAAAATTATGCTCTGCAACAACTTTTCTAAAGTGTGTCTCAGTGTTGATTGTCTTTACAGATAGGTTATTATTTAAATCTGGCAAAAAGGATGAAATGGACCTAGACTCTTTTTGAACAGCAAGAAGTTTTTAGAAATTTTGAGTAACATGAAAGAAAAGAATGAAATTTAGTATCAGTTCCATGTAGATTAATTTTTTTATGTATGTATTTTCAGGCTTATTATCCAAACATAGATGTAGTTTAGTCCAGTCAGATAACGACAAAAAATGTGTAAATCCCAAAGTTTTAGAAAATCTTGTATTCTTAGCAGAGGTATGTAACGTCACAGTACCCAAATTGCACCTATTTAGCAAAAATAGGAGTGGAAATCTTAGGATTTTTTTTAGAAACTAAACAATTTGTATTTTTATACGCCCGTTTACGGGACATATTATGGTATACCTCTGTCCGTCCGTCCGTCTGTCCGTCCGTCGTCAACATGTCGGACATTAACTCATAAACGCTTTAACCAATTTGCATAAAACTTTGGTGAATTGTTTATATCTATTGACGTGAGCTCCCTTTCGTTTTTTATAAATTTTGAATTTTACGTTTCTGAGTTATGGGGTTTTATTCATTAAAAAAAGGGGGATTTTCAAGTTTTCGGACAATAACTCAAGAATGCCTTCACCAACTTGCAAGAAATTGTGGTGAATTGTTTATATCTATTGACATGAGCTCCCTTTTGATTTTTATAAATTTTAGATTTTACGTTTCCAAGTTACAGGGTTTTATTCATAAAAAAGGGGGATTTTCCAGTTTTCTGACAAAAACTCAAAAATGCTTTCAGCAGTTCTTATGAAACTATGGTGAATTGTTTATATCTATTTAAGTAAGCTCCCTTTAGAATTTTATAAATTTTACATTTTACATTTCTGAGTTATGGGGTTTTATTCATTAAAAAAGGGGGGATTTTCCAGTTTTCGGACAATAACTCAAAAATGCTGTCAGCAATTCTCATGAAACTTTGGTGAATTGATTATATCTATTGATGTAAGCTCCCTTTTGATTTTCATAAATTTCTAATATGACATTGAGAATTAATTGAACTTTATTTGTTTATAGTCTGACAACAGATTTACTAAGTATTGCGCAACAGCACAGTGTATTGCACAACAGCAAGAAATCTTTAATTGAATATAAATTCAATTCATATAAACAATTTCAAGTTCTTTGACTACATTTATTCAGAAACCTGTAATATGTCAAATATTTAATTACAATCCAAATTCAGACCTGTATCAAGCTTGAATATTGTGTCCATTTTTGCCCCAACTGTTCAGGGTTGGACCTCTGCGGGCGTATCCAGCTGCGCTCAGCGAAGCAGTTTATTATTACTTGACATTATGCATGTCTTTCAACATAGCTAAATATATTCAAATATTCACAAAACGTTCACAGTATATATAAACATGAAGTGTTTACCGGAAAAAGTAAAATCTACGAAAACGTCGCCATGCTACGTCCACAAAAAGTCAGTTTTTATACGACCGCAAAAAAATTTTTGTGGTCGTATATTGGTATGACGTTGGCGTCGTCGTCGTCGTCGTCCAAAGACACATTGGTTTTCGCACTCTAACTTTAGTTTAAGTGAATGGATCTCTATGAAATTTTACCACAAGGTTCAATACCACAAAAGGAAGGTTGGGATTGATTTTGGGGGTTATGGTACCAACAGTAAAGGAATTAGGGGCCAAAAAGGGGCCAAAAATAAGCATTTTTGTAACTTCCAGACATAACTTGTGTGTAAGTGTATGGATTTCTCTGACATTGTACCACAAGGTTCCATATCACAAAGGGAATGCTGGGATTGATTTTAGGGGTAATTGCCTCAAATTTTAGGAATTGGGGGCAAAAAACAAGCATTTTTCTAGTTTCAGGACAATAACTTGTGTGTAAGTGTATGGATCTCTCTGACATTGTACCACAAGGTTCCATATCACAAAAGGAATGCTGGGATTGATTTTGGGGGTAATTGCCTCAAAATTTTAGGAATTAGGGGCCAAAAAAGGGGCAAAAAACAAGCATTTTTCTAGTTTCATAACAATAACTTGTGTGTAAGTGTATGGATCTCTCTGACATTGTACCACAAGGTTCCATATCACAAAAGGAATGCTGGGATTGATTTTGGGGGTAATTGCCTCAAAATTTTAGGAATTAGGGGCCAAAAAAGGGGCAAAAAACAAGCATTTTTCTAGTTTCATAACAATAACTTGTGTGTAAGTGTATGGATCTTTCTGAAATTGTACTGCAAGGTTCCATATCACAAAGGGAAAGCTGGAATTGAGTTTGGGGGTAATTGCCGAAACGTTTAGGAATTGGGGGCCAAAAAGGGGCCAAAAATAAGCATTTTTTTAGTTTACAGACAATAACTTGTGTTCAAGTGTATGGATCTCTATGAAATTGTACTGCAAGGTACCATACCACAAAGGGAAGGCTTGGATTGATGATGGGGGTAATTGCCTCAATATTTTAGGAATTAGGGGCCAAAAAGGGGCAAAAAACAAGCATTTTTCTAGTTTCAGGACAATAACTTGTGTGTAAGTGTATGGATCTTTCTGAAATTGTACTACAAGGTTCCATATCACAAAGGGAAAGCTGGGTTTGAATTTTGGGGTAATTGCCCTAAATGTTTAGGAATTTGGGGCCAAAAAGGGGCCAAAAAACACATTTTTCTAGTTTTCAGACAATAACTTGTGTTCAAGTGTATGGATCTCTCTGCTGCAAGGTACCATACCACAAAGTGAAGGCTTGGATTGAGTTTGGGGGTGATGAATCATAAGGGGGTTCAAAAAATTTTTGGGGGGGGGGATTTTTTTTTTTTCCTTTTTTTTTTTCTTTTAAAATTTTCCATTTTAAGTTGGTTATTTCTGTTTTATATTTAAAAGCAAATAATAATGATATGGTAGGAGATACACACCAAACAGGATGTGTAAATTATTATATAATAAGTATTGTGCAATAGCAAGAAATTTTCAATTGCACAGTATTGCACAATAGCAAGAAATCTTCAATTGCACAGTATTGCGCAATACCAAGAAATCTTCAATTGCACAGTATTGCGCAATAGCAAGAAATATCCAATAGCACAATATTGCGCAATAACAAGAAATTGTCAATTGTACAGTATTGCGCAATAGCAAGAAATATTTAATTGCACAGTATTGTGCAAAAGAAGATACTTCATATAAATTGCTTATTTCTTGACCAATTTCAATGGGGTTTTATTCTTGAATTCTTGGGGTTCTTTAATATGCTGAATCTAACCGTGTATTTAGTTTTTGGATTTTGGGCCCCGTTTTTAAATTGGTCCACATTGAGGTCCAAAGGGTCCAAAATTAAACTTTGTTTGATTTCATCAAAAATTGAATTTTTGTGGTTCTTTGATATGCCAAATCTAACCGTGTATTTAGATTCTTAATTTTTGGTTCCGTTTTCAAATTGGTCTACATTAAGGTCCAAAGGGTCCAAAATTAAACTTAGTTTGATTTTAACAAAAATTGAATTCTTAGGGTTCTTTGATATGCTGAATCTAAACATGTATTTAGATTTTTGATTATGGGCCCAGTTTTCAAGTTGGTCCAAATGGGGGTCCAAAATTAAACTTTGTTTGATTTCAACAAAAATTGAATATATGGGGTTCTTTGATATGCTGAATCTAACCATGTATTTAGATTTTTGATTTTTGGGCCCCGTTATCATTTTTGTCCACATTGAGGTCAAAAGGGTCCAAAATTAAACTTTCATCAAAAATTGAATTTTTGGGGTTCTTTGATATGCCGAATCTAACCGTGTATTTAGATTCTTAATTTTTGGTTCCGTTTTCAAATTGGTCTACATTAAGGTCCAAAGGGTCCAAAATTAAACTTAGTTTGATTTTAACAAAAATTGAATTCTTAGGGTTCTTTGATATGTTGAATCTAAACATGTATTTAGATTTTTGATTATGGGCCCAGTTTTCAAGTTGGTCCAAATGGGGGTCCAAAATTAAACTTTGTTTGATTTCAACAAAAATTGAATATATGGGGTTCTTTGATATGCTGAATCTAACCATGTATTTAGATTTTTGGGCCCCGTTATCAACTTTGTCCACATTGAGGTCAAAAGGGTCCAAAATTAAACTTTGTTTGATTTCATCAAAAATTGAATTCTTGGGGTTCTTTGATATGCTGAATCTAACCATGTATTTAGATTTTGGATATTGGACCATAATAGGTGAATGTCCAATTTAAAATTTTTAAGTTCTTAGACCACATTCTTTCTGTGTCAGAAACCTATGCTGTGTCAAATATGTAATCACAATCCAAATGCAAAGCTGTATCAAGCTTGAATGTTGTGTCCATACTTGCCCCAACTGTTCAGGGTTTCAACCTCTGCGGTCGTATCAAGCTGCGCCCTGCGGAGCATTTTATTAAAAATATGCAATTAAAACAGTTGCAGGTATCCATTTCTTTAACAAAAAAATAACAGTAAGCATGGCCTTTTGTCAAATTGTTTGGAGAAATAAAACAAAACATCAGTTATTCGATTTTTACGGATGTGAATTTAAGCATGGATGCAATTTGAGTACTCCATATTACAGAATCATGGATCGTTTGGAGGTCGGTTCAACCCCATTTTTCTATGACAATATTGATTTAAAATTAAATTGGTGGAACCATATAGTAATTAAGGACACATCTACTAAATAAACACAGAATAGAAACTTTTGTCCGGGTCATAAATAAACGTAGGTGAAAAAACTGTCAAAATAGGTGCAATTTGGGTACCCTCACGTTAGTAATATAGTCCAACATATTTAAAACAAAATGAACCTGGGTTGGATATGGATGTGAGACAGAATCTTATTAGTTACTAGAAAATAAAAAGAGACAGAGATACCAAGTGGACAATAAAAAATCATGCCTATCACCTTGTTGAACATTATAAGCTCATCATAGATACTAGGATTCAAATTTTGTATGCCAGATGTGCGTTTCGTCTACAAAAGACTCATCAGTGACCCTCCAATCAAAATAAAAAGGCCAAATAAAAATACATACTTGAAAGACCGTACATTTTAACCTAAGTACATGTGCCTAACAATTATTTTTACCAAAAATCACATGATTTTGTAATACTTCAAATTTAATTGTAACCTGCTATGCTTCAAATTTTAATTTGGCATCATTACGACAATTTTGAGTGAATTATTTCTTATAATTGTTAAGGCCATCTGTCTTAACTTATCACCATCATTTAATTTTAATAGATGTGCCCTACCCCATGCAGTAATACTGGAACAGCCCTTATAATATAAGTATGTTTGTTATTTCAGACGTTATCACATGTAGTGATATTAACTGGTGTTTGCCATAGAATATTAAAACCATTGAAGTCTTCATTCAATAAGAAGAGTAAGAAGAAGAAAGATGCTGCACCAGTAGCTATGGTAAATATTTAAGTTATTATTTAATTACATAGATGATTCATAAGGATTCCATCATTTTGATTGGTAGACAACAACCACCTGGTGTTTTAAAGTGATGTTTTATATCCCAATAAAACACAACATCCTTGACTGCATGTTTTCTGCATGACAATATTACAGTAACTTGTAGGAATGTACAAAACAAAAAACAAAAAGTTTGTTTTAGGTTTTAAACGTATGATTTAATTATAGATCAGAAATGCTTTTTTTGTAGTTTTACAGTGGCCAATGCTTGCATGACCAAATTATTCTACAAAAAGAGCATTTAATTCACTCAGAAGGGAAATGGGTTTTGTGCATTTGTGTCCGTTTTTCATCACAATAATTAATGCACATAAAAATTTCTGACTTTACCATAATAGAAATGTACTGTCTTCTTTCCTATTTCAGCCAAGTATATTTGAGAACTATAATCACCATCTTACTTCTTTGGAGACAGTAGCAAAAGATCTTCATCAAGCTGTCCTAGATATTGACCCTGTATTTTTATCCATTGATCTCTCAAACCTAAGTTTAACAGAACCACTTACTGTTGATGAGGTAAGTCATGTGACAAACTTTAAGGTCATCCTGTCTAATGGAAAAGTAGGGGTGCCTACAATGATCCCTTGTACGGTCATGTTTGCTTGGAAGAAGAAGTAGGGGTGCCTACAATAATTCCTTGTATGGTCATGTTTGCTTGAAAGAAGTAGGGAAGCTTATAGTAATAATCTTATACAATGTAGTTAAATTTGTTTTGCTTTGTCCTCGGGAAAGCGAATGTGGAGGTGCATATAAGATTCGTCCCTTAGTTATCAGGGGTTGCTATATCTTTTGATACAAAGTAGGAATGTAGATAGGAAATTTTGGTTATTCATACCCCTTATTATTAACAATTTGAAATGTGGAGATGAAGTATAATTGTGAATGAGAGAACTATTCAACAGAGTCTAAATGAAGTAGATTTAAACAACTATAGGTAAACATTCGGCCTTCTACAATGATGGCAAACTGGTAAAATGGAATATCAGCAGACATATGCTTTAATGAACATCACTGGGGCAATGAAATATTAGTAAAGTGCTGTGAAATAAAATTTGGTTTCAGATAGGATTAAGATATTAGTGATTAAGACATGAGCTGCGTAGGATAGAAATCAACCTTATACAAAAAATATCAATACATCTGTTGTCCTATTTTGAGTTGAACAAATCTCTATGAAAAGTCTGTAACTGTTTGAAAATCGAGTTGTTATAAGAACCCTACAAAACAGTCCAAAATCATCGTTCATTTCTTATTTAAATATTCCAAAATCAACCAAAGTCTTATACATGTAATTTTATATGTGCACTTGCACAAGGTTGATTTCTATCTGACGCAGGCCACATGTAAGACTTTGACCAATTTGTTTCTGTATTATTTTGCAGGAAGATGCTGCTATAGAAAAAGATATGTGGAAGAAAGTAGAGAAAAGTTACCAAGTATCAGCATGGGAAGTGACTGAATTTCTACACAACAAAATGCAGTATTTAAATGACCTCAAATTGTGATATATTTTAATTTGTATTCTGTGTATACTTGTACTTATTATTTATATGGCTGCTGAAAGCAATAGGTTTATTTTAAAAAAAAGATATGCATGCAAAAGAACAAATTGATCATTATTTAAAAAAAACAGGACAATATGTCGTAGAGTTTGAAAAATAATAGGTAACAGTTAGCACAGATGTAATGCTTGCATGTGAGTGAATGACAGTAAACACTATCTTCCCAGTCATGTCCATTCTGGAAATGGTCCTACTTTACTTGTTCCTGTATCAGGTCAGTTGCAAGAGAAACAATTGAGTTCTTGTACATGCTTCATAATTTGACCTTGAATGAAAATTAGTTGTTCTGTTGCTTAAATCGTTAGTGTCTTATTTTAATTTTGATCTACTTCAATTTAGATATATACTTAACTATGTCTGCTCTCATTGACCAAATAACATTTAACACTAGTGACCTTTGAACCATTTCCAGAATTGATATGAAAGAATGTGTTTTGTACAACAACAGAAATTACTTAAGTTGAATACAATTTTTATTTGGAATTGTGTTTTCAGGGTATGAATATATGTATTGTAAATTGAATGTTAAATTTAGACTTAATTTTCTCTTATGAATATGTGAAGAGAAAACATAACAAGTTGCTTCAGGTATCAGGAATACTGTTCTATTTATACAAATCGTCCTTATAGAAATGTTTGTCAGTATGGTATACATGTAATGAACAAATGTGAAAATGCATTGGCCCCCACTTGAGGGTGATTGCTCCTCTGTTTCAAAATAACAAGCTTTTTAAAAGACTTTTTAAAGTTGATAGTATATAAAAACGCAACAAAAGAGCTGAAAAGAATGAAGGTGATTGATATTTGAGATATAAGCTATTGAAAATTTGGCAGAAAAGGATTTTTTCTAGATTTTTCATTCCTTTAACATTGGCACTTGTTTCCTTTCCAAAACTATAGCAAAATAACAAGGATTTTATGAAATTACCACATATGGCTTTATAAACTATATGTTATAAAGTTGTGGAAAGAAAAGTAAGAGTTCGCTGATAAGAAAAATTTATGGCAATACATGGGTTAAACCAGAGCATTCCAAATATCTGACAAAAACAAGATCAACAAACATCCTAAAGGAGAATTGCAACTCGCATATTCACCTTTTAGAAGTATTTTGTAACCCCTCAAACCTTTTCATAGGCAATTGTAGCCTTATTTACAGGCTTGCAATTTTTTGGGGATTTTTAAAGATGAATGTTGATGAATATTTTGGTTAATTTTCAAAACCAAAGGTGATTTGAAAGTTTATTGGATAATTTTTAAAAATCACACTTTCTTATCCTTTCAAATCTTTAGGCTTTGACAAAATGTTTATAAAAGGTTTTTAATCAACTATATAATTATATAGATGGAGTTAAGGATATTTTCTAACCCTGATAGATCTTTATGGATTTTTATATAAAAATAATATGCAAGTTTTATATTAACAGTATCTAATTCAGTTTAATGTATAATAAATGGTTGCTTTTTAATAAAAACTAAAAGATCTGTACTATAATTATATGTATATGTTCCATTTGTTGTAGCCACAATCTTGTCATCCTTTTTCAATTCAATTGATTCATAAAATACAACTTGTCAACATTATTGTACATGTCATTTCCCATATGAAGGGTTCCTACCACTGGTAGAAGAGGATCTGCCTACCTATTCCGATGCACCTGATTTAACGTTAGTTTATATGGGCTCATGTTGCGCAATATTGAGTATTTTCTTTGTTTTTGTACTAATTGTCAACTCTTGTTTTTCGTTTAGTTTTTAGCAATGTTGTTGTTTGTACTCTTATGACCTATTGTAATTGCATCCTTGGTACCTTTTACAAATTTTTTTTTATAAAGAAACCTATTGTGGAAGGAATGGCAGCAAAGTTGTTATTTTAGCTCAGTAGTCAGGGCTTTGGTACTGACATGGTTTATAACTTTTCTTAAATATCCTGTAAATCAATAAAGAAAGATTCCAAATCTCTCAGGCAAAAGTTGACTTCTGATAAATTTTGCTATACTTTTTTTTTTGTCACTTTTAGTCCTGAGGCAGTAGTGGACTTCGAGTGGAAATCTTGGAATTTTCTTGTTATAAAGATTTATATACCAAGTTTTATTTATTGAAAAGTGCTATTTATACAGAATTTCTTCTTCCAAATGACCTGTTCATATTTGTTTGTAATGGTTTCATATATTTAAGAGTTTACCAGGATATTTATAAGGTTTGTAATAAAACACCCTTTTTGCCCATTTAGTCCACCCTATGGAGTGAACATTTGAGTTTTATTTTTTATCATGTTGAGTGTATGATAACTGTGGTGTTAACATGTATTTACATGTAGCCTTTGTTCAGAATTCCAGTGGATAGGATACATTGGATGGTAGGAAAGCTAATTCCACCTTAGTTGTAGCCAACATCTTTGTCATTTAAAGGAATTTATTGCATTTTATGATTTTCTGTTGTTCTTAATGCTAAAGATGAGCTTGGTCATGCAGAAAACAGTCAAAATTGAGTTTTATGCCCCCGCCGCGTCGGAGAGGGCTTTAAGTGTAACCCTTGTCTGTATGTTCATCCCGATATTAGTTTCCGTTCTCTAACTCCAGTTTGCCTCAACCAAAAGTTATGAAACTTATACATAATGCTTATTACCACAAAATACAGATCAAATTTTAATTTGGGTGGCATCACTTCTACTGTTCTTGAGTTATGCCCCTTTATATATATAAAATCACAAAATTTCAGAAGTCTGTTCATTACTTTTTTTTATGTCTGAACCAAATGCTATACATAATTTACCTATTCAACCCATATTTAGTTCATTTTGAGAATTATCACAGTTTTTATTCCTGAGTTTTAGTTGGAAGTCAAACATCTATGACCTTTATGCTACTGCTTTGTTATTGAAGAAGAACTGATCAGTGTCACAGCTGTTTGCAATGTTTATTTATAGTTGCATTGTGAAGACATTTTTTTTTTCGACATATATTGCATGTAAAGACAAGCATGTTATTGATTAGATATGTTGCATAATATTATTTATTTTAGCAAGAGTGAATCTAGAGAAAACTGGGGGGTCTTACCAGTAGGAACATGAACTACAGATTTTAAAGTCGATAAAGATCAATGTTCCTGTAATTAAGGAATGAACTCACCAAAATTATCCTCAGGTGTTAACCCCAATCTCCAACTTTCCAAAAATTGCTGGGATACAACTGTTTAGAGGTTTTCAAGCTGCATGTCAAGTTTTTTCTTCATAACTCACATCAAACATGCCTTTTCATACACGAAGTAATAATAAACTGTAATGTTACAACTGATCATCCAGATCTATATCCTTGATATGTGTGCTTATTGTTTTGATGAACAAGTTTTTGTACAGTTTACATTATAATTCTATACTTGTATATTGTAAATTTTGTACATTGTTTTCATAATGGAGATAAAAAACGGAAATGAAAGTATCAAATGCTGTGTGTTTGTTGTTACTTTAACAGAAATGAGGACATGTTTACATTAATATACTTCAGCTAATGTTATTTTGGTTCAATAATGGGGTATATATTGTTGAGGAATATGAGGACATGTTTACTGTAATACACTTCAGCTAATGTTATTTTGGTTCAATAATGGGGTATTTATTGTTGAGGAATATGAGGACATGTTTACTGTAATACACTTCAGCTAATGTTATTTTGGTTCAATAATGGGGTATTTATTGTTGAGGAATACGATGACATGTTTACACTAATACACTTCAGCTAATGTTATTTTGGTTCAATAATGGGGTATTTATTGTTGAGGAATATGAGGACATGTTTACACTAATACACTTCAGCTAATGTTATTTTGGTTCAATAATGGGGTATTTATTGTTGAGGAATATGAGGACATGTTTACATTAATACACTTCAGCTAATGTTATTTTGGTTCAATAATGGGGTATTTATTGTTGAGGAATATGAGGACATGTTTACTGTAATACACTTCAGCTAATGTTATTTTGGTTCAATAATGGGGTATTTATTGTTGAGGAATACGATGACATGTTTACACTAATACACTTCAGCTAATGTTATTTTGGTTCAATAATGGGGTATTTATTGTTGAGGAATGTGAGGACATGTTTACACTAATACACTTCAGCTGATGTTTTTATTTTGGTTCAATAATGGGGTATTTATTGTTGAGGAATGTGAGGACAGGTTTACACTATTACACTTCAGCTTATTATACGCCCATTTACGGGATGTATTATGGTATACTGTTGTCCGCCTGTATGTCCGTCCGTCGTCAACATGTCGGACAATACTTCAAAAACGCTTGAACCAATTTGCATGAAACTTTGGTGAATTGTTTATATCTACTGATGTGAGCTCCCTTTCGTTTTTTATAACTTTAAGATTTTAAGTTTCCGAGTTATTGGGGTTTTTTTCATTAAAAAGGGGATTTTCCAGTTTTCGGACAATAACTCAAAAACACTTTCACCAATTTGCAAGAAACTTTGGTGAATTGTTTATATCTATTGCCATGAGCTCCCTTTTGATTTATAAATTTTAGATTTTATGTTTCCGAGTTATGGGGTTATATTCATTAAAAAAGGTTTTTTTTTTCCAGTTTTCAGACAATAACTCAAAAATGATTTCAGCAGTTTTCATGAAACTTTGGTGAATTGTTTATATCTATTGACGTAAGCTCCCTTTCGATTTTTATAAATTTTATTAGATTTTACATTTCGGAGTTATGTGATTATATTCATAAAAAAGGGGGTACTTTTCAGTTTTCTGTCAATGCTTTGAGCAGTTATCATGAAACTTTGGTGTCTGGTTTATATCTATTAAGATAACCTCCCCTTAGTTTTTCATGAATTTCTGATATGACATTGAGAAGTTATTGAACTTTATTCTTTGAAAAAGCGACGGGCGTATGTGCTCATGGCGCAGCTGTTTGTTTTTATTTTGGTTCAATAATGGGGTATCTGGATTTTTTTGTTTTTTCCACACTGAAGACTGATACAATTCGTAACTAAGATCTCTTTTTAGGTCACCTGGCTCATAGGGCCATTTGAGGTATTGCTATCATTTGATGTCCATCATCTTAAACTTTTTTAAAGATCATTTCTGAAACTACTGAGCCAATTTCAACAATACTTTGGGTGAATAGTCCTTGGGATATCTTGTATAAAGTTTGTTTTTGATTCCAGTCAGTCAGCTAACATGGCCATCATGACTAAAAACAGAACAAAGGGGTGAAATGCATTATCTTTTATCTTGAAAACTGATAGAGAAAATCTCTATTGTGTAAAAACTCAAAAACTATAGAAGATAGGTAGAAACTGTTACAGGCAAAAATGATCAGTAATACAAGATTGACAAAAATGCCAAAGTGACCTAAATCATTGGATGACCCTTTAAAGGGCCATTAGCTGTCAAATTCAATTTCACTGATTTGACTCAAATTCTCATATTTGCTTTATAACATACTAAAACAGATATCCAAATAATCAATGCAAGGACTCGTTAAAATGTTTCAGTTTTTTCAGTTTTTAGACTAGATGCCATCTAATAAACCATCGAGATGACCTCTGAAGAATTCTGATGCTCATATTATCTGATATAAACATAAATATGATTACACAGACAAGCATGTGCAATTGTTTAATAATGATTTCTCGAGGTCTGTTTGATTGCAGGCATATATTAAAAATATTTATAAATCATCATTTTACCTGTATAAGAATAATTGTTTGTGGGCAGAATCAGTCAACATAATGTTCTCCTGGTGGATTCCTGGTTTCACTTTTCAATGTTGACATTCTTTTCTTTTAAATAACTATATGCATGTTGACATAATTTATTTCCAGCTAAGGGTCAAACTGAAGGTCACATGAATACTGATTCAAATCAAGTTGAATAATTGACTTGCAAGCCAAAAATAATAAGCACTGTTTTATCTCGCCTGCGACGTCGCAATATGCGAAACTTGGGTATTATGATCCGGCGGAGGATTTATATTTATATTTCAAAAAGTAGAAGACCTGGATGCTTCATACCTTATGTTACAAAGTGCCGTCTGTCATATGTCCATTGTTCATGACATCATTTTTATGTTTCAGTGACTGCTTGAAAAAAAATTACAGGTTTTTTTGAAAAGTGAAATACTCGCTTATTATGAGCAGTAGGAAATTTATATTTGGTATATGGGTTCCTTGCAGTGTCTACATGTGCGTCAGGTAAGGTTCACCTGACCTCGACCTTATTCCATGAATCAGTGATCAAGGTTAAAGTTACATGGTCAAGTCCGTATCTTAGATACTATAAGCAGTAGGTCAATATTTGGTGTATGGAATGATTGTCAGGTGTACATGTCCGACTTACAGGTTTCATCTGACTTTGACCTCAATTTCATGGTTCATTGGACAATGTTAAGTTTTTGTGGTTTGGTCTATTTCTCAGATAACATAAGCAATAGGGCCACTATACTTGGTGTATGGAATGATTGTCAGATACTATAAGCAGTAGGTCAATATTTGGTGTATGGAATGATTGTCAGGTGTACTTTTCCGTCTGGCAGGTTTCATCTGACCTCTACCACAATTTCTTGGTTCATTGGACGATGTTTAGTTTTTGTGGTTTGGTCCATTTCTTAGATATTATAAGCAATATGTCATTTATATTTACAGCTGAATGCATCGAGTGTGTAGGTAAAGGTAATATCTTTGGTTAGCTTGCTTGCTAGCTGAACCGTGAAGTCATTATTAGGTTAGGTAAACTACCCTCCTTTAAGAGTAGACTAGTCCGACAGATAACCAATCTATCTGTCTGTAGGACTAGACTACTCGGAAAGAAGGGTAGTATACCTAACCTAATAATGACTTCACAGTTCAGCTAACAAGCAAGCTAATCAAAGATTATACCTTTACCTTTAAATATAATTTCGCAATCCCGCTTTTTTAAACATTTGAAACTCAAAAAAAATCTATTTTGATTTTTTTCCAACTTGTGGCTTATTCCCCTTTAAGGAGTAACTGCCTGCAGAGACATATATACATATGTATATATGTCTCTGCTGCCTGTAAATGACAATTTTTAGGTAATTTTGGTTTTTCGCCTATATTCTCAAAAACTAAAGAAGTAAGATAAAAACCGTTGACAGCAAAAATAATCAGAAATACAAATTCTACAAAAATGACAATACAACCGAAATAATTGTATGATTTTTGACTCTTTTTTTTTTTTTGTCCATCATATATTTTTTCAAAGATCTTCTTCTTTGAAACTATTGAGCAAATTTCAACTAAACTTGGGATGAATGATCGTGTAACTTGTATAAAGTTTGTGTTTTTTTATTCCTGTTGGTCAAAATACATGGCCACCATGGCTAAAAATAGAAATTAACGATATAATGCATTAATTGTCTTATACTTTGAAGGGGGTCTCATTGGGGGGTTCTGATCCCGGATCCCGCTTACTGTGTTGTCAGATTCCCGTATCCCGCTTACACTATGTACGTAAGCAATTCTCATTTTTTTGTAATTTCCCGTATCCCGCTAGACTTCATTTCCCGTTTTCACGGCACAATAATTTGACTTTCACGTGTCACGCTTACAAAAAAATCGGCAATCCCGCGTCACGCTTAGACCCCAATGAGACCCACTTTGAAAAGTATATTATATAGAGTCTATATTACGGGACAAAATTGATCAAAATGACAAGATCTACGTACTTGCTGTTTGCAACAAAATTATCAGATGACTCAAGAAGTTATCACACAACCTCCTGACTAAGGGCAGGCATATAAAGACCGTCCTTACCTGTATTGTGTCTTATTTGCTTCAAGCTTATTAGTTCTTAATTAAAATAAACAACATAGCACAAACTGTTGGCATGACACGTGTTTTTACCACAATTAAGTAATAAGTATTTCTCCAATGTTATAATTTATATTCAATTTTGGATTGTTTAAGTATTTTATTTGGCATTCTAACTGTTTATTAAGGTCCCTTTCACTTTACAAACATCGATCACTTAAACGATGCTTAAGGTCCCCTTCAACTTACAAACATCGAACACTAAAACGGTGCTTAAGGTCCCCTTCATCTTACAAACATCGAACACTAAAACGGTGCTTAAGGTCCCCTTCAACTTACAAACACCGAACATTAAAACGGTGCTTAAGGTCCCCTTCAACTTACAAACATCGAACACTAAAACGGTGCTTATAATGTCCCCTTCAACTTACAAACACCGAACATTAAAACGGTGCTTAAGGTCCCCTTCAACTTACAAACATCGAACACTAAATCGGTGCTTAAGGTCCCCTTCAACTTAGAAACATAAAACAATAAAACGGTGCGTAAGGACCCCTTCAACTTACAAACAGAAGTGTGAGCTTTTAATTCGTGCTGAAGAACTCATTTTGATGTTCAAATGAAGAACAGCAATAAAAGCTTTGTTACTTCGCATTTGGTTTGCATATGGTGCGGGAAGGGATTCGTTTGTCATAACGTATACACTATATCATTTCCTTTCCGAAACAAAACCTTATCCTCTTCAAAACACTGAACGAAACTAAACCTTATCCTCTTCAAAACACTGAACGAAACTAAACATTATCCTCTTCAAAACACTGAACGAAACTAAACCTTATCCTCTTCAAAACACTGAACGAAACTAAACCTTATCCTCTTCACAACACTGAAGTAACTAAATCTAACTTCTTCTAAACACTGACCGAAACTAAACCTTATCCTCTTCAAAACCTAGAACGAAACTTAACTTTATCCTCTTCAAAACACCGAACGAAACTTAAATTAATCCTCTTCAAAACACTGAACGAAACTAAACCTTATTCTCTTCAAAACACTGAACGAAACTAAACATAATTCTCTTCAAAAAACTGAAGGAAACTAAACCTTATCCTCTTCAAAACACTGAACGAAACTAAAACTAATCCTCTTCAAAACCCTGAACAAAACTAAACCTTATCTTCTTCTTAACACTGAACGAAACTAAACTTTATCCTCTTCAAAACACGGAATGAAACTAAACCTTATCCTCTTCAAAACACTAAACAAAAGTATACATAATCCTCTTCAAAACAATGTACGAAACTCAACATTACCCTCTTCAAAACACTGAACGAAACTATAAACCTGACCCTTTTCAAAACCCTTACCGAAACTAAACTTAACTCTCTTCAAAACCCTGAACGAAACTTGAATTAATCCTCTTCAAAACACTTAATAAAACTAAACCTTATCCTCTTCAAAACACTGAACGAAACTATAAACCTGACCCTTTTCAAAACCCTTACCGAAACTAAACTTAACTCTCTTCAAAACCCTGAACGAAACTTGAAATAATCCTCTTCAAAACACTTAATAAAACTAAACCTAATCCTCTTCAAAACACTTAATAAAACTAAACCTAATCCTCTTCAAAACCCTGAACGAAACTAAACCTTATCCTCTTCAAAACCCTGAACGAAACTAAACGTTATCCTCTTCAAAACCCTGAACGAAACTAAACATTATCGTCTTCAAAACCCTGAACGAAACTAAACCTTATCCTCTTCAAAACACTGAACGAAACTAAACCTAATCCTCTTCAAAACCCTGAACGAAACTAAACCTAATCTTCTTCAAAACCCTGAACGAAACTAAACCTAATCCTCCTCAAAACCCTGAACAAAACTAAACCTTATCCTCTTCAAAACCCTGAACGAAACTAAACCTAATCTTCTTCAAAACCCTGAACGAAACTAAACCTTATCCTCTTCAAAACCCTGAACGAAACTAAACCTAATCTTCTTCAAAACCCTGAACGAAACTAAACCTTATCCTCTTCAAAACCCTGAACGAAACTAAACCTAATCTTCTTCAAAACCCTGAACAAAACTAAACCTTATCCTCTTCAAAACCCTGAACGAAGCTAAACCTGATCCTCTTCAAAACACCGAACGAAACTAAACCTGATCCTCTTCAAAACACTGAACGAAACTAAACCTTATCCTCTTCAAAACACGGAATGAAACTAAACTTTATCCTCTTCAAAACACTGACTGAAACTAAACCTTATCCTCTTCAAAACACAGAATGAAACTTAACCTGATCCTCTTCAAAACCCTGAACGAAACTAAACCTTATCCTCTTCAAAACATCGAACGAAACTAAACCTAATCCTCTTCAAAACACGGAACAAAACTAAATCTTATTCTCTTCAAAAAACTGAACGAAACTCAACCTTATCCTCTTCAAAACCCTGAACGAAACTAAACATTATCCTCTTCAAAACACCGAACGAAACTAAACCTAATCCTCTTCAAAACACGGAACAAAACTAAATCTTATTCTCTTCAAAAAACTGAACGAAACTAAACCTTATCCTCTTCAAAACCCTGAACGAAACTAAACCTGATCCTCTTCAAAACGCTGTATGTATCTAAAGCTTATCCTCTTCAAAACCCTGAACGAATTTAAACCTAATCCTCTTCAAAACTCTGAACGAATTTAAACCTAATCTTCTTCAAAACCCTGAACGAATTTAAACCTAATCTTCTTCAAAACCCTGAACGAAACTAAACCTTATCCTCTTCAAATCACTGAACGAAACTAAACTTTATCCTCTTCAAAACATCGAGCGAAACTTAATTAAATCCTCTTCAAAAAACCGAGCGAAACTTAAATAAATCCTCTTCAAAACACTGAACGAAACTAAACCTTATCCTCTTCAAAATACTGAACAAAACTAAACCTTATCCTCTTCAAAACACTTAACGAAAATAAACCTAATCTTCTTCAAAACCCTGAACGAAACTAAATCTTATCCTCTTCAAAACACTGAACGAAATTAACCTTATCCTCTTCAAAACACCTAACGAAAATAAACCTAATCTTCTTCAAAACCCTGAACGAAACTAAACCTTATCCTCTTCAAAACACTGTACGATACATTGTTCCTTCGATACTAATGAAATATAAATCATATAACCTATAAAAATGGTTCAATTAACATCACAAATGGTAGTGAAGTTAATTATTAATAAATGCACACTTATTTTGTTTTGTACATTTTATAGACTAGATTCACATTTCACCGTGTCGTTGCTAAACAAATGCTTGAAAGACATTGGAATAGTGAGAAAGCAATATTGAATTAAGAATAACAAATATTAAATATTAATAACGAAAAATCATGTGTTTGAAATACAGTGCTTAATTTCAGTCAACCCGATTTACTTTAAAACAATGGATAACTGTGAGACAACAAAATGTGTATCAATCAATAACATTAAGCCATGCATATTATGGATTTCAGTTTTTATAAAGTTGTAAGTCCATTTTGAATTTCGTTCATTATTTTCTACACTTTATTATTTGGCTAATTTTCTTTATCATTTACTTTTTCGACCCATTGCTCTCCATTATCTAAAAACCATCCAGACTTTCATTTTATGCAATTTCTAAGAAAGTTAAATAAAAGCAAAATTTTGATGGCTTTAGAAACATTTTAAAATTCAATTTGAATACTAGTAATAGTTCAACTGCAATATAAACAAATAATCCACAGTCCCATGTTCTTATGAACTTATGTAGCTTTCTGTTCAGTCTCATGTTCCAATGAAATCATGTAGCTTTCTGTTCAGTCTCATGTTCCAATGAAATCATGTAGCTTTCTGTTCAGTCTCGTGTTCCAATGAAATAATGTAGCGTTCTGTTCAGTCTCATGTTCCAATGAAATCATGTAGCTTTCTGTTCAGTCTCATGTTCCAATGAAATCATGTAGCTTTCTGTTCAGTCTCATGTTCCTAAGAAATTATGTAGCTTTCTGTTCAATCGCATTTTCCTATGAAATTATGTAGCTTTCTGCTCAATCTCATGTTCCTATGAAATCATGTAGCTCTCTGTTCAGTGTCATGTTCCTATGAAATCATATAGCCTTCTGTTTCCTGTAACGGTAACACTACTGGCTCTTGTCTTGAATTTGTCCTTTGAAATTTATTTTTGCCCCTACCACCAACTTTTCTCATCGGTGATCCATCAGTTGGAAAGATAGGAAAATATCGACCAGGAGAGACGGGTGGTGGCGATTTTGTCAGTTTATACTCACCCATATATCTTGGAGAAGGTGAAAATTGGGGAGAATGGCCGAGATCATTAAACTGATGTTCAATACTAACGAGCTTGTTTTGTCTTTGTGGGGAGTTTCTATTGAAAACTTGACCCTGACTCATTCTTTCGGGTGAACGACTTAATGCAACTCTATCGGCAAGTCGGTTAGGAGTTTGCGTTTGAGCAGGTGACGTTCTCTCTGGTGATTTACCGTTCCTTTCCGGAGATCGACCGTACCTGTCCGGTGATTTACCCTGACTTAATCTTTCAGCAATTCTTGTTTGAGTTAGGGTTTGAGCTTGATATGTTCTTTCAAATCTTCTAAGTTTTTCAGTTTCATTATTTTTAACATAATTCTGATCATTTAACCTAGATTCAACTGACCTAGCTCCTACTTTTGTAGAACTCAATCTTGATGTTTTATTGTCATGTCTGTCCATTCCATTGTAATTAGAAAAAAATGGCTGCGAATGCACATTCCATCCAGATCTTGAATACTGCTTTTCAGGTGGAATTTTACTGTTTGTAGGTTGGTCATCCGAGAGTCGATCATTTAAAGGACGAGCAGTTCGAGCAAAATTTTCATAATCATTCGAGGCAATCAATTCTTTATCTCCAACGACTCTCTGAAACCAGTTTTTATGATTGTTGGAAACAGTTGGAATCGAGTTGTTCGATTTCTTTTTAGAATTGTTTGAATTTTCGGAATCGATTTTAGTGTTTTCCGGAACGACATCTAGCACTGTTCGAGGCATTATATCGGCTATACCATGACTAGTATGTCCATAATTCTCTATAGCCGTGTCCGATACCGTACTTGAATGAGAGAACGCAGTCGAACATCTGTTGTCGATCTCTTTGCTCAAATCGTTCATAGAAAAAGAAACCTTTTTAGAATGTTCGTCTAATTTTGCATTTCCTTTGACCGGACTCGTCTTTGTTGGTCGATCGTCTATCAGCGGAAGTCGATTACTATTCGGAATAAAATCACTATCCTTCGAATTATTATTGTTGTCTGTTTCCCTCGTTACATCCTTCAAATTTGCTCTATTTATATCACTTGATCTAAAATTAAAGTCTGAATACTTAGACATTCCTAGCGGACGAGGTCTCGTACTTCGCCCAGGAGAATCCTGTTCCATTATTTTTTCAGTATTGGATATGTTTGGAAGTTTTGAAATAGTTTGGCGAATTCTGTCTCTTTCCGTTTCAATATCTTTTTGTCGCATTTTCTTTTTTTTAATCCTGAATGGAACGTTTGGTAATTTTTTCAATAAGGATTTCACAACACCTCGGTTTCTGTTTTGGTAGCTCCAGAATTCCTGTCGTCTGTTGAATTCCTCATCTCTAGGATTATCGATCAAACACGTCCTAATCCTTGCCCAGCTTCGAGAGGGTGGTTCACGATCAGCTCTTACTCCACCGATGTGAAACCCATCTCCTATCAGTGGTAATCTGGACGTATTGACACCATGCATTGTATTGTGATTCGTGTCGTTACATTCTTTCTATTATGTCTTTGTTTTTCTGTAATTATATTTCACAACAATGTCTTGTTTTATCAATTTTAAAAATCATTTTTTGTATCTTCATTATTAGTTGTCACGTGATCCTAGGGTTTTAAAATCTTTCTTTTCACAATTACCTACCGTTATCTTCCGATCTTTATTTTTTGTTTCTGAAAGGCTGACGTTTATACAAAGGTCACGTGAAGCGATGACATATACTTGTCCGTACTTTAAAATCCATAATGAAGCCAAAAATCATTTTTGACTTTCTTTATCTAAATCTGGCCTCAACCTGTAATAGAATAATACATTATTGTATATGTACATAACTTCTTTAAGTAAGTATATATATAATGAAGAACTGTGAGCTTACCTATATGCAATATTAAACATTCATTAACAGAGAAAATATAAATAAATTAATAATATTATGTGTGTGACTTGTGTATTTTAGTCAATTTGAAACATCAACTAAGCAGATTGCCAAGTCATTTGAACTTTAAACGTTTGCATTTTCATATTTGATATATGAAAAAGGGGAACTACCAATAAAATTAACTCCGTAGTTAGACGAACCAATGGAGGAACTTTACAAAAAATTTAATGAAAAATGTAATGAAAAATAGACTTATAGATGAATGTTTGCATGCTTTATATCTTTGTACGTTACATTTATAAAAGTGATTTGAAATCTAAAAATTAAAACTAATTTAATTTGCTTTTCTATAATGTATTATACATAATCAGGACGATGATTTATAACGCATTAAATCAAATGGGTCTACTAAAACGAATGACCGAGATGAAAGGCGGGACATTTGAACTACTTCTTCAAATGAAGTGAGATGGGGTACAAACATTTATAAAGCCACCTACTGACAACTCTAATCATGAGATGTTGCGCGCATTGGTTGTGTAACGTGTGTAAACGGAGAGCATGATTCATATTACAAAATCACACGGTCTCCTCCTGGAATCGAATCCGGGACCTCTGTGTTACAAGGCAGCGCTCTAACCGACTGAGCTAAAGAAGTACTTCCCTAGATCAACCACTTACGGTTGACTTACTATCTACTATTAGTACTTAGGAAACCAATCTAGTCATACGTGCATAGAACGTCAAAATTCTCCCTGAACGGATTTCGCACCCCATACAGACAGGATGGGGCTGTGTTTTTATATATCCAATTCAGCCATAACGTTTCTGTCATTTTAGGCATGGGTCTAACTTGCAGAAAAAAGAAGTCCAGGGTACGATATTTGTAAACCCCAGCAGTACAACAATTTTTGATAAATATTCTTGTAATAATAATGAAAGTCACATTTTATATTGTTCAGTCTTTAGTTTTCTATGATGTGTTTTGTATACGGTTATAATTGTCTTTTGATCGTTTTTCGTTTTTTACCATGGCGTTGTCAGTTTGTTTTCGACTTCTGAGTTTGAATATGCCTTTGGTATCTTTCGCCTCTCTTATATTTTTTATTTCATAAGAAAAATAACTCCTTTTGCGAGGAATATTTTAAAGGACAATAGACTTTCAAGTGATGTAATTTTAGCAAATTGTTGGTCCCGTATTTTGGACGGTATATTTTGAACATTCGTTAATCAGATCGAAAGTGAAATTGAAAAACTAAGGAAAAGATTTATAAGGAATATATTTAGATAAACACTGTCATTTGGAGTCTGTAATGTATAGTTGTCTCATTGGTAATGCTATCACATGTTATTTACTTATACTGAAAATAGTCTTAACAATGTTCAGTTATGACTAAGATAACTGTCACGTAAAATTGTACACAGATACGAAGAGTAAATCCACTGGTAAAACATATTTGTTAACTTTTACAGTACTTTGAGTGAAAATAACGCAAACCCTGAATAAAAAGACTCAGAAACACTCCCAATCTTTAGGGTCTTAAAATCATAATATTCAAGGCGACTTATAGATAGTTGAAAACAATTATACTTTGATACTATAACAGAATTATTCAAATGATCAAACGATAGTACATTTTTTCTCAGATATTTATTTGTAAAAGTTATAGTTTGTAAAAAATGAAAAGTATTACTAGAGAAAATAAAAAGATACTCACAAGACAACAACAAATTAAATCCTTTTATCACATAAACGTTAATTTAAATAAAAACGGCTTCTTATCGGAAACTATGTTTGATCATTGAAAGCCTCTATGCAATCAACTTTTCCGATTGTGTTATTTTAAATAAATATACAGTAAATTACATTTTAATGCGATATTTCAATTTGTCGTTTAATAAATGCCGTTTTTCAATCACACACTCAGCCACATTCATGGTCTCGTGGTAACATGATGGCAATTATTGTGGAGGTCGTAAGTTCAAGCTTCTGCATGTGTCATACCAAGACTTAAAAATGTGTACCCTATATCGGTAAACTTTCGCAAAGGGTAACTATGTCTTAAAACAGAACCGTCTTTTTTAGCCTATCCATTTAGACCCATTGGTGGCCTTGGGCTGTTTTCTGCTCTTTGGTCGAGTTGTTGTCTCTTTGACACATTCCTCGTTTCCATTCTCAATTTTATTGGACATGTAATCAGTAACTAGCTACTACGTTTGAAAGTGAAAAAAATGTATCTAGGAAATTTTATAACCACTGAACGGTATTTCATCTTTTTATTTAATTCATAAGTTTTCTTTTAAAAGAATGCAAATAAAAAATGAGGAAATCGCATTAACTCCAAAAGGGGCGAGACTTGGCGAGTCGACATAGTAAGCGTTTCCTACTATGCATGCATCACCAGCCATGTAAATCACTCTCAGTCAAAATGTCACAATCGGGCATAGCACACAAACGATTAATTTACGGATCAGACGACTCTACTGGTATCTAAAGAACTAACACCGTGAAAACATGTCGCTAGTAAATTCAGACACCGACACATTGTATCGGTCAACCAATTTGTGATGGTGACCGTAAAATTGTGAAGTGTCGATTTCAGTCGTTCTTCCTCATAACTCTGATATGTAAAATATATAGAACTTGAGAGTGAAAGTAAAATAGTTGTGCCTGTAGAGTTACTCCTCTATATCATACAAAGCTTGTAAACATATGGAATGGATATAACTAATTTTTTCTGACAATCGTTTCATTTCTTAATTTAATTGTTCCGCTATTAAAAAAAAAGTAAAATGTACGTTTAAAGTAAGACCCGTTTAATATAACTTGTTATTCCCCTCACACTCTTTTTATTAAAGCAAAATGGATATCTTCCTCCTTTTCCTCGGATTTAAATGGGGAAACATTGCATGTTATTACATTCTGTGTCATTTGGTTTCTGGTAGAGAGTTGTCTCATTGGCACTCATACCACATCTTCTTTTTTTATATAGCCTAGACCCTATTATCTTACCCAATTATTGGCGTAAAACATCAAATTTTTACGTTACCAATTGAGAGGCAATATCGTGCGTAACGTTCATTCGATGGAGCACAGGATATGTTTCTGGCGAGAAAGGGGAAGACAACAATTGCTAAGATGAAAAAATCACGTTTGTCATAGATTAAAGTTTGAAGTCGTCCATCTGTGTCAATATCGAGGAATAGTTTAAGATATGAGGCAGACCTCGTTCTTTCCATATTATCCTCAATCTCAAGTTCACTGAAACAAGATATGTATATCTATATTTTCTTCATTTTATTTAATTGCAGAAAATCTTTGTTCATCAAACTTTGCTTGTTGTAAGTAAAGTATAAATCTTTAATTCACTATTCACAAAACTACGCGTAGTTCAACCCTCCTACGTGTTATATTCATGTCCTAAGTAAAGAATTATGTTGGTTTTTTATTGGTGTTATATTCCACATTTTCAAGCCGACGGCTTTACCATTTTTGGTCAGTTTTAATTGGTGGTGGTAGCCAGAATGCACGGAGAGAACCAACGACTTTCAGCAGGAAAACTGGCAATCCTTTTTCTAATTAGATAGAAGGCACCTCGCCACGAGCGGGTTTCGTAATCACAACTTCAGAGTCAAAAGACTAATGATCCCTTGAAATAAACCTTTTAAACCATTCGGCCACCAAGTCATGAATTACAGGTCATGATGATGATGTCGCCGACTCTATTGTATATGCTTCAGGCGTATTTTAACAGCATTTTCCAAACTCGAGTCAAATTGTGGGTTTTCAAATGCTGTGGCGTTTGACCTTCGTTTTGCACTGTTCAGCAACACATCTACGACTCTTATGAATATTAATTTTTTGTTATATTCTGGTTTTGCCAACGAAATTATTTTATTTAATATGTAATTTAAATAAATAAATAAAAGAATGGAAAAAAAAATAATAATTAAAAAAATAATATGAGCTTGTTTAAAAGCCAAAACAGAAGAATAAAAAAATTCAACAAAATATGGCCTAGTTAACACTTCAATATAGCATTGATATTTCAACGCGATATTCTGAAACAATAGAATCCTCGATATCTGTATAAAACAGATCAGACCTTTGACCTCATACGCCATCCATTTAACTAATGAATAGTACAGATGAATTATAAATGACTAGACACTGTCAGAATGAATAAAGACAAAACGATATATTATCAGATCGGTTGTATTGACAGACGGTTGTTTATTGTTTATTGCTTTATATATTGGATTAAAGTGATCATTCTCAAGACATGAATTACGTAAGCAATATGATAGTGGTCTCTAAATTATTAAAGCAATTGTGTACACGATATCACTAAAGGGGCCATATATACAGAAGTACACTTGTTCAAAGTCATGACTTTTCCGAAAGTCATATATATTGTTCGAAGTCATAACTGTTCCGAAAGTCATATATATATATATATGTTTTGCATGCACACGTATAAAAATTGCAGTTTTTATCAAACGCAATCAAAGGTTTGAACGTTGTTTTCAATTTAGACTTATTTATATTTTTTCGTTTGGGCTTGTATTATATTTGCCTTCGGGTTTATATGATCCGTATATCCTATTTCGACTCTTCAAAATTCAAGAGTCTATCCCAAATTGAGGTAAATTATATGGCCTTCCAAATACCGTTTTGATTCCTAACATCACTGAAGAGACATTAATTGTCGAAATCCGGATATGGTGTACAAATTTTTGCACCTCATGTTTGCGGTATACCATCTTTTCCGCAAGTTTATTGTTTTCTGTTTGGTAATAAATTATAATAAAGATTCATTTTGTTACATCTTGTGATCCGTTTATTTGGCAATCGTCAATGGCAGTCAGCAGGGTTTAAGAACATTTGTTGTTCGACCTGTTAGTCAAATGCGTTT